TACCCCATTTCTCTTTTTTCTTTTCAGTAAATTCGATCCTTAGGTAATTTGCATATTTTTGTAAAAATATGTATTTTTGGTTGAATAATGGATTTTAGTAAAGTTAAGAACATAATTGAGTTATTTTTAGCTATTTTAGACACCAGGGTTAGGTTTAACTTATATAGGCACAAAATGCTAGATTGTCCAAATATATTTTAGAAGTCAAAACATTGTACTATTTTAATGTAAAGTCTGTTGTTATTATGTAATTAAACATATTTGAGTATAAAAAGACCTTCATGAAGATTGGTTTGTATTTTACCCCAAAAGTCTGTTGTTATTATGTAATTAAACATATTTGAGTACAAAATATTGTACAATTATTGTTACTTTATTTGTCTGAGAGAGATAAAGATGGCATTGCGAAATCAATAGAAACCTATCTCAAATTAAAGTGGCTGTAACGTGTAAGTTAGAACTGACTGATTTCAATAAAAGTACATTTGATATTACATGGTCTTAAGCCCTATATTTAAGCTTCCACATATACCAGCGTAAAACAGAAGACTAAAGTGTGGGCTAAATTTGACCTTTGTTGTATGGGCTTTATGTGTTTGGTTTTCACTTAAGATTTATTAAATACAATATTTGTGTAAATGCAATTTCACTACTATGCAAAAAGGATTTAAGTCGAAAAGCGTAATTGCCATCTCTTCTGTATCTTTGAATTTCACCTTGGGTTCAATCAAGTTGTTAGGTTTGTGGATGTCAGGACAAAATTTCTCTCATTGCACACTACAATATGGTATTACTCCTCTTAATAATTAGCCCAGTTGCTGCAGAAAGTAAGAAGTTAAACCACATTTCATTTCAAATTTTAGCTGCAGAGGGATCTGTTTACATGAACTAAACAAAAATAAACCTGTACAATAGACATGATCACAGTTGAACAATAGTTCAACAGATTTATATTTGTTTCTTTCAAATTAATTTGTAATTTAGAACAAAAAACATTCCTAATTATACCACAGTACTGTCCAGTCCAGTTTCTATCCAATTAGTTAGTATATGTGTATATATGATTTATAGATGTTGTAGTCTTTACTTATTCAATAATTATAAAAACAAAAACATTGTTGGTTTGTGTTTTTCATTTATTAGGAAATGTTAATTACATGTAAATAAGTTTGTGTCAGATCTCTGGACCCAAAAAATGACCAAGAATTGATAATGAATTAAGAAGCAAGCAAAGTTGAAGTTTGGGCTATTTTTTAAGGTTATGGATTTTATCATGGCCCTTCTAATTAAACGCTGCAAGATAGCTTTTTCAAAGCATTTATAACTAGTGTAGAATAAATTTTAAATTAATAATGAAGTGATTTGACCTGGCAGTAGTTTTTACCAGTCTGTGCTGTATTTCCCCAGCCTTATTGAGTTATATAATTTATTTAGATTCCAAATAAACAATTGATGTTTACTTTAGATAGTTGCCATGGTTACTAGAGTCTGTAAACACTGGGTCAGCATGTGATAACATTCCTAGTTATTTGTTTTGTGTTTATTACTGATAAGAAACTTGGGATTTTTTTCATATTCACTACTTGGCTAATATTTACTTAATTACTCAAATCCCTTCTAACTTTTAATTGTAAATTTCTATTTTTATATGCCTGGATTGAAATGTTGTGTACTGTCGTCATCCTCGTCCGTCCATCTGTTCATTGTCCACAAATTGTGTGTGGATGTTCTACGTTCTGGAGGCTAAAGCTAGCATTCAATTGTTTATTTTAATTAGTTTAAGAAGACTTTGTTTTTTGTATCCTCTCCATATTATGTAAATACAACTGTGTCTTATTACAGTAGTATTTGACCATAATTTGTTCAGTTCAATCCTTACCTTTCAAATAAACTGAAAATTTGAGGGGTTTTTGGGGTTTTTTTTTTGACACTATTTATTCAATAACTATTTACATATTATAAAAGTACACTATATGATTGTGGGATCTGAAAACAAGCCGGGGCTTATATAAATTCATCTCCCAAGGACATTATTTTCAATAAAATATAAAGTACACTGTATAAGATTGTAATCATAAATAACAAACTGGTATAAAATTACAAGGTAAAAGTGTTACTCTCATTTAATGAATCAAAAAGTTATATTGGTTTATAGTATAAATTAGTTAAAGTACAGAATGTAATAGAAACGAGGTGGGTTAGCGAAATGATTATCTGATGTTCATAGTACGGAAAGGGTATGCGAAACTCTGGCTGTGGTAGGAGAAAGAAGATATTATTGGAATCGGAGGCATCTGGCGTGCGATGGCGTTTCATAGTTGGAAAAAAAAATAATTAATATTTAATATTAAGTACACAATATGAATCAGGAGAAGTATTACCACCTATCAAGAGGCACTAATCATCACACAATTAGTATTAAAACAACTTAAATATCTATACATTGATGATAAGTTATGACAATCGAGACACGTTTTTCAAGATTAATTAATAAAAGTCCATCCAAGCGATTAATCATGTGACATAATTTGTGTTGTGTTGTTCTTGGTGTTTACATCCGCTTCCACGGAGGGTGATATCTGATATTGCAGACAATTCTTATTTATATTAGGTTGAGACCGTGCCCCTACCTCCAAGCATCATAAGCTCACACCAGGGATGAAAACCACAATGGCAAGTCAGAGCTTGAAGTGCGACACTTAGACCACCAGGCCATCCCAACCATGCCTATGACATAATTTATTCCACAATTATTTATATAGCTTACAAACTATTGCCATGGACCCAACATCGAAATGGGCTTCTTTTAGATGCAGTGTAAATGTGGAGACCTGTTTCAGATATTGCGATTGAGGAGATTTGACCTGTTAGTTGTATTTTATGTCCGCTTCCACGAAGGTGATATCACAGAGATTTGACCTCTCTGGATATGTTTTTAAATGATATAAGTATTTTGTTTATGATTAATGGTTAGGGATTAGTTTGTTGTTGCCTGTGTTTTATTAAATAGAGATCAATACAAATCAGTGTCCTTTAATCTTGTGCTAAAATCATATAACTATATATCTGCATACACCACAGAGTTTTAATAAATACATGTCAGAGAGGAGAGCAGAATAATAATAGGTGTATGACTACAGCAAACAAACAATCATTAATGCTTTTAGAAATATCAATAAGATTGCTAAAGATTTACTAATGGCGTAAATGTATAGCTGAATAGATTTGATTATTAGTTTTGTTAGAGAGGATTTGTAAAGAGTTTTTTTTTTTTTGTTTTACCAGTTAGATTATTTGTTTATGTAGTATGAATTCCCAACAATTGACAAAGCTTTTTATTATCTGGTGGGTTTATTGAAAGCATAAAACAATACATACATATTAGAATAAATAAGATTGTTTATTGAAACCTATAGTGGTTGCTATAGTTACAATTTAGAATTACAGAATTTCTTTGAATTGGGTTGAAAAAAAGAGAAAACTGTTGATTTAATTAAATCCAATGTGTTAATTTGATTTAGGTTGAGCTGTAGAGGTATACTGTCATATGAAAATATTTTGTGTCTCTGAAAGAAACCCCTTGATAGAATTAACCCATTTTTAGTATTCATTAGGAACATTTATACACTTGTAAGTGAAATGAAATGTGGTTTATAAGGTTAATGTTGTACGTTTCTGCACCAACTGGGCTATTGAAAACCTACTTACGGCATAGAGTGTGCTATGAGAGTAATTTTGCATGGACAGTGGGGCCACAACTAATCTTATTTCGAATTCCAACTATCAAGGGTTCTTTTACGTGCATGCCAATGTGTACACGGAAATAAACATGTTTAATGTCTCGTCACATCAATACTTCAATCATTTTGAGACAAACATATGTTCGTTGTTATTTCTATGATCACATGCGTACTGTCATAAACACGGTAGGAGAATTTTGTCAAGACATTACATTTTCCTCCTTCTCTGCTTTAGTTTCCATCTGTGAAGGGTGCAAGTTTCCACATTTTTTAAAACTCATTTCTGGGGTGAAGTATTTCAGGAAAATTTTAGTGCATGTACATGTATGTTAAATAGTATAAAGTAAAATAGACTGTTTCATAGGAAATATTCTCTTTTGTAATTTGTTGTGAAGACAGCAATATTTTTCTTTTGTTAGAAAGTTCATCATTTTGTGTACACAACTGTTTTAATGAAATATATATTCCTAATAAATAAGCAAACTATGGATAGACCTTTATAATAAAGCTGTTTGTCTTCAGTTTTCTTTTTATGGTGTTATTGTTTGATAGGCATAGCTAAGTAATGGCTTTTTAAAGTTGTTTGGTTCAAGTTGTTTATCAGTATGAAAACTAGACAGACTCTAAGACTATTTATAATTGATTTGTTTACACAAATGCCAAGTCATTTTTGTTTACACTATTGCAGCTGGCTAGCCGCCATATTGTTTATTATTCTGAGATTATTATTAACAACCAACTATAATGATCTAAATGGTGGATATCTCATTTCCTTTTGTAGGAATAAACCTGAAACTAGTAAACAAGCTAATGTTGGATTTTTAATGTGGATTAAATGTAATTTGTTGTGAACAAGTCTACCACAGCGAAGTTGTGATAATGCCATAATGCAACTATTTTGTTGAATTGAATACATTTCCCCTTTATGATAATTTTATTTTCATGTTGTGTATTATGTCATTGTGCTGGATAAAAGAGCATAGATTTTTTCCACAAAGGACAATCATGTTTAATTCCCAACTAACATCTTTAATATTGCCATTTGTACCAATGATAGGTAAAGTTATAAATATCCCCTATATGTGTATTTTAAATCGTGGATGTCAGGGTGCAAAATTAAATATCATGGGATTCAGCATTCACTGGAACCATTATAATATTTGTACTGTATTGTTAATTTTAAGACTGACTGAATCAGTGTTATAAAAATGTTCTTACTCATAAATTATTTTTATACAGATTGAATATTTCATATTTTAGGTATGATGTCACCAGGAGAGATCCAACAATTGTGGAAAGAAGTGGCTGGACAAACAGGGCTTGATGAAAATATAGTCAAGAACAATTTAAATGGGATGTCTTTACCTACATCTATACCTAACTCTATTCCTAGTGTACATAATCCTAATTTTATGACCAATGGCTCATTACCTGTTGATGGCTTTTTACTACCAGGTGAGTCAAACTTTTATTTGGAAAATGACAATAGTTAATGATATCTAATGTCACCCATTTATATTTCCGTCTAAATATGTTAAGGGTCTACTTCAAAATGGAAAGCTTTATCACTTGTCATATATTTATACGTATATTGCAAGCAGGCATCCCCTGTGCAGTAATATTACCTGTCAGGTTGTTGTTACGAGGGTGCTAGCAAATGTCTGAGACCCAGATTTAGATACACTATAAATTAGGTGTTTCAAGACTTGACAGTAAACTCTCTATTTTGAATCTTATTAAAAAAAGAAAATCTGGGAATCAGATACATATTCTTTAGTACATTTTCTCAATTGTGAGAAATTTCACAAGTCAGTTGGTTAACTAACATTATAGAAATATTTAATACTCTTTAATCTCTTAAACAGACATTATGTAAGAGCTAAATATGCCTATTGCAGGTCTTTCTTTGGGCCTTACATGCTGTATAGATTATTAATTAGACATTTATTAACATGAAAACACCATAATCAACTCTCGATGCCATCAGATGGCTACAATTTTAAGCAGATTAGAATGGTTTTCGGCCATTAAATGATTTAATTTAGAAATAGAGAAGCAAGACTAAGATTCAAATGACCAGTACGGTGGTTACGATCAATGCACACATCTTGTCAAAACTACAACCATTGATTACTTCGCTCAAAATAAAGTAATTTGAATTAAATTTTCAATGTATTTATTTTGCATTATCTATTTTTGAAAATTTTAGTGAGATGTTACATAATGTCCCATTGATGTTTAAAATTAAATTTTCAATGTATTTATTTTGCATTATCTATTTTTGAAAATTTTAGTGAGATGTTACATAATGTCCCATTGATGTTTAAGTTCATTGATTATTAACTGTAATATATTTTTCGAATTGACTTGGCCTTGAAAAAGGGCTTGGAGAGACACAGCTTCATGATTGTGTGTGGAGATTAGTTTGAAAATGAACTGATATTTTCATAGAGAAATGTCAAATTTCACAAAATTAAAAAGTAGGACGGCAGAGGACAGTACTTTATGCCAGGATTTTAACCTATCTTAAATTAAGCATCTGAACAGCAAACAGATTCTGTAAGAATATACACAATTTTTTTTTATCTCTGAGAATTTAAGCTGATACAATTCTCCTGCACAGATAGGCTTCTTTGTGTTCAATGATTTATTTGTTGTTTGCCAGTTTTGTAATTTATGTGAGGTAACAATGCAAAAAAAGGTAGTGTTGTTTCTCTTCTCAAACGACTGAATTTCTCTTGAATTTATTTACCAGCTGGTGGTGGAGAGGAAATGAAACACACCTAAATATAAATAGCTTGATGAAAGTTATTTGTAAATAATATAAATAAATATATGTTGGTTGTATGAGTCACACATTAAATTGGTTTGTCTAAAATTTCGGGGTACACATCTCTCTTCTGCCCGGATGTTTATCTAACTTGATTGTTTACTGTAGATAGGGCGTATTATTTAGATCTTGTAATTTGACACTTTGAAATAAACACAGGGTTTTCACCCAACACATACAAATGCTTGTCACAGTTTGCCTCCATTCAGACAAATTATATATTTCATCCATATAATTAGTAACGATTCCCCACATTCAACATGACTTAAATCAACACAAACTGAATTTTTTCTCCACTAAATTGTATTTGAATAACCCATTCAATTCAATTTAAACTTTTCTTTTATTTGTTTATCATTGCTCGATGAAAAATTAGCATTTTGTCCTATTCACATGTACAGTGTTTGTTTTGTTTTGTTTTCAATGCAGTTAAAATTTTCCACCATATGCATGAGCCATGAATCACGAAGTTGATTTTTATACACCTACAATGAAATGTGGTTGTATATTGTAGTCACCCATGTCCGTCTGTCTGTCATTGATCAGTGTTTGTGGACACACTGAAAAGGGCATTATGTAAGATTTAGATAAAGAGCTGGTCGTTCTCACCATAACATTTAAAAAAAAAAAATCATTCAAAATGAATATGTTGAAAATTTAATTCAAATTACCTTATTTTGAGCGAAGTTATCAATGGTTGTAGTTTTGACAAGATGTGTACATTGATCGTAACCACCGTACTAGTCATTCGAGTTTTAGCCTCGCTTCTCCATCTTTAAATTAAATCATAAAATGGCTGAACCGCTCCAATCTACTTAAAATGGGAGCTATCCGATGGCATTGAGAGTTGATTACCGGTATGGTCTTGTCATGTTGATAAATGTCAAATTAATAATAAATATAACATTTAAGGCCCAAGAAAAGACCTGCAATAGGCAGATTTAGCTCTTACATAATGCCTGTTTAAGACCAAAGTCATCATCTGATTGACTTTGAATTTATACACAGTGTTTATGTTCATAAAATGAAGAAAGGCTATTGATTTTTCAATGATTTCCGATTATTACTGTAGGTATTATTGCCTTAGATGACTAACAAATATCCTGTGGTCGCCCTAAAGCTAAAACTATTATCTGAAATTTACACACAGTTTTTGTGTTACTATGACGAAGAAGCCTGCCTGTAGCTTCACAATGATTTCCAATAATTGCTTTTGGACTTATTGCCCTTGATCACTTTGAAAAATCTTGCGAACCCTCTAGAGGCTAATTTTATCAAGTTGATGTGAAATTTATTCACAGTGTTATTGTTTATTAGATGAAAAATCCTATTGATTTCTGATAGATTAACAGCCAACAGTTATCCAACTGATTATCATAAAAAGTTGGATTATTTCTGATAATTACTTCATGGGTTGTTGCAACAGACTACTGGGACGAGTAATTAGTTGCTGTGGGTTATATTTGTTTCATGGCAACTCATATCTGTCCTTGTACTCAAACAGTCAAACTATAGCTCTTGTTTCTATTTTTCTTTTCGTTTGAAGACGAATTGGCCAATGCAGGATTCAAGAGTTTTATTTATACTTTATATTTACCTTTTCTAAAACAGACAGAAAGCTTTGCACCGGTTCAACCAGACGCAATGTTTGTTGAATATAGTGGATATTATTTTAGTCAAGTATAATTCACATCATTGATCTCTCTCAACCAATCACTTCACCACGAATTGTTTTTTAACAACACATAAACTGCTTGAATCGCTTTGTTTATTCACAAATAAATAATTGAAAGGAATAATTTGATGGTAATATCGCCCTGTGTTTATTTTAGATATGTACTAAGCCCGTATAATTCATCCCACATGAAATAATATATGATATTATGTTGAACTTTGTATTTTATTTTCTCCCACCATTCTGTGCAGGAGATAATTCAATTTCATTTATTTACCATTAATAATTATAGGGATTTTTAAACCTTTTTTTTACGTGCTGATATTATTTAGATATGATGGGTTAATGTTTGATTTATTATAATTGATAGGTATCCCAATTATTAAATTAACTAGGACAAAACATACATGAGATAATTCAAATCAAATAATTGAGCATAGTCATGCTTGTGTAAGCCCAATATGATGAATTTGTAATAATATCAAAATCTTTAAAACAGGTTCTGCATTGTAGATTAAAGCCACTGATCGTCATGTGAGGGATTCGGAATCCCTTGTAAACTACAGTATTATTTAATTTTAATCTCTAAAAGGAATATCAGCTCCAAAATGGTTTAATTCTGTTCTGAACTTGCAAAGATATAATGAGTTGAAAATGTTGCAACATTCGTAAACAAGCCAGCTGTAAAGATACGTGTTCGGTAAAATCTTTTGATGAGGGTCTTTTTAATGCGATTAAATCCAAGCTGGGAGATGATTATCTACCATTTAAATAGGCTTCTTTTTTTCTTTGGGACATACATTCAATATACATTTCAGAAAAAAAGGTTAATTATTGTAGTGTTCAAAGCCCAACAAGATTTCATAACAAGATTTCATAAATGTTAAGTAATCAGTTTGAGTATGTATTAGTGTAGAGTAAGCTGTGAAAAATTAAATGTTGTCCACGAAATGCAAATGGCGATCAATGGCTTTAAAGGAGCTAAATCGCTAATATTTGGGACCTAGAAATTGACACAAATGGGACGCAATGCATACAATAATGTAATATGAATGTATATTAACTGATTTGCATTCAATCGTTTCTGTTTTTACTCTAAATTTCAAATCGGTTATGTTCAGCGAAATACGCCAGAAGTCTCAATCGAATGGCATATGGATATGTCTAGCTTCGTTCTTTGAGTCCCTTGTTACAAAATGCGCTGAAAAGCATTTTGCTGCAGGATTTGTGTACCAATGGTAAAATGTTTATTTTGTCTAAAACATTGGATATCAGAAACCCATCTTTTCCTCGGTAAGATCACAACATCAATGTTGATTTAAATTAACAAATAATTCATGTTTTTAATGTTGAAGACTTTGAAGGATATTGACTTAGAGACTTAGCTACTTTAAGTAAGATTACACATGCATCTGTATTCATGTACTGGGTTGGGCAGTAGAGCTGCATTTGTTAAAAGCTTATACCCACTTAAAATTTAATCTTTACATGTATGTTTAAATAGTGGTTTAGCTTCTTCCCAATTTTTATCACCCGAAACCTGGTCCTGAAATGACCTAGTTTTTGTTGAGTGGATGTTAAACCCCATTTCTCTCTCTCCACCCAATACCACTTTTCATTTGTTTGAAAAGTTCATTTTGTGTTTCTTCTGATTGAAAAATCTCTATTAATATTTGTGGGGGTTGGATGGCCGAATGATTAGCGTGTGTGCGTTGTATCAGAAGGTGTGTCATTGAGTCAGCTGGCATGGTTTTGATTCCCTGGTTGTACGTGACAAGGAGTAGGATCGCCTGTCCAACCTCATGGGTTTTCTCCAGGTCTTCTGGTTTCCTCCCACTGTTAAAGACTCCTATACGCAAGCGAATTATTGAAATAAAATTGAACCAAATGGTAGTCCCTAAATGACCTAGTTCGCGTTGAGTGGAGGTTAAACCCCATTTTTCTCTTTCTCCCTCTCTAATAAATTTGCACATGTCATGCATGCCTTATAATATAATCATATCTAGTTTGTTTGTGATATCATTTTAGGGGTTATATAAACATTACTCATTTTAATTGACATTGAATGAACAGAGATAAGTGTTATTGTCGCTTTTGTAATACCCTTAACATTTATCTTAAAGATGCATCATGTAAGATTTAGATTAGATTAGTTCAAAAATAGATAATGAAAAATATATAAATGGAATATGTCAATCAAATTACTTTATTCTGGGCAAAGTTATGAGTGCTGGAAGTTTTGAAAATATAGTCTTGATTGTCAAGTACTATTGCTATCGATAATAAACAAAGTCTTGATTATCAATTTTATGGTTCTAATCCATTCAATACCTAAGACATCCGATGGCCTAGAAAATTGATTTGGGGATTGCCATATGATGGATCTTTAAACTTTATCTAGAATTTTTATTTTTGTATTTTTTTAGTAAAGTTAGAAAAACTATGATCGATTTTTCAGGAGCAGGTTTAATAGGTCAACCACCAATCAGTATAAAGCATAATGAAACTTCAAAATCCTTGTCTACTACACTGTCGGATAATTCCAGTAATTCCACGACTAACCCACCTGCCAATAACCCACTATGTCGACATAATTTCTGTAAATGGCCAGGATGTGATACCCATTGTGAAGATTATGCAGCATTTATAAAGTAAGGCACAGTTTGGTATTATTTACATCAGAGACGCTGTGACACACTTTTTAAGGGGATCTGTTTCTCTGTCTAAGAAAACCGAGACCATATAAAATTAGCATAATTCAGTAACTCAATTTGAATGAATTTGTTTCTGATGGGCATCATTTTTGTTAAAACAGGAAAAATATTATTTCACTTAATTTTTCTTTCTTGACAATTATTTATTAGTTGAATTGTCCTAATATTTCAGGCATTTAAACTGTGAACATGCATTAGATGATCGAAGTACAGCTCAGGCTCGTGTTCAATTACAAGTTGTCAATCAACTAGAGATGCAGGTAAAATAAATACAGGCTGTTTCTTGCATATGACATTTATTTATCAAATTTGATCGAATTAAAATTAATGAATGCAGTTTACCATCTTTCGTTCAACCCAAATGTATATCTGAGAAAATAAAATTCAACAGATTGGGGACCATGCTATTTGTTGAATGCCTGCTTTGTAGAATTTGTATTAAGAAACTAGCGATGTTATACATAAAATGAAAGTACCACTCCTTTGTAGCTTTAAGGAAATAACAAGGTTTTAGAAACACATGAGATAGCACCCTCTCTTTGATCTGGGTCAAAAATAAATTTTCAATTATCTTGGACTTTATATATGTTGATCTATTTGATGACATGAAAATCTATATTTGTTTAGAACTTTACGTTCATAGATAAGTGTAGCATTGATATATAACTGATTTTGTTTTTCTGTGTCAAAATCGTAAGCCAACGAAACTAAATTTAACATCTGCTAAATCTTTTGAAACAAAAGGTTAATCATATAGAGCTTTTTCCACGACTAACCAGAATAACACATTAAATCAATCCACTTTGATATTTTATTTTTTATCAAAGTTTTGGGTGGTAAAATGATAGTTTATCACGTGCGCTTTAGATCATAATGTCATTCATCGAGTCAAGTTTTGTCATTTTATTTCTTTGCTTGTACATGTACTTACATGTACTTGACAAGTAGGGTTGTCTATCCAACTTCATGGGTTTTCTCCAAGTCCCCCAGTTTTGTACACTGCCAAATTATTGTAATGAAATTGAACGATATGCTAGTCCATAAATAACATAGTTGAACCACATTTATCTCTGTCCAAAAACAAGAAGATTTGGCTCCTTTAAAATCATACATACACTATTTTGTCATTTCATTTATAAGATTTCTTGGTATCTTAAAGTAAGAATGATTTCATTTTTTATTGTAGTTAACGAGAGAAAAAGATTTATTACAAGGAATGATGGAACATCTACATATGAAGCCTCCGCCACCATCTTCATCATCACAGTTGTCTCCCCCTTGTCATGGTTCAGCACCTCATACGCCTCATCATATAGCCGCTCCTACAGAACCTAAACAGAGACCAATCAGCCCACTCGTAAGTTATTAACTTTCTTTACATGATGGTTATTGTTCAAACAATATCCAGTCTTAATAACATGAGAAACCTCCCATCTATTATGGTGTGGCCATGACATTACATGTACAATATTATATCATGTTCTGATAGCGGAGGTAAAAAAAGAAATAACTTAAAATATTAATGATAATACACGACATCTACATGTAAGGGAGATAACTCTTTTTTAAGTTCAGCTTGTCTTTCACTTGCTTCTAGATGATCAATAAAATGACATTTATGAAGAACAATTAAACAGATTTGCACTGTGGATGAAACATTATATCACAGAAAAATAATTGTTGCACAAAAAAACATGGAATAGAATACTGTTTCCTTTCCTTTTATGTTTACATTTTATGAGGAAATGCAATGAAAAGATTTTGTAGATTTAAGTGGAAACACACAATGGACCTATTGTATAGTTTACAATATGATTGTATTCATATCTGATAATTAGAATGTTATATTACTTGTAATTTTAAGCAAGTGAGATTTCACACAAAGATTTGCTATGCTTATTAGACCATGTTATGATTATACTATATACCTTGCACAGATCGTGAAATCTGACAATCTAGCGATAAACATTTTAGTAATCTTGTTTTACAAAACCTGTATTTTTAAATTGATGTTAATTCATTTAAAAAGATTATTGTATATATTGGTATATAAGAAGTAACATAATGTGTTGTTTTTTTTTCTTTTTCAGAATACTCCGATGCTATCAAATCATGTTGTGTCACTTCCGCAGTTGACGGCAGCTCTTCCTGTCTCAATTCCAGCTCTCCCTCTCCCATCTCCTACCATGACCTTGACCTTACCAACAACCCCTACGTCGCAAATCTCTTCTCAATCCATGTCGCAACCACAAACCCCAACAAGTGCGGGACCAATCCGAAGAAGGGTATCGGATAAGTGCAATCTGCCTATTTCAGCAGGTATTTCTAACGGTAATCATATATTTAAAATTATAAGCATGTCATTATTATACAGCTATAAACAGAAGACATTGCCTATAAGAGAGATCAGAATTTCTATAAGATCAAAGATCTGTCTAAAATATGAAGTCTTATATAGACCCCCCATGTGTATGATGAATATTATTATAAATTTAATTTTGAATGGAATCATCTTAAAGTATATCAATCAGCTTTTTGTCACTGCTTACATTAATATCTTTTAGTATAACAATATCCAGTTTGTTTCAGTCAGATTAAATGATCAATCCCTGTGCCAAAATTGAAAGTGAACTTTATAGGTTATGTAACCTATAATGTTCACTTTCAATTACTTTTAGTATAACAATGTCCAGTTTGTTTGGATCAGATTAAACAATCAATCCTTTGGGTTAAATAACCTAAAATGTTCACTTTTAATTTTGGCACAGGATAGATCGTTTAATCTGATCCAAATAAACTGGACATTGTTATACTGAAAGATATTAATGTAATATATCCAATTATGAAGTTCTGTTGTATAAATATGTAAATTGGTGCATGTTCACATAAATAAGAATGTTATGTTTCATTTTCAGAAATCCAAAGAAATCGTGATTTTTATAAAAATACAGATGTACGACCGCCATTCACTTACGCATCATTAATCAGACAGGTATTAATGACATTATTGTCTTAATTTGTCTTATTGATCGCTCCATTCTTAACCCAGTTAATAGTGGGTAGTAATTGTAATAAAGTAATCTCCCTTCAGTCATTGCCAAACTTTACTTGTATATCACATTGTGATATATCTTTATCATTGCTGTATACCCAAATGATCTTCAATAAAACATCTTGTCTTGAATGGGCGCTCTGACACAAGTACACTGTGTAGGGTTTTGGCCGAACAAACAACGTAAACAACATCGTCATCAAATGAGAAAGTATATTATAATAATAACAAACATCTGACAAACAGATTACCAGTTATCAACAGTTCATGACACACATGATATATAAGATAAAGGCCGACAAACGGCGAATGCTGTCTTCCCTACTATTCCGCCATAGCTGTCCCACAGTGCAGCGTCGCATGTGCAGCTTAACATATTACCGTAAAGTTATTAAAGAGATGTACAATGCATAACTGTATAAAGCAATACCCACAACTGTGATACAGAAAACGAAACCAAGAAACCAAAATACCAAAAGTAGACAATCTCCCATCCGCTTTAAGTTTGAATTTGTAAAATCAAAAGATAAATTTTGATTTTTATATTTATATTTCAGTCTATAATCGAGTCCCCTCATCGTCAGTTAACCTTAAATGAAATATATCAGTGGTTTCAGAATACATTTGCATATTTCCGACGTAACGAAGCCACATGGAAGGTAAATAGGAGAAATATTCGTCCATTTTTTTTTTGTTTCTATATTCATATAGAAACACTGAGCATTGTAACCTTGTAGACCAAAAATGAGGCCTTCAATATTTCAGCATCGGTTTCAGCTGTTAAATATTAATCAACAATGATTTATTTATTTCCCATTTAGACAGACAAAAAATAACACCAAGTTTTACTTTACTACTTGAATGTAAGTATATAGAAACCTAAATTCTTCCCCAAATATTCAAATCTGTTCGTGTTGAATTATATTTATTGTTTTTGATGATCACATGTCAAACAATATATTAAACAAGGTTACATTGCTATTTTATTGTTGGTTTTAATGTGATCAATTTCACCATTAATGTTCTGATTTTCTTTGGATAAAAAAACAAGCTGATTTTTTAAAAGGAAGGGTTTGTCAGTCGGCCACCCAGGTATTTATTTGACAAATTCAGCTCATAGGGAAATTGCCAGAAGTCAGCATTATGCACAGAATTAGAGCGTTTATTTATTTTTAGTTTAGTTTTATTATCAACCATGCATGATGTTAGATTACTATAGTGTAAGAAGAAAATGTATAAACCTTTGAAACATAAAAATATTAAATAGAATAGGTAAAATTTTACCAGTATTGAGTTTTTTGGTAAATTTTATGTACATTTACATGTCAAAAAAATATTTTTTAATGAATTTGGAGGAATGCAAAAACATCAGCAGAAATAAGCTATACTCATTGATTTTACAGGATATTGTTCTTGTAATAAAAATTTTACAAATTTCTGGCTAATTGAAATGTTAATAAAGAAGTTAGCCTGTAAGTGTAGGTAGAAATTAAATGTCTTATAGTTGATTAGATCTAGATATAAACCTGTAAGTGTTGAAAGCATGGCATACATATATTGTAGATACAGCATATTATCCTGTATATAATATAGATCACATCATAGTCAAATATATACATACAGTCAGACACAACATTATATGACTGATATCTACATCAGACCTAACAGTAACCAGATGCTTTTTGATTGGCATTGAATCTTTGATCAGAATTTCCTTGAAAAAAAAAACAAACTTTGGAAATGGTGGACCTTTCAGAATGAAATCAAGAAAAATATTTTTGGTTTCACTACCAAATTGATTGTGAATTTTTACAATGGAAAAACACAATGTACCCACTGGTAAACTATGAACATGATCACAGATTTAAAGATGCATTATGTAAGATTTACATGATGAACTAGCCATTCTTGCACTAATAATAGTTCAAAAAAGAAGATATTGAAAATTTCATTAAAATTACTTTATTCTAGACGAAGTTAAGAGTGTTTGAAGTTTTGACAAGATGTCAAGTAGATTGTTCATTCGTGTGCCAGCAGTTTTGGCAGTCAAGACTAAGTCCAGAATATCCATTTTATCATTAAATTTTCAAATCTAGCGGGTGTTCAAATTCATTTAAATCTCTGCCATCTTATGGTCTAGAGAGTTGATTATAGGCTTGCCATGTGAATAAATGTTTAAATGATAGTTTATATAGCATTTTAACTTGAAGCCAAAGTAAAGACCTGCCAAAGGCAAATTTAGTTCCTACATAATGCATCTTTTATGCTTATCATTAAGTAAATGAATAAGATATAATAATTTTACCTAGAGTTTGCTAAACAAAATTATTAGATTTTTACTTCGTAAATATAATTAAATTTCAAATGAGCATTCAATATTAAGAATTGAAACCTGTGCATAATTGCCACCTTTTGGTTTTCTCTAAAATGTTGACAGACCTGTTTATCAAATCTGATCGTCCATTATCCAAAGATTTCAACCCTGAAAAGACTGGAATAGTGAATTTTTGCCAGGACATATATTGAATCTGACAATGCTGCAGTTTAACCGTTATTATAGAAAAGCCAATCGTAGTATGCTAATAGATTTAGTACTGGAAACAAACTGACAAACTCCTTGTAGTCTGAGGTCCTCCAAAACTTTGCTGGAATCCAGTGTATTATATAATCCAAACTTTTAGCTGTCTCTGCTTATCGATTCATTACAAAATGGTACCACTACTAGGAAATATGAATAGTTCATGAAATCAAATGATGTTGATTATAACCTTGTGGATTGTAGATTATCCTCAAAATTTTCCAAGCACAGTCATAAACATTTGCCTTCAGCTTTTCTAAAAATCACATAAATTAAGAGGCAGATTATATATGTACCGGTATATATAAATATATATAAAAAGTATCCCTTTAAAAATTGTTGGTCCATTCAATACAGTTTGGAATTTATACTTGATATGACTGATTTAATCAGCTTTCTACTTGCCCCAATTTTTTCGATTCATGTGAAGGAGTTTGTTAGCTACTATTTATATAGTATTAATGTTTGGCTGTCTTTAGTCTCAAATAGTTGAATAGAGATATCTATATGTATATTATATATATATAACAGATAGAATTGAATGTATTTTATAGAGAAAGAGAGAATCATTTAGTTTTATCCCTTTATTTTACCTGAGAGCAATCTCAGATTTTCATTTGTAGATGATTTGATTGTAGTTTTAAACAAGTTGAATTTTTATATGTTTCTGTGCAGAATGCTGTAAGGCACAACCTTAGTCTTCACAAATGTTTTATGCGAGTTGAGAACGTAAAAGGAGCCGTGTGGACGGTGGATGAAATTGAGTTTTACCGGAGGAGACCTCAAAAAATGAGCGGGTATGTTTAGTTCTCTAGAATATCACTTAAAATTATCTGCTTTTGTTTTTCAGCAGACTTACTTACTCTGTTTTCTTTCTCTTTCTGTGTTTTTTGATTTCATCTTTTCATCTGAAATTTCTGTACAGATTTATCCCAAATTATAAAATATTAAACATTGACATAGTTCTATTTAATATGATTTGAATCAAAATGTCTGATTCCATCTTTGATATTAAGTGAAAGTAGATCAATGTATTTGATGATTGACAAAAAGTAGTTTTATAAATGATATATTGGTAATGAAAGTTTTAAATACAAATTGATGGTTAAGTAATAAAGATGGAAGGCTAGATGAAAAAGCACAGAAACTGTTGTGTTTTTTGCTGCTAACAAAAGGTTATAACCTCTCTATCTATCCTGTCTTATTGCTGCACACAGAATGCAATACGCACCAACTTATCCCTGCATAAATGCTTTGTAAGATATGAAGATGATTTCGGCTCGTTTTGGCTGGTGGATGATTACGAATTTATAAGGCGACGTCACTTGACTCGAGGGAGACCGAGAAAATATCATGATTCGGACTGCCTTGCACAGTAAGCACCCTTTCTCTTTGTTTAGCTGTGAAACAAATATAATTGGTAGTTCCAGTCCTGTAGACAGAGTATGTAGAAATATATAAAATTATCTAGGATTAATTTGGTAAACATTAAAGGGAACCTTTTTTTTACACACCTGTATTTTTGTTCAGGAAGAATATATTTTTCTCCAAAAGGACCTGTGGAATTGAAATGTAATGGGATTTAATTCGTACATTTCTGCATTGACTGGGCTAATGAAGGCGGGATGGTACAATTGAACATAAGCTTCTGATAAATGAGCTTTGTTGATGAGAACAACATTTAATTTATTATGATGAAAGTAAAGTGATCGATTTAAAATTACTGCCAAATCTGTGTTGATTAAAGATTCCCTTTAATCTGATGTGTGGCTGCACCTTTTGTTCTTTTTTTTTAATGTTAAAGTCATCGATCTTCATTTTATGAACAATATCTAATTTTTGACAGCTTATTCCCTGCTTAAATGTACTCAAATTGATTATTAAACATTTCATTAAGAAAACAAATTTAAAAATATCAACGGTAGATAATCTCCCGATTTGGATTGAATTGGATTGATAAGAGCCCATCAAGATATTTGAGCAAGGATTGTTTTGACTGTTGACAAATTTTCAATTCACCATATCTTGGTAAATACTGAAAAAAATAAAACCATTTCTGGACTGATATTTTAGAGAATTGACCTTCACAATATTGAAATGTGCAATCCCTTTGATGACAATCATAGACATTAACAATTTTTATTTAAACATACATTATGCAAGAGCAAAATCTGATTATTGCAAGTCTTAATTTAGGCTTCAGATGTTATAGAAATTATAAATTAGATCTTTATTTAAACAACAAGCCCAAAATCAACTCTGTAGACCCACGGATGGCTCGGCTACAGCTTGGATTTAAATAGGATTTCACTTATCAATTAATTCAAATATGGCGCATCCTGATGAGAATACGTCAGTTAGATCGAGGCTAAATGATAGAGTGTACTTAGCGAGGCCGCTGTAGAGCGTTTCCGCATGCCATTGAAAACTTTACTTGATAATCGAGATATGTAGGTGGAGTTAACGCCTGTCAATCAAACAATCAGCCACGGTGAAGGCACATTTCACTACCATTTCTAGTTAAATATTACAACGATGATAACTATGTTCAGAATAAAGTAATTTGACTGAAATTTTCAAAATATTCTTCTTTCATCATCTACTTTTGAACTGTTATAGCAAGAATGGCCAATTCTCTGTAAAAATCTCCCATAATGTATCTTTAATTCTCTGGCAGTTCAGTTTAAAACATGATGTAACTTTGTACCATCATTTAATGTTAAGAGTATGCTAATGTATTTACATTAAATGGTTCATTTTAGTCTTTCCACTAACTCAGCGACACACATTAGGTTTTTCTACATTTGAATATTGAGTTTAACAGATCCCTTAAATACGTTTTACAATGAAGAAAGGCTAAATTTATACATCAGCCCCTACAATAAATGTTGACATTAGAAATGTTTATTCCAGAAAATAAATATTATCATTAAGGAGATCAATTTTGAGGGCTGTTTGATATTGTCTTAAAAACTTGAAAGTTTGAAATATTTTGCATGATATTAAATTTTATGTTTGTGGTATTGCAAAATATTTTGGAAATATTAAACAAATTGACTCATTGATTGCATCAATCTGTGTTTTACAGAATGTTGTTAAACTATGACTAATTATGGTTTGGCACCCACTTCTGTCCATCATTAATAGTTAATGTATGTAACAATATTTGGTCCATCTTTATTCTTTCATTTTGTACTAATTTCTTTGCTACATTGATATCAAATTCGCTGTTAACAGTACATGTTTTGATGTATATATGTAACACTTATTTGCTAATTATATACCATACTGATACATCACACTGAATTTTATCATTCTATATTTCTTTTTTCATTTACCTTTTCAGAAACATGAAGAGTCCATCGTATGCAGAAACAACCTCGTTTAATGAAAGTTTGAATGCATCTCTCAGGGTACGTTATCATCAGCATGAGTTGCATGGTCCACTCGGGGATATATCCAGATTGATGGAGGTATTGTAGGGAAATCAGTTCTAACTGTTTGCTTCCAGTTTGGCTTGATCTGCTTTCTGTATGTATTTAGATCCAATGGTGACAGGATAAAATCACATTAGATGGCATTGGTAGAAAATCACATAAACGTGTTTGATTTTTGGTACATTTACTGGTATGTATGGTGGTTTGTAGGCAGTGGATTTCTGAAAGGAGGTGGACAAAAAATCTAAAAAAAAAATTATTGGAATTTACAATGAGGGAGAGTTGAAGGCACAACCTCACAGAAATATTTTTGAAGTTCAATATGGAAAAGAACCATCTGAGTAATGTTCTGTTAATGTAGGATCAGGGGCCCATCGGCCAAGATTGGTGGAAAAAACATAGAAAAATATAATGATCTAAATTCAAGGAGATAAATGATCTATGAGGGAGGTGCGGACAGGTTTATTCAATCTAGTTTCGTTTTCAAGCCATGTCACATATTTTTCAGGACAATGAGGGGAGGGTGGGGGTGGGGGTGGGTCAAGTAAACCTATTAGTCTGATGGCCTAAAGCTACCCAGTCTTTTCCTGTATTGTGTAAGATGTGTCGAGTATAAATATGACTTGTATATAAACTCTGGTAGTGCTTTTCACAACACGGCTGTAGTATAATTTAAACAAATAGTATAGAAGTTGGATGCAATTTCATACAATTGGAGATTATAAGATAAGGTTGTTTAGTAAAATATGAGGGTTTTCTGTTTAAACAAATTTGTTCTTTCCTTCATGAGGTTTAAAGTCCGCTTTCACTGAGTATTTTACCCTGATCCATTGTCACAATAAACTGGGGATGTTATGACTTGCCTAAGGGAATCTACTTATAGTGTGATGTTATGTTAGTCTTGGATTTGTCTGGTGTGGTGCATATAGCATTGGGATGTTTATGTGGAGTTTAAGTAACTTGGGTGAATGGTTATAATATTGATCAGCTTCGCCACTGTGCACATTTATTTAACATAGGTTAGACTTTAGACATCTACTGTATAAGCTTAATTTATTATGATAGTTTATTTGATAGCACTTATTCACTACTATTCTTTCAATATATATACACATAGGTTTCACTGTTAGAAAATCACTTTCTGGTTAATTCCCCATTTAAATTAATTTAAATAGAAGTTTAATATATATCTTTATAGAATTTGATAAACCACATTGTTTTATATTAACATAAATTTAAGCTAAGAGGGAAATTTCATCGAGTTGAATTAACAAACCTTTGGTTAAATGCCAAATAAAGTCTTGAAAGTTGACCTACTTTATTAGCTTGAATTGTAGACCATAAAATTATTGGGCCATGAAATTAGGAAATAGAACACATCATGGAGTCATAAATTAATGGGGCATATAGGACAAGATCACTGTTGAAGAGAATGTAATTGTTTATTTTCAGGCTGCTCTAGGAGAGTCAAGTTTAGGTTTAATGGGATCCAATAATGTAGGCCAAGACAGTGCTGAAGATTTATCAATGAAGAGTAACTCTAATGGTGGACATGATGAACTTTACAGGTACATGTAATAGTAAAGTTTTATATTAGCAAGAAATTGATATAAAATAAATCAATAAATTTTCAGCCTTTCTTTGCATAACCTATTGATTTTTATCACAGGTAAGACAACTTGTGTCACTGATTGCATTAGTTTTTCTCATAACCCTGTGGTTATTAGTATTACAGGCGGGGGGGGGGGGGGGGGTAGATGGCTGAATGGTGCTGTATCATACGGTCTGTCATTGAGTCAACTGGCAGGGTTTCGATTCCCCGGTTGTACGTGACAAGGAGTAGGGTCGCCTGTCCAACCTTGTGGGTGTTATCACTATATATAGTCTTGATGATCGGAACTTTATCACTTGGTGTGATTTTGTAAGTAAAACCTAAACATGAAATAGGGTTATAACGTTTTACCTTTCTGCACTGACTGGGCTAATGAAGACACGTGCACCGGGCCTCGGTTTATCATCTAGAAACTGTTCCTTTCCATTCCCTCCGTCCTGCACCACCTCAAACCTAAACATAAGATGTAAACATGCTATTATGCTTGAGGTCTTGATTTGGGATTATGGTAAATGCCAAGGTCTTCTGGCAAGTTTTAACCATGATGGCTCATCAGTAGTAGGCCTACGACTGACCAGAAATGGGAGGGGAGGGGGTGTGGCCGAATGGTTAATGCATGCGCGAAAGACCCCTACGTGCTAGCAATTTATTGAAATAAAATTAAACCATATGTTAGTCCCAAAATGATCTAGTTTGTGGTTGAGTGGATGTTATACCCCATTTCTCTCTATCTGACCAGAAGTTGACAAATCAACTTTTATTGATAAACCACACTATGTATTTCAGAGAAGAGGAACTCATGATGCGAGCAATAAAACAAGAAACAGAGGATGATGATTTAGACCAATCAGACTACATGGAAACTGAAGTTGAGAGAGAGATTGATCAATCTCTAGAGCGAGACAGAACATTTGATCATCCAGTGGAACGAGACGAAGAATTAGAAGATGGCGAGGATGTTTTGTTCAATAAACCTAAAACCACGACAAATGGAGTATTAGATCTAGCAGTGGATAGTAACACATTATCGAAAAAGGTCAATCGAAGTGAAACTGTGTCTAATGAAAGAGAAGAGGATGAAACCGATAACCCAGCGGACGAAATGGTCGAAGATATGGGCTGTTTTTCCTTACCTCGTGTTTCTCAAGAGATGCCATTACCCGTGCCATCGTCGGCAGTCGTGTAAAGTGAAAAAGAATCTCAAAATAAACAATACGAACAAAAAAACAGAACATGGTACAACATTGTGAATAGTATTTTAGCGTTGAAGCAAAATATTTTTGTCCCCCAAAGATACAGGGTTTGTTTTATCAGGAACTCAGAGGTTATGACAAATTTATATTTTGTCAATTTATAGTGCTAATTATGGTATTGTTGTTTTAACATTTACATATATATTATTGATTGTCTTTAAAAATGATTTTTTGCTCGAAGTTTTGAAATATTTACACAAAATGGAGTTTGTATGAAGAGCGTATAATTATTAGATGGATGAACTTTTGAACTTTAGAATGTTTATCGTTTAGAGAATATGAAATGTTTAATACACTTTTCATAGTGTATAGATGGACATGGTGATTGGCACCTGTCACTTTATAAATAAATACCGGTAGATAAATTTGAAACCAAAGTCGGCTCCGTTATCGGGGCCAAATAGTATAATGTTTATTTTTATGTCATTTTTTATTAGAAATCAAAAGTTGTACATAGTTTGATGTTGTTCTGTGCTTTAGCATATTGTAATATTATTTATTGTATAATCGATCATAGATTTAAGACCTTTTTTCATTCATTGTTCAAGGTGAAATTCGTTATTCTTCAGTTAGATATTAATGACTGATTAAGAGTTGGCAACAATTCTTTAAGAAATCAGTAAATGTACGAAGGTCTATAAAGAACCATTGACATATTCAAAAGGTTCAGTATTGATAATATGATGTGTTTTTCTCTAATTCTTATTCATACAGCTGATATATTAATTGAATTAAATATCCATAGTTTTGAGCAAATGAAGACATGCAAATTGATTACTGTATTCTTTGTAGACTAAGTAAAGTTTGGAATATCAAAGATTAAAAAAACACCCCTTTTTAGTTAAAATGACCTCCTCTAGAACTATGCACTTGGTGTATACAGTAATGGCCTGCGAAGATTCTATTATTTTTAGAGGGTGTTTTTTGGTTTGGTGCAACTTCTTGTTAAAGGTAATTAGAAATCAATGCTTGTATTTCATTTTAAGAGGAATTTTAACACTTTAGTATTTTGCTCAGAGATCTATATCACTTTGATGTTGTAAGCATTTTAATGTTTCTTGGCACAATGAAAATATTCTGCAATGATTATGATTATACACTTTATTACATTATCTTGTTTACATTTAAGTCCAAAAGAACGGGGCCCATGGCCATACATCTTTCTTTTTTTCTTAATACGACATAAGAATGACAAGAATTTGTTATTCAACCTTATGACTAAATAAAATATCTTCAGTGTTATATATTTGGATTATGTTTATCTAATCTGTAAAATGTACAATATTGATGCTATTTGTAATTGTTTTTTGCATGTATACATTATACATTAGGCACACCCCTTCCAGAAATCAAAATATATGTTAAAAAGGTGAACCTAATCCACTGACAATAGGTAGTGCTATTAAGAAGCAGATTCAACTCAAGTACTCTCAAGTTGAGAAAAGAAAATTTTTTATGGTCCTGGGTCAAGCATTACAATTATTTTTATTTTCAAATGAACAGATTTTTCATCTCATATTTTTAGTTTCAAACAAACAGATAGAATTAATATCACACATTCTTAGTTTCAAACAAATATCTCATATTTTATTTTCTCATGAACAGATAGAATGAATATCTCATATTTTTATTTTCACATGAACAGATAGAATGGATATCTCATATTTTTAATTTCAAATGAACAGATAGAAAATACATCAAATATTTGTAGTTTTAAGTGATCAGATAGAATTAACATCTCATATTTTTAGTCTTGCATGAACAGAACATTTTTTAAACTTGACTGTCAAATGACCCGGTTACTCATCTTAGCTATATTTTATAATGTTGTCCCATGTCTGGTATTACTGACATCACTTTGTCTCATATTCATTCGTTTTGTTTTTGTATACATATTACTTTAATCAAAAACTTTTTGTTAGATTTGTTATGGAGTTTATTTTTCTGGCTGGTAGATAAATCTTTCACCTGTTTTTGTGTGTATTCGAGGCCAACTTCACTTTAAACAATTGAGGGCATTCAGTCTCAGCAAATTAGTAAATACAACAGTTCAGATTCACATCATTCATAGGGGCTCGAGATGAAGATTACATTTTATTTCATTATATATATATAACCTGACTAAATTTCTTTTTGGGGAAGGGGCTGTAAAATCCTAACTAAAAATGGTGAAATTGAGAAATTGAACATTTTTTTTCCTAGTGAGTAGCAAGAAAACAAGCATCATGCATTACATAATACACCAATGACATTTTATTTTTCAAGGAAATGCGCCAAAAAACCCATTATATTTTGAGCTATAAATAGTATATCTTTGATTTATTATTATAAATAAAGTTGTATGGGTACTGTTGCTATGTACCAGTTGATGGAATCTAGAATTTTTAGGAATATTTCAAAAAATTATTTGGTAGATTATGTATTTTAATTTTGTCATATACTATTTGTGCTTGGGTCTAAAACTTAGCTCAATGAACTGTAACTATAAATTTTTACATTGATTTATTAATCACATGTATTTTTATTGTTTTATTTTATAGATACCTGACAAGGAGAAAAACATTATTAAATAATAATCATAATATACCACTAATATTAGAAAGGATTGTAATAACTGATATAATTGTACATTAGGTTGTGCTTTCAGAATATTTTTAATAATATATTCATTTATAGGTACACTTCATTAAAGGTGTATGCTGACTTCACACTCAACACAATAAACTTAAGATTTTTTAAATGCAAAGTGTTCTTTGAAAAAAAAATGAATTTTTAAAATAGATTTATAAAGATAGTGCTCATTGAAACAATCCAGTTTTATTATATATAGTAATATCTTTATATATATATATTATATATATATATATAGATAGGTTGTACTTCATGTTATATTTGTGTTGCCAAAATCAGTTTTAAAATTTTTATTTTATCTCACAAAGATACATCATTCTCATCAACATGCATTTAAAATAAAACATTTTTTAGCGTCAACCTACATATACTTGTTAGTATAATGGGTGTCCATAAAAAAAACCCAGATATTGCCAAGATGGCGATATTCACATTTTGTGTTTTAGTCATATCAAAACAGACTATATATTGAACAATTTGGATAATATCTCCCTTTATTCTATGCAGTCTAATCACAATAAAGTCTTTATGTATGTGTTGGTTTTTTCCTCCACAATTCTTATAGGATCTTAATCATCAAGTTCTCCTTCAGGTAAACTAGGTAATAAATTATACATTAATTCTAGCCAGTCTATAAGTGTGTGAATTTTCTATACTTGTTGTGTTAGATATTGAATATAATATCATGCTTGTGTGTGTTCACCATGTATTATAACTTTTAAATGTTATTTTAGAAGTTTGTTTGTGAAATAGCTACTAGTCAAATGTCAATTTGGCATAGGAAAACCCCAGAGTATAGGTACATGCAGGTGTACCCACATTTTGCAATAAAAGATAATACATATATACCTTGATAATGACATGTGTCGATCTGATGAGCATCTGTCGATCTGATGAACATGGCAGTAGGATGAAAACTGAAATATATTTAGTTAATTAAAGGACCTTAATGTAGCTGTTCCATATAATGTTTAGAAATTTGATCATTTACTAGTAGCTATGATATTATACATGTAATTAAATATAGAATCTGTCGGCTAATTGTAGGCAGGTTAAGAGATGTTGCCTGAAGTTACAGAGCTGTACACTGGTATTTTCATATTAAGAAAATCGTATTGTACGCCATATGGGGGTAGAAGGAATCTTGAAGTTTCTTTGTATAGAAAAAAACACTCTCAGTATTTTCCACTAAGAATTTGTACAAAAGGAAAGTCAGTACAGAGGTCTTCATGAGGGGAAACCCCCAAATGTCTGCTGCGGCGTTCAGGATGATGTTTCTAAACCTGCCTATATTGGCTGTTTGTCCACTGTATGTTCATCAATAATAATGTCTTCCTGAATTTTAATTATACTAATTGATTGATTAATGAAACAATATTCAACGTGTTGTGGTGATCTTAAAATCAGGAAAACAACCCGAAGCATAATCTTATTTTTTTCTTCTTTTATTGTAAGTAATTGTAGATATTTAAAAATAAAACAAATTTAAAGTCTATTTTAGAGAAGAGGATTTATAAATTTAATCACATGTATGTGAAAGTGTTTGTTAGTGCTCATTTGTTAATGTTTTATAATTCATTTTTGGTCTGCTTGTTTTTTTTTATTCTATGCTTTTTTCTTTCTAATAATGTGTCATTTGTAATTGGAAGTTTCTAGTTGATTCATGCAATCCATAATACTTGTATTACCTTTTCATTATTAATTGACTGTATTTTGGCTTTACTTGATGGTCAGTTTTTGGCTAACACACATTTGAAAGAGTCAAATTAAATCCAATTTTCACTGATCTAAAAATCAAAGATGTAATATTAACATTTCAGAATCCTACCCCAATTTAGGTCATAATAATACTCAATAAATTATAGTCTAATGAAGATTGGTATTGCACATAATCGTAAAATTGTGCTTACTCAATAGTTCAATATTATTAGATATCTTGGAAATTGAATAAGAAAGGGGCAAAGAACAGAACAATATTTTATTTTTTATTTGCCAGGGGCAGCTGCTACTTTAATATTGGCACAGAAACAAAATTTATATGCCCATTGAAATGTGTATGTTTCATTACCTGGCTATCTATCTTTGAATTAAGGAGATGTGTAGATTTAATCTATTTATTGTACATTTGGTTTCCAAGATAAACGAGATGCTATTTTCTTAATGATTATACATCATCAGCCCTCGAAATAGTGACAAACAACCCAGAAAAAGGGCAAATAATTGCCGGCCAGAATGGTAGGCCCGACAAAGCTTGTCTGCATTATTTCCAGGCTTGATTCATGCATTATTTCCAGGCTTGGAAAGCTATGAAGATGGTGTAAAATGCTGTCTAGAATCTGGTTTTCTCTAGGATTATCAAGTCTTCTTTGACCAGGGCTTTAAAGGGCATATTACACCTTAGTAAATTCTAACTCATTTTTGTTCAGTTGTCTTATTGTTAAGCCATGTGCAATGTACTCAGAAAAAAACTATGATAATAGGTCTAAAGTTTATTTTAGGCTCACTTCCAGGGCTCAGCTGATATTACAATATCTACTCATATGTCTGTTAGTAGGCCCTATTTGTTCTATTAAGGATACAGTCAGAAAACCCAATACCTATATATTAAGGAAATATCCACATTCTTAAGCTTTTTTAAAGAACAATAAATAAATGCTGTCTTGAAATTTGTTTTTCTTTCAGCAATAGTAAGATCTGAGAATAGAATTCTGTTGTTATAAAAGCTTGTACATTGCATTATGTGTATTTTCGTCACCTTGTTTGTCTTCTAGTCGCAATGGCACATTACACTGGCCTTCTGTTGGCGATAAGTTTTATTTATTTTTCACAAGCTATAAGCATAATTCATAATATGTAATCTTATAAAACTGTTGTGTATGTTTATTTTGTTTTATGTTGACTGCATGAAAATCTGATATACAATCATTCAGTTCCATTCATAATCACCATGGTAATTGTAAATCTCTAGGGTATGGACCAATCACGTTGCACAGTGTGATCATATGACATCATTCAACCAATATGTGTCATTGAATCACTGAAATCATTTACTTGTACCTCAGGTCTGGGCCCAGAATAAACAAAATATGGGATCATAACTTTGGTTTGCTTTGTCTTTTTATTTTTATGTTGTAATGGAGTTGATGCAGTAGGCTTAGTCGCAGTTTCTTTTCTTAAAAAAGTGCAATCTTTTTATTTGACAAAGTCTCTTTAATTGATATTTGAGGGGGAGAAGGGCATATATAAATATATGTATATACACACAATTCAAGTAAACCATAGATCAGAAGGCAGACCAACAATAAAATGCAATGGTTCCACCACACTCCTCGCAATGTTTCGTCTGATTAGACCTAAACCCACTCGAGGGATTTCTCGGGCCATTCCTTCAGGAATATGTGGTTCCACTTGTCTGCACCAGCCGGTCATATGCCATGCTATGGGGAAAATTTTGCCTGGACAACGGTGCTACAGCCTACTTGGCTTTTCGTAACATCCAAACAAGTAAAATTACTATCTTTAAAAAAAACCTTTGGGGCCTATAGTATCTGCTGCCGGATACATAGAAAGGATATGCTATAATATTCCCCCATGACCAATTTATGATGTTTATCTGTGGTAATCTGTCATGTTGCACAATCCAGATTATCACTGAAAAATAAATGAAATAAAATAAAATATTATTATGCTCCGACTGGGCTAATGAAAACATGCATACGCCATACAACGGGTTATGAGAATATGCCAACTGCCAAGGCATCATCAGTAGCGGATTATCAGTGAGGCTGCAGCCTCAGGCCCAAAGATTTTTTAAAAAAATTTTTTTTAGACTTGTCTGATACGTTTAAAAACGCATAGACAATGAATGTTAGGGTGGTTGGGTTTAGGCCCAACGGAAATCAACATAGGCCCTGACCCGAAATTAATTAGGCCCACGCCATTTTAAATAGGCCCTCCAGCAACTGCCGCCTCAGGCCTTGGTGGCGCTTAATCCGCCACTGGGCATCATTTATATACACACCAATGCATATACGGGTCCTCGGTTTTCGTCCCATCCAAACGTCTTGACAGCTGTCTTTGTCAGGCCCTCCGTCCTGCACTACTGACAAGGGGAGACCACCCCGGAAAATCCCAATGAACTTTCTCCGCCAGTGCATCTTACCCACTTTGCCATCGTGGCTCCCTGAAAAATAAAACCTTGTTCAGTTTACAGACGCCTTGCTTTTTGTTTTTAACTCGTTTAAAAATTTTCCCACCAGCAATATCATTTTTATACGCCCACATTGAAATGTGGTCGTATATTGTTGTTGCCCCCGTCCGTCCGTCCGTCGGTCCGGCGCCCACAATTGCTTGTGGACGCTCTAGAGGCTAAAGTTAATATCTGATTGACTTTAAATTTATACACAGTGTTTAAGGTCTTGAGACGAAGAAGCCTATTGATTTTCAGCGATTTCCGATAATTACTGCCAGAGTTATGGCCCTTGATCACTTTGAAAAATCTTGTGGACGCTCTAGAGGCCAAAGTTAATATCCAATTGACCTTAAATTTATACACAGTGTTTAAGGTCATGAGACGAAGAAGCCTATTGATTTTCAGCGATTTCCGATAATTACTGCCAGAGTTATGGCCCTTGATCACTTCAAAAAATCTTGTGGATGCTCTAATGACCAAAGTTAATATCCGATTGACGTTAAATTTATACACAGTGTTTAAAGTCATGAGACGAAGAAACCTATTGATTTTCAACGATTTCCGATAATTACTGCCAGAGTTATGGCCCTTGATCACTTCAAAAAATCTTGTGGATGCTCTAGAGGCTAAAGTTAACATCCGATTGACATTAAATTTATACACAGTGTTTAAGGTCATGAGACGAAGAAGCCTATTGATTTTCAGCGATTTCCAATATTTGCTGCCAGAGTTATGGCCCTTGATCACTTTGAAAAATCTTGTGGATGCTCTAGAGGCCAAAGTTAATATCCGATTGACTTTCAATTTATACACAGTGTTTAAGGTCATGAGACGAAGAAGCCTATTGATTTTCAGCGATTTCCGATAATTACTGCCAGAGTTATGGCCCTTAAGTTATCATCCGATTGACTTCAGATTGATACACAGAGTTTAAGATCTTGAGACGAACAAGTATATTGATTTTCAATGAATTTTTATGACTTGAACAGTTAAATCCATGATATTAATAGCTTTGCATACAAAACGTTAGCATGGGGCAGAACTTTATAAAAACCAAACAAATTCTAATAGTTTTCTGATAAATACTTCGTGAGTTGTTGCTCTTAATCAGATTTTAGTGTATTATAAATGTTTCATTTCCGAAAAAAAGTAAAAATATGCGACAACCCTTGTTGACTGCCCGGACGATTTAGTTGCTGTGGGCGTATGTTTCGTTGCCTGGTAACCTATCTTTCCTTTACGGATTCTTCATCTATCTTGATACAGCTTAGATTTCTCTTCTGTGTAAAATAAACTTTTATTGTTGCTTAAACAATACACGAACAATAAAATTGTCAAAAAAAAAATGAAACGTGGTCTTAGGTTTTAGCATAAAGTAAAAGAGCACATTATTGCTATTTGTTTGTAATATGCCCTTTATATTTCCGTAATTAATAACTGGAGCAGGATCAGTCGTCGGTCAGGGCATATATATATATGCAAAACGTCAATCGCCAACGTCCGATATCCAACATATTCTCGCCTGCCACAGATCATCCAAGTTCATATTTTATTCTAATTCTCTTCTTAGGACTCACGTTGTGTATTTATTTTTATACACCCACAATGTCGTCGCCCTCAACGATTTCTGCCAATTACTGCCAGAGTTATAGCCCTTGGTCACTTTGAAATATTTTGTGCACGCTCTAGACACTAAAGTTAATATCCGATTGACTTTAAATTTATACATATTGTTTCATCCCATGAAACGAGGGGGTCTATTGATTTTTAACGATTTATGATAATTACTGCCAGAGTTATGGCCCTTGGTCACATTGAAATATCTTGTGGATGCTTTAGACGCTGAAGTTAATATCCGATTGACACAACGTTTAAGGTCATGAAACGAAAAATCCTATCGATTTTCAACGATTTACACAGTGTTTAAGGTCACGAGACTAAGAAACCTGTTGATTTTCAACGATTTCCGATAATTACTGCCAAAGTTTTGGCAAATGATCACTTTGAAAAATCTTGTGGACGCTTTAGAGGCTAAAGTTAATATCCGATTGACTTTATATTTAATACAGTGTTTAAGGTTATGAGACGAAAAAGCCTCTTAATTTTCAACGATTATGGCAATTGATATTATTTCCGATAACTACTGTCATAGTTTTGGCCAATGATCACTTTGAAAAATCTTGTGCACGCTTTAGAGGCTAAAGTTAATATTCGATTGACTTTATATTTAATACAGTGTTTTATGAGACGAAGAAGCCTCTTAATTTTCAACGATTATGACAATTGATATTAAATTGATTATGGCTAATATGAGAATTTTTAGCTTAATTATGATCCTGACTAGTTATTGATTTAATATTCATATACAATGCATATCTCACGTAGAGAAACTGAAATGAGTGATAATTTGATACATAAAATCAGCTATGATTTATAAACATTTAATGCTGGGTTAAAAACAAGATATCACATCTGACACTTCTGGTGAAAAGTTTCCAATAGGGGTGGTTCTCGACACCAATACGTAATATTTTTCCAATTGAATAATAGGCAGAGCTATCGCAAGGCCACTGTTCATGTTAAAAGATTGATTTAGATATAGAGACAGACTTGCATTAGGTTCCTGGGAAGGCACTTACCATGTAGGTTCGTTGGGAGATACCGTTGAGGTTCAAGAGACACCATCTGGATTCAAAAAGCCCCGTTAAGTCGGAGTAGAGCCAAATGATGTAACCGGTCAGCCCGTACACTCGGTCTGCGAGTTAGGCGGTTGAGAGAAATATTATTTCTGTTAATAATTATTGTGCTTCAAAACACAGAGAAACACACATCTATAACAAATTATATCAGTGTTCTACCTGAATCTATGCAGTATATGCATGTCTTTGAGTTTAATTAATGACGTACAAACTACCGTTTCTCTTATAAATCAGCAATGGGTTATTTATATATTATACTAATTAGTTTAATCATCGACAGTATTTTAATTAGTTAATTCCATGGTTATAAAATAAGTTTAACTTTCTTTAAAAGTATCTTGTTTTTCTAATCCCATATTTAATTTTTTTACGGGCGTTAATGTTTAGTATTTGTCAGTATATGGACGTTTTGTTCAAGTGTTGGTGGTTTTTGTTTGTAGATTTTGGGTAATATTGATACTGCTTTCATTAAACTTGGACCCGTTCCCATAACGATATCGTATTCATTTTTCGCATTTCATAGATCGTATAGCATTACCCCCTCCTCTATTTTTTGAACATTTGAAGACCTTCCTGTAAAAGTCGGTATCTTCGTCCGATTTTTTTACGCTGTCTTAGAATTATTATTCTATTTATGCAATCATCATGTTCAAAATTTAAATGGCTGATGTACGAGCAAACGCGTTTTATAGCTGGGGCGCTGGAGGCGCCAGCCTCCTCGCGAAAAAAATCAAAGAAGTTGAAAAAATAAAACGGGAGAAAAATGCTAAAACCGATGAGGAAAAATGAAAATGTACCCTAGTTAGGGAGGGCCCTAAAGACAGACAAAAGGGCCCACTTCTGACAAAAGGGCCCCTCTGGCCACAGGAAAGGGCCCCCGAGTCCGAGTCAATCGTTTTCTATACACCGTTACTGTCGAATCCACTACTGAATGACAATGCAGTCATTGCATTGGCATGAAAATCATCAATCAAGAAATCACCTTTTCTGAAAACCTACTAATAAGCTACTCAGGAAAGAGATGGCTAGGCCGCCCAGTGTGGCCTGGCTTGGCGGAGCGATCATTTCTTTGCTGAATAGATTTCCAGGATAATATACGAACCGCAGCAATTCGTAAACGTCATCAAGGACAAAATCTTCGTAAAGGATAGAATTTATGAGCTCCAGATTCTAGAAATGTTCGATTCAGAGACAAATTAATGCTGGAACAGCGTTAATATCGACATTTCCCAACATATATACGACATTGCGTATTTTTTTGTCGATCATGGTTATCCAATTGCTCGGGTGAGCGTTCCTTCTCCGCCTTGGCGCGGATAAATCATCACTTGCGTTCAACTATGGGGCAAGATCACATGGGTGCAATAGCCTTATTGTGCATTGAAGCTAATCTTCTGGACTCGATTAATTTGGATGAGATCATCAAAACTTTCGCGAGCCGCAAAGCTAGAAAGGAGCATATCGTGCAACTGGAAGATGTAACGTCCTTGAACTTTCTTCAAATATTATTTGAAATCCATTATACATGTATTCCATTAATTATCATTTGATTGAGCTCCCGGTACGAACAAGTGATTTGTTTCGCATTCAGGCTTCAGGCAAGTATGGAATTAGGCCCCGGACCTCAGATTAAACCGGCCTCGAGGGGCCTAGAGGATATGTCAGAATGCACCAAAATGTTTTCTATTTTTCAAAATTTCTCGACCTCCTGTGGTCGGAGGCAGAGACCCCCCCCCACCCCCTGCGAAAGAGGGTCCTCAAAATAGTATAGCCTATGCCGTGATAAACCTTAAAACGCAATTAAATAAAACAAAATTGAAATACTAGTTCCATTTCATTGATGACCTTTATTTACAGGGCGACTTGATTTCTCGTAGACGAATCATTTAACATGCTTACTGGCTTTATTTTATTTTGAACTTTCATTTCATAATTTATTAAAGGTCTTGTGCCATACTGTAACGAATATTAAATTTCTCATGGTGTGTAGCTGCGTAGATCATAGTATTACGTTATTCATAAATCTGAAAATGAAATTGTCGACATTTACGATAATGGTCGACTATTAGAAATATTCACACCGGATTAGCCATTATATTAAATGGCAATATAACTACGACTGGTTTAATTTTCACCAATTAAATTATTATCGCGAAGGCGATATATGGTTTTAAAGGTGGCTGTCCATATATTTCCTGGTATGGCCAAATCTATAACATAATAATGTGGATGTTCTTTTTTCTTTTTTTATTTTTGATTTCATATCCAGGAATCCTGAAGTGCCGTTATTGAATCAAGAAAAATTAAGGGTTTGGGTTTGTTTTTGTTTTTTTTTGTTGGTTTTTTTTTTGGGGGGGGGTGTCACTGACATATGATCCAAGTGCTCAATGACATTGGTTTAGACTCAAAACAGAACTAAGAACTGGTGTATAACATATGGTTTACTTCAACAACCAATTTCATTCGGAACAAAAAAAAAAGATACAAAAAAATTTGGTTGCTTTGGTAAATAAAATCTTAAGATGTCACTTTAAATCACAGCTGGCCAATTAACACATCAAAGAATTAATAATATACGTAGCGTTATATTAGCATGCAGATGTTCATTTCATGATTTATTGGTATTAAACAAGATGGATAGCAGAGTCTTGTTGCTGTTATTGTTAGTCACGACATCCTCACAAAGTAAGTAACAAACTTTATATCTTTTAGCTTTATTTCTATATTAGATTGTATAGCAATAAATTCATTTCACTTATGTTGAAAGCGATATGTGTGTTGCCGATTTATGTGAATATAATGTGTAATGCGATTCAAGCGATGCGTCATTTAATGTATCATTAATGTATCACTTAATTTTCCATTGTCATTTAATGTATTATGAATGTATTACGTAATTTACCACGTGCCATTCAATGTATTATTCATGTATTACTTAATTTACCATATGCCATCTGATTCCATGGAACTTATTTCATTAATCTGAGGGCCCTGTTTCACGAAATTGTTACCCGATTAGATTTTATTACATACTTCGAGAAGGTATTTGTTGAGTAATAAAACCTTCTAGTAGTTTATCGAGGGCTGGCCGTGCTTACCGCACGGTACAAATAAAACCTTCTAGTAGTTTATCAGGGTTCGGGTGCTTCCGGAGTCCAAAATGGCCGCTTTATATAAATGAGAATTTTGGGGATAACTAACCCGAACCCTAACCCTTTTTAAAAGACTGAACTTGGGTTTAATTTAGTTTTTACTTCTCTTAAAAGGGTTCGGGTTAGGGTTCGGGTTAGTATTCCCCTAAATACTCATTTGTATAAAGCGGCCATTTTGGTATGAGTTCTGGCTTGTTCTGGAATTTGTTGCTTCTAGTGGTGATAATATTTGTACCGTGCGGTAAGGACGGCCAGCCCTCGATAAACTACTAGAAGGTTTTATTACTCAACAAATACCTTCTCGAAGTATGTAATAAAATCTAATCGGGTGAAATTGTACCCTCGTAATCTGAGGGTGGAGTGGTTGGTTTAGTGGTCTTACCCTTGCGCTTTAATTTAGAAGATCTGTCATTGAGTCAAGTGGCGTGGTAACAATGCCAAGCTTGTGCGTGACATGGATCCGCGTCCTGGTTTTCTCGAGGTCCCCCCTCAGATTAATAGCCCTAAAAGAAATAAATTTTTAAATAAAATTGTACTATATGTTAGTTCCGAAATGACCGCCCCCCCCCCCCGGTCCTCAACCAATATGGTAACCATCAGAAATGATATAGACATAGTGAGTCAGTTCGTCAACCAACACAGTAACCATCATAAATGATAGAGACATAGTGAGTCAGTTCGAAAATATGCGATTTGTATTATTTGATTACATGGATTGGGTTATTTCGATTAGTGATTAAAATGATTCTATAACACATTGAGGGTTATTTGAAAAATACAACGTTCCTTTAACAGTATGTCCAATTACATTGGTGCAAATGCCTGATGGGCTAATAAAAACTAACTTGACTATGCCACTATACGTAACTATTTCAAATTTTTTGACAACGTCACTATTTCAAGAATTTAACTACATCACTATTTCAAGAATTTAACTACATCACTATTTCAAGAATTTTGACTACATCACTATTTTACGAATTTTGACAATGTTACTATTTCAAGAATTATTGACCCACATGCTTAAATTATTTAACCATAAAATATTATGCACAAACTATTAGTATTGTTGTATAACAATTATTGGTAAAGTTGTAGTCAAGTAGAGGGTGATCCGGGTCTTTTTTTATAACCTATCCAATATATTCAATAACATTAGAAATGAACCTTGGCCGTATTAGAACTGGAAGCTACGGTGACCCAGTGAGCAAGAGGTTAGCTCGCTAACCTGGCGGTCCCGTGTTCGATCCCTGCGTTGGCGAGAAAGTTCATTGGGATTTTCCTGCGTGGTTCCCCCTTGTCAGTGGTGTAGGACTGAGTGTCTGGCAAGGAACAACGTATAATATAGTCGTTCAGACGGGACGAAAACCCGAGGTCCCGTGTACACATTGGCTTGCACGTTAAAGATCCTGTGGCATTGGAATTCGATATTAGAGTAGGCCGTAGCGCCGCTGTCCGGCCAAATTTTTCCTCATAGCACACTGCATGGCGTATGTTCGTCTTCATTAACCCAATCAGAGCAGAACAGTAAGACGTTAACCACATTTCATTTCATTTCCTATTAGAATTCATCGACCAATGAATATTTGTTTCCTTTCTTTAGAACGTTGCCGATTATACATGAATGTCTTCTGGTTTCGTTTTCAGTGTATTTTAAGCCCTTATCAAAATGTTTCTATAATGGGAGAAGGTATGATGTAGAAGATAAGTTCCATGCTGAAGATGGGTGTAACCTCTGTGTCTGTGCTGATTCTGAGGACATGGATTACCCTGTACCTATTGTTAAATGTTCAACCGAGCCGTGTGATGTGTAATTTTAACGGAACACAACTTGTAAACACAGATTAATGCTGTTTATTTTTATGGTTTAATATAAACTATGGCTTGGAACTACAATATATAAAATAAATCCGCCTGTACAATTAAATAAGTTACTGAATAAATATGTCATGTGATGTGGACTTTTAATGGTGTTTATTTTGATGGTTTAATATGGTTTTATATTAATTATGGTTTTAAAAACCTATGGTTTAATATAAACTATGGTTTGAAATTAGAACTAGAACAGCAACAACAATAGTATAAAATATTTCTGCATTTACAGAATAAATACTTATCTCCCCTTTACCGTCGTTTTGCTGATTTAATGTTTCTTTGTACATCAACGCCAAAGATGCAAAAGACAAGTATTACTAGCCTTTAAAAGTCCAATCAGATAGCTAATTGATTTATGGGTGCTTATACTTCGCTGGTGAGCAGGGCTGCTTGAAGTAGTACCAGTAGGAAGACGACACCCAAACTGACATCATGACTATCCTCTCAACCTTTTACACATCATGCGCCAGTTTGTTCACACACAATTTCAGATGCGCCATACAACTCTTGTACACCCGTGTACTTCTTTTAGAAAATTTTTACATGATAAAATTATTAAAACAGATTAATGAGAAAGAAGATAACATTCGCTAAAAACGATATTAACAAAATAATAATATAGCTACTTAAATTGTTTGCTTATATATTAAACCTATTTATCACCCAATAATACATTCTACAGTAGATATCGCTTGTGTGATATATTTCATAATCTACTGCGATATCTCCTTAGGAGATATCGCTTTACATGAATTTGATTGGTCAGTTGAAAATGAACTACTTTTTTTTATTTTCAAAGAACAGTTCATTTCTTATTTAAAGAAACTTTTTTTTTTTTTATTAAAAATGAACTATTGTTATTCAATTGACCTTGGTGGAAACACTGGGTCAATATAAAGGACTTTGCAATGGTTGAATTGCTGTAAAAAATGATGTATCACTACGCCATAATGTTCAGTAAAAGTTAAATCTACAGCAAAGAATTATATTTATCTATTTGTGCATGTAAGAAGTTATTGGGTGATAAATAAAATCTCCTACTCGTCTTTGTTGATATTAAAAAATATCAACACTCGTTGATAAAGTAAAAAAAAACTCGTCAGAGCCTCGTTTTTTGTTACTTTATCAGCTTGTGTTGATATTTTTTGATATCAAAAAAGACTGGTAGGAGATTCTCTATATATCTCAACTTATCACTCAACTGGCATGGATTAAGCTTTTCGGAAATATATAGTTCATCCCATACCGAGCAGCAGTACTAATCTCTCCTATATGACGTCATGAATGAATGTACATGTATATTATTGTCAAAATAATATTGTACAAATTTTATATTGACCGTATAAAAACACTCTCTGTAAGTGACATTCAGCAGACTGTCAAAATGTCAACTTGTCTTTTCTGCGCAGTGTCGTATATTTACTATTAAAATAAACACGGTGGTAACAACTCGATTGTATCTATGCAAATGAAAATAAATTGAAATGGGGTTTAACGTCCTACTTTTCTGTACCGACTAGGTTAAAGAATACGGACAGGTGTACAAGATTTTGACGGGAAACTTTAAGCAAGCAAACAAATGGAAGAACAAAAACCGTGACCATCAGACGCCAAAATATCAACAAAATTTTTTTCATTCATCACATAAACTATTTGGCCTATCTAGTGCGATCGACACTGGCGCACTCACCACCTCCAGAGTTAGCTCCTACTACCTGCCAGGGCCCGGATACCCTGACGATGGCGAGAGTCTCAAACGGAACGAGGACGGGTCGAGTAAGTATCTTATTGTTTTTAATTCACCAATTTTTCCAAACAAAAGTGGACTGACAGAATCCGCTTCTAATCCTACCAACGCCACTAGGATACCCACATTCAGAAAAGTCACCGATTTTCTCCTACTTTACGATCAAGTAACTGCGTATTTTTTTGTATTAATTTATACCAACAATTTTTTTTTTAAATTTTAAAAAAACATTACTCGGCATACTCCGGGTCCCCCTAGGCTCCGGTCCAGTGCCCCCACCCACCCCACAGAACCCTGTCTATAACGGATTCATTTACGTGCACACGCCAATAGGTACAGGCCGTCCGTTCTTCATGAACCAAGAACAAGGGACACATATGCTGGTAAAATCCCGAGGAACATTGTCAGCTCTTGGTTAGCCAGCAAGCGTCTTACTCACTGAACCACCGTGGCCCACATTTGTGCATGAATTTACATGGATCAGAATAAGTGTTCATATCAGTATAAAGATGTTTGTTTATTCATGTCTTTAAACAATCACAAATTATTTTAAATATACACGATTGTATTATTTAAGAACACAATTTATAGATGAATACAATTTAAAAAGACAAACTGTCAATCTAACGTATTAAAGTAATGTAACGAGTTCTTGCGCTCAATCATAAATATGACAAAAATGACTAGATCTTTATTCTCTGGCACGCCCTTTGGCGTTACTAACTCGAAATCCGTAAAATTGCCCTGTATCTAACTTTTTCATTTGATATATTTACATTTGTACACGACTATCACGGGTTATAATAAAATAATTTCATAAATGATTAGTCCTTTGTTGATTTTGGGGCGGCGCTGATTACCCGGCATGACTACTATCTCCCCAACTTTTGATTTTTAAATTTCACACAAATGTTAAACAAAGAAAGCATTTAAAAACAAACAAGCAAATTCAATTGATTAGTTTCGCCCGCCGGTTCAAATAATGTTTACTAAGTCAACTTACTGTAACTGTAAAAAAAATAACTTGCGCTTGAGGGGTAGTAAAAAGGTTTTGATTGATTAAGCAAGAAATTATCCACTACTCAATTTACCTGCATTGCATGTACAGCGAATATAGAGGGGAGGGGATAAGTGATTAGTGTAGCTGTTCAAAATGGTGGATGGAAAGATTCTTAAATCCAAGGGCGTGGGGGGTACACAATTACACAATCTTTCAGTTGATCTACCAGTATGATAAGGCTGTAATCACAAGACTACTGTAATAGTCATAAACAAAATCATCAGTCATTCTGAACACATTCACAAGATTACTATTTAACTGATCCTTCCCACAGTAGCCTTCTTTACTACACGGTATCAGGAACATTGGAGATGATCATTATCAAAAAAGTAGTTTTTTCTTATTAAAGTGTATATTCCTGCAACTTGACACAGAGAGCACAGTGATATGAGTACATTCTACAGAAATCTATATGACTAAAATCGGGAGATTTTGAATTATAAATGACACGGTGAATCCAAAGTGTTTATGTGTTTTTAAAACTGTAATTATCTTGTCCAGACATAACTTCCTCGTAAGATGGCGGCGGGGCATTTAATACATCACTGGCGTCTGTTGATTGTTGTTGATAATTTGATTGACCTGAAATAGTGAAACATAATTATGGATATGGATCAACGCCAATAATGGTATTTATAATAAACTTGGAATAGAACGTTAAGTCGCTTTGACCCAAGGCGAAATGAACAAGGGGTTCAAAATACTAAACCAGCGGTTGCCAGGCAAGATACGCCCACATTTTGCAAGAGATGGATAGAGAAAAAGCTTTAACCCCCCCCCCCCCGATTTTTCATACAATCAGGAACCATAATCCAGGAAGTTATAGTCTGAAATGCGCGAATATCGAAAAGGACTGCGATATTTGGGATATAAAGATATATTTTAAGTTTCATCAAAATCGGATAAAAATTGTGACTTCTAGAGGGTCCACAACATTCATATACCAAATATTTACACTACATGTATTTGCGTACGAGTACGAGGGGCGACCATTTTGTCTGGCAGTTTTGGTCCGATTTTCACGAAACTCAAACTCAACCTTCATTAGGGTGTAACGGTGATATTTTCAAACGTTTTTTTTTTGTTAAATCGGATATAGAATTGTGAACTCTAGAGCGACCACAAGTAAAAACACAATTTTTCGTACAATCAAGGGCCATAATTCAGGAAGTTACTATCCGATATGCGCGAATATCGAAAGGAACCATGATCTATGGGTTATGAACATATATTTGAAGTTCCATCAAAATCGGATCAAAATTGTGACCATGATATACCATATTCTTACACCATTTGCGTACGAGGGGCGGACATTTTGTCAGGCAGTTTTGGTCCGATTTTCACGAAATTCGAACTCATCCGACATTACCGTGTAACGGTGATATATTGGAACGGATTTTTAAATCGAATTATAATTATTGTGACCTCTAGAGGGACCACAAACTAAAAACGCATTTTTTCGTATACAATCAGTGGCCATAATTCAGGAAGTTGCGTTCAATGTGCGTGATTATCGAAAGGAACCGATATCTTTGTGTGGTAAACATAAATTGAAAGCTTCATCAAAATCGGATCAAAATTTTGACCTCTAGAGCTCCACAACCTTGATGTGACATACTTTTGTACACTATTTGCGTACGAGGGGCGGCCATTTTGTCTTGCAGTTTTGGTCCGATTTTCACGAAATTCGAACACAACCCTCATTATGGTGTAACGGGAATATAAGTAAACGGGTTTCTGAATCGAATAAAAATTGTGACATCTATAGGGACTACAAACTAAAAACGCGATTTTTCGTACAATCAGGGGTCATAATCCAGGATGTTAAGGCCCAATATGCGCGAATATCGAAAGGAATCGAGGTCTTTGGGTTATAAACATACATTTCAAGTTTCATCTAAATCGTATGAAAAGTGTAACCTCTAGAGTGGCCATAAGTTACAAACGTGATTTTTCGTACAACCAGTGGCCATAATCCATGAAGTTACGATCCGATACATGGCAAATTCGAAAGGGGAGAGAGAGAGAAATGGGGTTTAACGTCCACTCGACACAAACTCGGTCATTTCGGGACTAACACATGGTTCAATTTGATTTCAATAATTCGCTTGTGCGTAGGGGTCTTTAGCAGTGGGAGGAAACCGGAGGACCCGGAGAAAACCAAGGAGGTTGGACAGGCGACCCTACTCCTTGTCACGTACAACCGGGGAATCGAAACTCCGCCAGTTGACTCAATGACAGACCGTATGATACAGCGCAGAGCGCACGTGCTAACCATTCGGCCATCCAACCCCCCAAATTCGAAAGGAACCGAGATCTTTGGGAGATACACCTATCTTTCAAGTTTAGTTAAAATCGGATAAAACATGTTACCTGTAGAGTGTCCGCAAACAAAATGTGAACGGACACACGGGCGGACGGACAATATGTCCACATGAAAATGTGGGCTTATAAAAATTAAATCAATATTTCTTTAAAATAATACCCTAATACATTCGCTGATTGTTTCAACTCAGATTGGTTTAGCTGTAGCTCCGGGAGACGATGTTTTATGTTGGGGTTGGTCTATCTTATGCGGGTAAATATAGTACCGAATACCCATGCGATATTTATTTTCAAACGTAAGGAAACACACATTATTTGCATGTTATGTCTTAAGGTCACAAAATTCGGTGGTTCCCCCTTGTCAGTGATGCAGGACGGAGAGCCTGACAAGGACAGCTGTCTAGTCCTTCGGATGAGACGAAAAACCGAGGTCCCGTGTATATATTGGAATGCACGTAAAAGATCCCCTGGCAGTTGGAATTCGATATAAGAGTAGGCGATAGTGCCGCTGCCCTGGCAAAATTTCCCTCATAGCACACTGTATGGCGTATGCCCGTCTTCATTAGCCCAGTATAGGAGCAGAACAGTAGGACGTTAAACCCCATTTCATTTCATTTCATTTCATTTCACAAACTTCGGCAATGTCCCATACATTTAATCTGACAGTACAGTTCGTTTATGGAATAATCTGACAGTACAGTGCATGTATGGAATATAACTGACAGTACGGTACCTGTATGGGATATAACTGACAGTATAGTACCTGCATATGGAATATAACTGCCAGTACCTGTATGGAATATAACTGACAGAACAGTACCTGTATGGAATATAACTGACAGAACAGTACCTGTATGGAATATAACGGTTGGACCACGAATAACTTGTCCATTTCTCCGTCTTCGTGATCTGCCACACACACAACAACAACATATACAGAATATAATACCCAATGCAACGATAAATACAGCTCCAACTGAACAGCCTATTATCAAACCAATTCTGTAATAGAAGTTTTAATGTTAAAAAAGGCATACTTATTTATTAACAAGAACAAAACATACACATCGACCGTTATCATTATAAAGGGATAATAACGGCAAACAGGTGCCTCGGCTTGACAAAAGGTGAAAGAGAGAAGCAAAGTGAACGCAATGCTAAATACAATAGACATCCCTTACCGATTCCCAGAAATCTGTAAAAACAATGTACTATTTATTATTCGGTGCATGTCGGAGCGCACAAAGATAAAACATACACACTATGTATAATTTACATACCTTAAAGAATACCAGACAATGTTTTGGAAGACTGTTTCAAAGTTCAAGGTTGATCTAACGGCACTCGAGCTTAATCTGTATCTTCTCGTACAGCACCCAAAGATCAGATTGTAGCTTTTTGAATGGAAATATTATGGAAAAGAGAACCATACTCAGACAAAAGTAAGACTGACCTTCAACTGAGGCTTAATCCAAAGCATAACTCCCTGGAACATACTTAAGTTCGAGAATATGGCCTGGTATATATGCTAGTAACTGTTGATATATTTATAAAGGGATCTATACCCCCCCCCCCCCCGCGTCCTTCTCAATCAGTATTCTTTCTGAGAAAAGGGGATATCTCCCCGTTGATTGCTGCTATTTTCCCACGGGGACTAGGTACAAAGATAAGAATATCCATATAATGTTTAGATAAGTCTCATGGTCTACTTACGGAACTGTACAACAATATTGATCTAATAAATTGACACCACAACAGCCATATGTACAATACTTATATCTTGTACTCGTTTGAAATTGTTGATAGAATTCATCATAATCATATGTCTGATAACTACAGATTTCACATAAACTATCTGAAATACATCAAATAAAATACAAATATCACATAAACTATCTGAAATACATCAAATAAAATACAAATATCACATAAACTATCTGAAATACATCACAATAAATACAGTATGTTTTCGAGACGCAAAATTGCACGGACAAGAGAGATCAACGACGTTTCGAAAGGAACTAAGACATATGGGTACACCGTGTGCAGGTATGATGTGTGAGCTTTTCTTGTACAAAACGTAATCAAATCTTGACAACAAATATAACACACATTCAATTTGTTCCACTAAATATTCATCCCCATCCTTGCTATTGGATAATGCAAACAAGTATCTGTGCTCAAGATATGAAGGGGGCCGCACTTGCTCATTAACCTGGGGGGTCTAGTCGTTCGAATGGGACGAAGACCAAGACCCACGTTACACGATGGATAGTTTAATACAGGGTAGTGCTATACATCTGTTTGGTTTTTGGTGACAAGGTATGCAAACCACTCCAAAATTGAGAAATGAAGTGTTTTAAAGGGACAATAACACTCTTGCTGGCTTTAAGGCTCCAGAAAATAAATAATATCTCTATCTAAGTACTAGATGTTTAAGTGTCCTACCTGTTGTGTAAATTATCCATTACATCCTATTTTACTTGTCCAGAGGGTTCGAAAATATTTTTAAATCGAAGTTTCATTTGAAAAGGTTTACGTTAGACGTTTCAAACCATTATTTTGAATTTTTCAAAATTTTTAAATAAGGTGTGTTAAGATGAAATTTGTATCATTAATTAATTGAAATATTCTAAAATAGTACAATTTGTTGACCAGAATAAATATTGGGACATATTATTCAGTTACAACAAGAGTGGTATTGAGCCTTTAATATTATATTATGTAATAATTAATTGTGCTCGTTTAGTAGTTAATTGTATCAAGTAGTTAATTGTATCAACTGTTAAATTCACCAGATAGCAGTAGAATTCATTGGTGTGTGAGAATGCACCATGTAATATTGGGTCATTTTTGATGTATTATGTGAGTGTTTTGTCATTTTTTAAAAGTGACATTTAAATAAAATATCAACTCCTTTCTGATGAATCTGTACCGTGAGTTTTATGAATATCCGACTCTGACAGAGGGTGTGGCCATACTTGTTAATCCTCTATGTAATATAATAAAATAGCTTTTAAAATGTTTACTTTTATATATAAGGACCAATTTATAACAACAATTCTAAATTAAAATCCAAATTAAAAATACATGTATACCAACATGTGCAAAAAGAATACACCAACATGTGCAAAAAGTGAAGTTTCAACCTGTGTTTAAGAGCAAAACAAACAGGATTGTCTACATAATGGCTGTGCTAAATGAACTAACTTTATACCCACTGTTTCACAAAAGAGGATTGTCTACATAATGACCGCGACTGCTAAATAAACTACATTTATATCCACTATTTCACAAAAGAAATGAGTGTGCCCCCATAACTTTGTGTTATAATAATTTATATTTACATGGATCTAATATTTAAAACTTAATATTTTGTTAAATTTATTGTCTTCAGTTTTTCTCACATTTGTGCTTTCGGTCATGCTTATGTTGGTTAAGCAATTTTAAAATTCTGTGTCTCCCACAAAACTAGATATAATGTAAAGGGAATTTGCTAAAAATTTCTGTCAAATTGATCCACTCTGAACAGAGAATTTAGCAATTGAATTTTAGGCTTAACCTCGATCGTCATTACTAAAGTCGGGACGATAAATTCTTTTTGATTTAATCATCAATGAGCATTGAACAGCAGATCGGATTCTGATCCAGTAAATATAGCAGGCTAGCGATGACATCGAGAATTGATTATGGTCTGGATAAGTTAATAAATGTCTAATTAATAATGTAGATAACACTTCCGGCCTAAAGAAAGACCTGCAATAGGCATATTTAGCTCTTGTAGAAGCCCTCACAGATAATCTAACTGAATAAAACTCGTTAAAGAAGCCCGTGCAGATATATCTAAGTGAAAAGAACTCGTTATCTGAGCCATACCCAGATTATATTTTAGTGAACAAAAGTCGTTATAGGTCGTGGACTTCAATATTTTAATAATTCTACATGTAGTTAACTTCACGTTGTGTACATTTAATATAATGAAACCCTTGAAAACCGTGTTGTTTAAATCCTTGTTTGTGAATCAGTAATACAAAACACTACAAGTTAGATGTTACACAGTTGATGTCTCCGCACAGTCGCTCGTCCGGGTCGGCAGATATAGGAAGCACCCGTAAGATTCCCACGCTGTGTCCCAATGATGTCTTCTATAGTCTGGACTGCATGAGCATTGAACCCAAATCTAACGCTACGTGGTCTCTTTCACCCGGGTGGCTATCTCTGTACGAACGGAGAGTCCCGACATCATTATTCATATACAGGAAAAAATTGTGGGTAATACCTATTAAAGTTTAAGAGAGAGAAAAAGAGAAATGGAGTTTAACGTCCACTAAACACAAACTAGGTCATTTCGGGACAAACATATGGTTCAATTATATTTCAATAATTCGCTTGCGGGTAGAGGTTTTTAGCAATGGGAGGAAACTAGAGACCCCGGAGAAACCCCACGCGTTGGACAGGTGACCCTACTCTTTGTCAAGTACAAACGAGAAATCGAAACCAAGCCACTTGACTCAATGACAGACATGGTGCAACGCGCTCGCGTTAACCATTCATCCACCCAGCCCCCCTTATGTCTAAAGGACCTTAAGCGCGCACGTGTCTTTTAAAGATGATAAATGAATGAGCCATAGACTGCGCCTGGGAATTACGAGGTACTATCAACAACCATGTACTTATATGGGCACTGCGTGTCTAAAAGTTATCTGTGAGGGAAGAGTCCCTTTCGTGGCTAATGCTGGGTGTCAAATATAGTCAGATATGGATTACCAGATAATTAGACGTCACTGAACCAATCGATTTCCAGAGGACCTAGATATCACAGTTCTAGCTGTCAACCATAATTAATACTAAGCAGACTTACAGTATTATAACATAGGAGCTGTCCCTGAAATATATTGGTGAATAAAACTCGTTATGTTATGAGCTGTCCCAGATATATTTCATTACATTTTTTTTTTAGTTCGATTTGCATATATAGCTATACCCAATTATATCAACGGATATCGTGTGAAATCTGGGACTTCGCCTTTAAAAATGAACTTCAAGTTGACATTGATGTATTAGGTTACACCATTATTGTTAGATTAATCACCTTGTTAAGAATGACTATGTATATTTTGTTATCATGCTTTAAAAGAGAGTACGTTGTAATAAACACATAACTTTTTATCTTTATTAAAATGTTTATTCCTATGTTAAATGACATCTTTTAGAACATATGATACCACTTATGACCAGAGCCATTCGCACAGAACAAGCTGATATAATATAATACGGCCTCTTATACTTTTGCATATTTTGTTTAAAACGGATAATGGAGCCCTTGAGTAGCTGACTTCGGGTCTTTATTTATAACAGATAATGTTGTGTATCTTTGTGATTTCATATAAACAGGTTGGGTTAGAATAAAAATTGAATACAAACTATATGAATTGTAGATTGTATAGTTATCTGATGGCATCTTAATTATTATAACAATTTCTAGAAGTCCTGCAATTCGTGCATAGGCGTAGGGGCCAATCTTAATTTTAGGGGAGGGGGAGCTATTGCCAGAAAATTTTCTTTCTCACATGAATTTTCAGAATGAACCAAACATTAATTAAAACGAGTTTTCGACAAATCCTATTGCCCGGGATCTTAAGTATTATCCCCACCCCCTTCCCAGTTCCTACACCTATAAATCTGTGATCTAGTTGAAACCATCTCCAAAAGCTAATAACTAGGCGTATGTCATTTTAAGGGGTCATGCTGTCCTTATGGGAATATTGGAATTTTCAGATCGACGTGTACCTTTTCACAAATATGTGCAATGTTATAGTCTGTCATATTATGCCACACACACACACACACATAATATGACATATGTGTGTATATATATAATCTTATGTAGATATGAGCAGAACTGGGGTCATGGATTAGGTACAGACACACAAAAACAAAAACGTCATAATTTTTTTTTATATATTTTAAATTCACTACACTTCAGTTCATATTATGTGAAATAAATCTGGCACTTAACCTTAGTTCGTTGTAAATTTTCTGCTGGATTAATATCGTTAAAGTTGTGTGTCAAAGACATGTTGTTGTTGTTGTTTATTACAAATTTAACGTCCAATACAATGAATATGATATTATGGACAGGTTGATTTAATTAAATTATTTACACTTGAAAATTGTTAAAAACACAAAATAACAAAAAAAATAAAATAAAGAAGGTCCTCGGATTCCAAAGTTTCTTAAAGCACACTTATAAATTCACTGTCGTGAGAAGAGAGGGCGGGTCATCTTCTCCGATTGTCATAATAAAGTTAAAGACATTGAATTATAGTCGCGCATTTAGTTTCGCAACAAAGAGGTTCGACTGGAATGAAATTGGCGTGAGCTACCAAATTAACTGGACATTATAATATGGTTGTAGTTGGTTGTCAAAGACGTTGGATGGGCCTGGAGTCTATTTTAAATAATTGACATTGACGTGTGCTACCGAGGTTATGTAACAATATGGCTGTTTTTCAAATTTACAGTTAAACCGATTTAAGTTATAGCTGTCTTGTATATTCTGAACAGAGCAGACATACCTAGATCTTTTTGTCAACATTTAAATGTCATCTACCTTTAAACCGCTTTAACAGACATCGATTGACTAAAGGCATACTAAACTACTCATTGAGATCAAACAGGGAACAGTCGATCCTTAGACATAATATATTGGTGAAAGTGGGAAAAGGAAAGACTAAGGAAATGAGTCTTTATCGATTTAGCATTTGAACTGGTTAGTCCATAAGGCGACATTAATTGCATACAGGTAGACTTTAGTCTACAAATACTTCTTACCTGTAATTAGCGTTATTAATCCTAAGTATAGTATATTCACGTAATATACATACGTCCCCATAGCATATCACTCATCTGTCCTTTATTAACTTGAAATCATGATATACCCTAAAGTCAGATTGGTTAACTTATCTTCTAACACGTTCAGTACTTATCTATGTCAACCTATCTTAAAACGTACCTGCGCGTGGCCCGAAGAAAGATATGACGTCATATATGGAAAGTAAACACCACAGAGTATAGGAAAGCTATACAGTAACAGTAGTTATCAACTCGACAAAAAATGTGACAGAGCTCAGTGACGTCCAGTAAAGAACTTAAACATATATTTTGTACATTTTAGTATTGTTGATTCATGTTTGTGTGGAATTCGGATGAGTGAGGTCCGGACAAATATATATAGGCGTACGCAATTCCCTCCACATTGTCGTCGTATTTATTGCCTTATTGCTTTCCATTTCTGATAAGTACAACTTTCCCCAAATGTATTATGGCGACTATCTTGGATCTTCAAGATTTCCGCTGTGTAAAATCCTACTATAATATATGTGCGGGGAATTGGTGCTTATCAAATTGGAAAACTAGGGCAATTGGAAAAAAGGGGTGCTTTGTCCGGAACGTCATCATCAACTTGCCAAGTTACCTTGCTTGGAGAGAGAGAGAGAGAGAGAGAGAGAGAGCGAAGAGATCTATGGTTAAACGTCCGCTAAGTACAAACTAGGTCATTTCGGGACTAACATATGGTTCAGTTTTATTTCAATAATTTGTTGAACAGGCGACCCCCACCACTTGACTAAATGACAGACCTTATGATCCAACGCGCACGCGTTAAACCTTTCGTCCAACCAACCCCGCTGGTTGAAGGATTATAATACAGATACAGTAATATGTTTCATATAACAATTTGCTAAAGTAGTAAATGAAAAACTCTCAGTTCACAAATGGTGTCACACGAAACCCTATTTGTCAGCTGTGATATACAAAGGAAATAATATATAATATGAAATTTGATAGATCAACGTACTTTTAATTTAAATATTTTGCAATATATAAAGAAATAAATCATTTATCGCCATAGTAACCGTGATATCCACCAGACAATTATAAATACGACATGTGAATTGCCAGAAAATAAGTGATAGAAGTCAATCTCATGAATGAACCTTTGCGTTTAGATGATAAAGAGTCTCTTTAAACGGTGTACACGCTCTAGCATAACGGATAAGCCGACAAGTAATACCCCATAAAATGGAGATTTTCCAGTGTGGTTTCCACTTGCCAGTAGTACAAAAGGGGGAGGGGTCTTGCAAGCTTTCAAGCAATAGCGCCTTGTCGTTCGAAAAGGACAAAATGTCCCATTTACATGTTGGTGTGCACGTAGGAGAACGGTTGACAGTTACAGTAATATTAGACAAAGAGTAGGCGAATACGCCGCTGCCAGTGCAAAATTTCCGTCATATATAGCACACCAGACGCCTGGCCTCACATGGAAATGCGTACATTTGGGACCTAGAAATTGACAAAAGTGGGTCGCAACGCATATAATACTGTAATATGAATGTATATAAACTGATTTATATTCAATGGTTTCCGTTTTTAATCCAATTTCAAATCAGTTATGTTCGGCGAAATAAGCCAGCAGTCTCAAGCGAGTGCAAATTTCTAGCGTCTGGTTATTCCAGTCTACATACGACGTTTGATTTGGTGCAATGTGTCTAGCCTCGTCCCCCGAGTCTCTTGATACAACTGGGGCTGAAGCGCATTATGGTACACGATTCGTGTACCAATGGTAAAATGTTTATTTTGTCTTACGGATATCAAAAGCCCATCTTTTTCCGGTAAGATCACAACATGAATGTTGATTTAATTTGACAAATAAATCGTGTTTTCAATGTTGAAGATTTTGGATGATATTGAGTTAGAGACTTAGCTACTTTAAGAACAGTAAGTTACTGATTATGAAAGAAGAGTTCAACGTTGACTAGAAACATAGAATTACGCGGATCAATCGGATACGAGATGCATACATTAATGCAACATTAAAATTTGATTGTATTTGTTGAAGTGAACATCGTGGTTTGTTCTAGTTATCTTAGTTATAGGTCAGAAACTGCGTCAGATTTTTCATGATTTTTTGTTCCGCTCATCGTTCTTGTGACTAAAACTATTTTCAAAAATTCAATAAGTATCCAAGTTGCCGACACGAGCTCATACGCGCTAAAAACCTGCAAAACAGGTATCCAAATTATCTTCTTAATTTATGAATTTTTGGGGTCGCGGATTCAGCGATGACAATTTTAACTGGCAAATAACTGCTGACGGACTTATCAGCCAATGAAATCGCCGCAATTTGCTGTGATCTTTATTAAAGGTAAATGAAACGTCGTAAAGTTACCCAACATACAGAAACAGGATTCGTCTATTTAATTGTGAGAACACACCAGCCACGTTCGTATGTAGAACATGCTATAAATATTCGAACCCGATTAACTCAGCATAATCGAGGCGATAGATCTGTAGACACTCGAGACCCCTTCTTGCGCCAGTGGGCAGTATAGTATACGTCCTGATCACCGGCTTTCCTGGCAACAGTGATAATAAAGATGAACAACGCCAAATGGAAAGACAGTGCATCACATGAATACCATTCGCCCCAATCCACCAGATACGCGTCAGATGTATGATATTGGCAGAACAGTAGTCTGCATTACAACATGCAAACAGTATCGTTATCTAATATGGCAGAACTTTTTATCGATTGCAATGGAATATTAAAACATTTTAAATTCTCTGTAAAGTGGTATGTTTTTGACATTACAATCATTAATGATTGTGGAAATAAAGTAGGCTAATCATTTTCGTTTATAAGAATAACATCATGCTTCTAGTTTGTATGAAACCGAAAAGTCTTAAATGTTGCCGTTCTTGTCTTTGGGGTAAAGATATAACTACTATAAACGATGTCATTGAATATAACTATGACAACACTTTTGACTGGGAACGTCTGACTGTGCCATCTCCTGCTTGGTCCATGCGCGGGCGTATTTGCGCATGGACCAAGCCGGTGATGGCTTAAATATGCATTATGCAAGAGCTAAATGTTATCTAAATTATTAATTAGACATTAATTAACTTATCCAGACCATAATCAACTCTCGATGTCAACGCTAGCCTGCGATGTTTACTGGATTAGGATACCATTTGCTGCTCCACTTTCATTCTTGATTTAATCATGAAATGGATAATCGAGACTATGTTTTTTTTATCGTACCGACTTCAGTAATGATGATCGAGGCTAGGATGAAAATTCAATCGCTAAAATCTCGGTTCAGAGTGGATCAATTTAACTGAAATTTTCATCAAATTCCCTTTACATTATCTAGTTTTTAACTATTATGAGCGAACTGCCAGCTCTTTATCTAATCTCCCATAATGTATCTTTAATCCCCCCCCCCCACACACACACATTCACACCAAAAAAACCCCTAGTAATTTGGCAATACATAACACTAGTACGCCATTTTGTCTGCAGAAAATGAAATGAAATGAAATGAGGTTTAACGCCCTACTCCGAACTGAGCTATATAATGAAGACGGGCATACGCCATACAGTGTGCTATGAGGGAAATTTTGCCCGGACAGCGGCACTACTACGGTCTACTCTTATATCGAATTCCAACTGTAAAGGGATCTTTTACGTGCACGTCAATATATACACGGGACCTCGGTTTTTCGTAACCGTTCGGACCACTAGACAGCTGTCGTTGTCTGGCCCTCTGTCCGGCATCACTGACAAGGGGGAGCCACGCCGGAAAATCTGGATGAACTTTCTCGGCCAATGCAGAAATCGAACACCCGACCTCCAGGCTAGCTAGCCAGCGCCTTACCCACTTAGCCACCGTGACCCAGCTGGTGCAGAAAAATAGGTCGTTAAACCCCATGTCATATAAAGCCTGTCTATGTAGCCCGTAACACCAGTTTTATACCTTTAAAGTAATATGTGCTTAAACTTCCTACATTGTAACAATAACGCTTAGTTACAGATGTAATGCTGCAGAATGAACCATTCCATATTGTGGATTGTTTTTTTTTGGGTTTTTTGTTTTTTTCTTGGGGGGGGGGGGGGATTGGGGCTTTTTTTTTGTGGACGCGATAGCGCAGTAAATGTGATCAACAAGTCTTTTTTTCCTTTTTGAGTAATTATATCAGAGATATTTCAGTCAAAGATGCAAAAATTGAGCACGATTCTTAGATGAAATCGGGCAGTTCTTTAGTCGATATATATTAAACAGTTTTGACGCCAAAATATATATACATGTATATCAATTTATTCATAATTTGTTTGATTTATTATCTGGATTGTTGGTTAAATTTATACCCGGATTAAAAGCGGTCGGTGGTGTAGTTTTCTGTTTCACCGTTTAATTAATAAACCTGCTTTGAAACATTTTGAAACGATAAAGTATTCATTTTTGTGTTTTGAATAAATAACAAACAAGTAACCCAGTATCATTTGGTATTTTTCAAACAAATTTTGTGTAGAATTCAATTATTTCCTAGAGCTGACGTATAACGGACATTAAATCTTAACTATTTAATTATTTCGTTTCGTTTCTAGTTTACAATTGCAATTATTGACGGTGTATACATAATTGAAACCTAATTATTTCCTGCTATAGAAGGCTTTGTGTTGAAAAGTGGTTTTGGAATCATAAATATGGTCGAATTAATGGTTCGATTAGAAGTGCTCATTTAGAGGAAATTAATCATGTGAAAGGAGAGAAATTAAAGTGGCCGAAGAACCGAAATCGGCTTAGGCCGTGGCGTCTTCAACTGGTACTGTTGCAATCGCAAAGGATGAAGTCAACACAAGCAAAACAATAACTCCTCTGATCTAACTCAAATTATCAAGATGAGCACGTTTTGTGGTCGAATGAGAGAATATCGACAGGTGTCGATCGACAGATTTGATAAAGACAATTTATACTCAACTGTCTACTTTCTGTCTCATTGTCATAGAGGTACTTGTTCACAGATTATTATTTTGTGAGGGTTAAGGGGTACTGAATTTTATGGTATCCAGACCACTCGGCCGAATGGGAAAGTCCACTCATCCCAAGATATAAGACCAATCATCCCCAACTATCAATTTATTAAAACAACAATGTATAAAAATATTAGAACAAACACATAATCAACAGTAGTAATTTAATTTAAACAACACTTTTTTATTTCAAAATCAGAATGATCCGAGTGGTCTTCTAATCTTGGTCCGAGTGGTATTCAAAAAAACAAAAACAACTGTATTAAAACAAATACAACTATTGTGGGGTGAGTGGTCTTCTAAACTTGGTCTGAGTAGTCGTATAGTTTTCATTGTTGGATGGTGGTCTTCTAAACTTGGACCGAGTGGTTTTACATGTATATCTTGGGATGAGTGGTCTTCTATTGGGCCGAGTGATCTTTGGGATGAGTTGTCATACATTCAATTTTATATCATGCCAAATAATAATAATAATAATATAGATTTTTGTTCAAAATTATTTCAAAACATCTTATTTTTTTCTTATAACCTTTTTTATAGACCAACACTGGTTACATAACCTAATAAATCCCAAAATTTTGTATCAGATGGAACATGTCGTCCAAGAGCATCTTCGAGACAGAATCCACATGAAAGTTTCTCATATCCAATCAATACTTTTTAAAATTCATTTCAGATCATATGGTTGGATTGAATTCAACAGCTTTTATTAATAGAATATTGACAAAGTGAGTAATAATACTGGTACACAGTTTATTCTTTGTATTTTTAAAACAAGGATAAGGCATCTACATGTATATTGACACAGCTTTGTAAACAGTACTTTAAACTGTACATTATCAGGATGTAATATTCATGATTAAAAGCATTAAATTTGGACTGTTTGCATATTTCACAGAGCATATTGATTAGAAATTACAATATTTAAAAAAGAAATTGAACGTAAATCACTTTATATACACTCATATGTGCTTTTAGACCCATTTTTGAATATTTTAAGGTTCCAAAAATAGAACCATACAACTTTTTAATTTAGATCTTCCATTGGAGATAGGTGTTCGATCCCTGCATTGGCCGAGAAAGTTCATCCAGATTTTCCGGCGTGGTTCCCCCTTGTCAGTGATGCAGCTTGGAGGGCCTGACAAGGATGAGACGAAAAACCAAGGTCCCATGTATACATTGGAATGCACGTAAAAGATCCCTTGGCAGTTGGAATTCGATATAAGAGTAGGCGATAGTGCCGCTGCTCGGGCAAAATTTCCCTCATAGCACACTGTATGGCGTATGCCTGTCTTCATTAGCCCAGCATAGGAGCAGAACAGTAGGACGTTAAACTCCATTTCATTTCATTTCCATTGGAGATATTATTTATACTTAAATCATAACACTGAATTTTGTAATATCTGACTGAGTGCTATGAAAATGTATAATTGATTACCCTTTTTGTTTCCAGTCCGAACATATATTTATATATGAGTGATATATCTAAGGTTATTTTAATGGGAGATAATACATATGACTTTAAAGCTCTTGAACCTCAAATAGTAAGTTCTACTTTTATATACAGTCAGTGGGGTTTAACTGATATCGCACACAAGTGTTTTCAGGGAAACAAGAGGTTCACCTCGTATAGGTTGGAGAAGTGATAAGATACCTAATCACTTCTATTTCTTTAGAAGTGCGTTATGAGTTACAGTGTCCAAGGTAGTATTCACGACCATATAAGTCCATCCAAAGGCGTTGCTCCTAGGTACGGGTACTAATTTTTCATATACCTTTTGACACATGTTAAAGGTAAAAAGAAAAGAATCTGGCAACCATTTTAAACTATTCCTAGGAAGTTTGAACTAATGATTTTAAATAAATGGGGGCTATTATAGAATCTGGCCTACACACTATTTAGCTTATTTTTGAGTCTTATGGCATATTTTACACTTTGGCTTTGGTGTGATTACCACACTGTGGTCCATTTTAGAAGTTGTATATCATCCACACATTTATTTAGTATATTAGGAATAGTAATAAATTTAATATACATTATTTGTACAGATAAGATATGCAATGTGTATATTTCAATGATGAATAATTATGTTGTAATTTTACAGAGAATATTAGAGAAATCAACTAATACTGTCTCCATACCATGTAATACACTGAGTGGAAAGGTAATTTTATTTATTAGGCCATGCCAAAAAAATATTCTGGTTCTTAGACAATACTTACCAAAAATCTGATGCAGAGGGAGGTTTTTATTTTATTTTATTTTTTTATTTTGTCAAAAGGTCACTGATTCACAACTTAGCTAAATGTCTTCTCATATACACATCAGATTTCAAGGTACTACATTTATCTAGTGTTGTTTATAGGAATGTATGATTATCCAGTATCGTTTATGATTGACATTAACAGTTATCAGGGTTGTGTACTTGATAAATGAGCATATCGATTCTTTCAATTTTTGTTTTAAAGATTTACTTCCTGCAACCCTTTTTAAAGATACATTATGGAGATTAGATAAAAAGCTGGCAGTTCTCACTATAGTTGTTAAAAACAAGATAATGTAAAGAGAATTTGCTGAAAATTTCAGTCAAATTGATCGACCCTGAACCAAAAATTTAGCGATTGAATTTTCGGCCTAGCCTCGATCATCATTACTAAAGTCGGTACGATAAAAAACATAGTCTTGATTATCTATTTCATGATTAAATCATGAACGAAAGTTAAGCAGCAAATCGGATCCTAATCCAGTAAATATCACAGGCTAGCGATGACATCGAGAGTTGATTATGGTCTGGATAAGTTAATTAATGTCTAATTAATAATTTAGATAACATTTCTGGCCCAAAGAAAGACCTGAAATAGGCAGATTTAGCTCTTGCATAATGCATGTTTAAGTGATGCTGGATTGTTTGAGATCCAGAATATTTTTTTTTATGGCCTTATATTGTACTCCAAGTATGATTTTAAAAACTTTTATTCTTTCAGCATACTGTTCATTCTTTTCTCCCATGCTTAGATTAGGCAAATATAAAAAATTCAGGGTATTTCTAATAATAATGCACTTTTCTCTCTAAATACTGTAAATATAGCTCAGGGATATTTAGAAATCATTAGAAATTTGATACTAAGTTAAATCGATATAATGAATGAAATGGAGTTTAACGTCCTACGTTCCTGCAACGACTGGGCTAATGAAGACGGGCATATGCTACACTGAGTGATATGAGGGAAATTTTGCTTGGACAGCGGCACTACAGTCTACCCTTATTTCGAATTCCATCTGTCAAGGATTCTTTTTGGTGCACATCAATTTATGTACAGGGCCTCGTTTTTTGGTCCCATCCGAATGACAAGACACAGTCTTTGCAGGCCCTCTGTCGTGCACCACTGAGAAGGCAAAATCAATGGCGAAAAATTCAGAGGAACTTTTTCGGCCAACACCTGGACTTAACCCAAGACCTTACTCACTGAACCACCACGGTTCCCAGAATCAATATAAACAAGGTAATCTAATATGGGAGCCATCGTGGCTCAGGGAGTAAGATGTTGACTTGCTAACTTTGAGATCCCATGTTTGATCCTGGTGTCGACTGAGAAAGTGGTACAGATAGAGGGTCTGGCAAGGTACATCATATAGTACTTCGGAAGGAATGAAAAGCCAAGGTCCTGTGCACACATTGACATGCACGTAAAAGATCCCTTGACAGTTGGGATTCGATATAAGAGTAGGCCATAGCACACGGTATGGCATATGCTCGTTTTCATTAGCCGTTTTCATTTCATTTCTGTTCTGATTTCGTAAACTGCTCTTGGGAACATTTTGATATAATTCCATTGTTTATAATGTGTACTTATTATTACAGCCTAAACTAGTGAGTGTTACACCATTGCCGGCTGGTCATTGTCCTGGTTCTGTCATGTAAGTTTATAATAACAATGGTTATTTTAGTTTTGTCATGTACAATGTAAGTTTAAAATAACAATGTTATTCTAGTTTTGTGGTGTATAATGTAAGTTTGTTATAATAATATATATGTTATGGTTCTGTTATGTTAGTTTTAAATAACAATATTTTTGTTATGGTTTTGTCATGTACAATATAAGTTTGTTATAACAATATATTTATTATGGTTCTGTCATGTAAGATTTTAATAACAAAGTTTTTATTTTAATTTTGTCATATAGGTTAATTATAACAAGATCTTTATTCATGAGTTAATTTGGAAGAAATCAAATCTTGTAAAATTAAAGAGGCTTTGGAAATCTTCACCACTAAAGAAATATAATAATACATTTTTATTTAGGTTTTTATTTGAAGGAGATGAAGGAACAGTCTTATATACAGGTGATTTTCGTTGGGAAAAAAATCATGCTGCTAATATGCCTGCTTTACGCAATGAATTGGGGTAGGAAATTATTTTCATTTATAGAATTTGTGATGAATGTTAAAGATGCCAATTTTGCAGAATATTGCATATAAGATTTTAAAATTTAACAAAATACTATTGTTCAAATATATCAAAATTGTATACAAAACATTGAAAGATAAGAAAGACATTTGCACATCAAAGATCCTGGAAAATCCCTTACAAAAGTAAATACATAACTAAGCTGAAGGAGGTAGGAATAATTTCAGAATGGATGGGCTTTATAACAATGAAAATGTAATTATTCAATGTATATTCTTTCACTTTTAACTGCGGAAATGGACATGGAATGAAGACTGAGATTGGAACTGAATGGAAATAATATTTCCTAGTTTTTTTTTGTATATACATTATATTGTTAATCTATTGGTTTATTTATTCTAAATTCAACATGTAGTTAAATTTTCAATCACTTGTTTCTATCTCACTTACTGTTAAATATACAGTTCAAAATAGCATTAACATTTTTATTTGACATATTAACATGGTCCCATATTTTGACATATTGTATTAACATGGTCTCATATTTTGACATTTTCTGTTAACATGGTCCTATATAGGCATGTTATAGTTACATATTTGATAATACTTAGGTTTAAAAAATGAACAGTTGTGTGGCCCTGAATATTTTTAAATAACAAATAGTACATCAATACTCAGTACACCTATGGCATAATTAAGAAAACTTAATGCTCTTCCTTCAGACAGGTAATGTGGTCAAACATAGATAACGACTCATGAATAGTCTACTATGTTGTTTTTTCAATGGTAAATGTGAGGGACTGAATTTGTAAGACCTATCATAAGAATATTATAATCATAAAACATAAAATGTTTTATTTTAATTGTGTGTGTTTTTTTTATCAGAGTAAAACACATCAAGAGTTTATATGTTGATACAACATTCTGTACACCCAGTGCCTGCCATTTTCCTAGTCGAGCTCAATGTGTTGATGTCACTGTTCGTTTAGTGGAAGAATGGCTCAATAGATCCAAAAGCCATTTTGTTTATGTGGCATCACCAACAAATTATGGTCACGAACATCTTCAAGTACAAATATATAAACATACCAAACATCAGGTAGGTCTATTGTAACCGTTTCAAACAGCAGATAGGTCTGTTATTAACGTATAGATCTGTTATAAACATAGCAAACATCAGATGGGTCTGTTATGAACAAACCAAACATCATGTAGATCTGTTATAAACATATCAAACATCAAATAGGTTTGTTATAAACAAACAAAACATCAGGTAGATCTGTTATAAACATATCAAACATCAAATAGGTTTGTTATAAACAAACCAAACATCAAATAGGTTTGTTATAAACAAACCAAACATCAGGTAGATCTGTTATAAACATATCAAACATCAAATAGGTTTGTTATAAACAAACCAAACATCAGGTAGGTCTGTTATAAACATTCAACTAGATCTGTTAGAATCATACCAAAACTCAAGTAGGTGGAACTGTCCTCAACACCAGAACATCCCTGTTTTGAGCGCACAAAAAATCCATTAACATGTTGGAAGTGTAGCCAGAAATACAATTGTGTGAAAAATAGAATGACAACATATGTTAGCATCAATATGCCTGGCAAAGTCCTGTTTGTACGCCCACATTGCACATCTTATGTGTATACATGTATTTTCATCACATCTCTCTGTCCATATACATCGACAACAATTTTTGTAAACACTCTCCAGGCCAGAGTTGTTTTCAAACTTTCTATGATTGTTCTATGGAAGAACCCAATCAAACTTAAGAGTCCTGCAATAAAGCCTTATTGTCACCTGTGTCTGTCCATCTGGTTCTTCGTCAAGGAGGAACTCTGTCTAACTTCAGAGTTGTGCAACGCATTTTTCGCAGAGTTACCCCCTGTGTAACAGAATGCTATTACGCCTTACCCTTTGAACTTGATGCTGTGTTGCCTGGTAATGCTGTGTTTTTAAATGCAAACAAATACATCATATACAAATTCTCTTAGATAAAATCCAAATTGTCATCACAGAAAACATAAGCAGGTACATTATCTTATTTTATAGACCATACCATGACATCCATTGAATTCCATTTACTTAGCCATATTTAAATTGTTTGACTAAATATGAATGATATTTGTTTTATAGATTCATGCTTCTGATTGGAAATATTCCATGTACAGCCAAATACAAGATCTAGCAGATGCATTTACTACAGATCCTAATACTAGAATACATGCCTGTGGTATTAAGGTAATATATTTTATGAAGAATGTTTCTACTGGTTCAAACAGATTATTCATTACAACTCAATAGCAGGAAATGAACTCAAAAATATGATAGCTCTGCAAATAAACAATGTTCTGTAAGAAAAAGCCTTTTAGCATCTGTTCACAATGCAAAATTGTATCGTTACTAATTTCAATTCCCCTCTTCAATGTTAAAGATATCGCTATTAAATAGAATTCCATGTCAGACAAACAACTGTTATAAGCAAGCATAAGAAGGTGTGTGCTTTGTACCAATATTTGCATATTTATAAAACAGAAAACACCCAAATGATTTTGTTTGAAAGCATTCTCCTTTAAAATATAAAAGAACAGAATTGTTAGCTATATACTTACTGAGTAAAATAGAAATTTTATCAGCATATGCTGCCTCGTACATGCCACCCATCACTAATTATAGGTATTTGGAGTGATGACTTGGACTTGAATTTCAGCAACTGAACTTATGTTCAAGATGTTAACCATAGGTAAAAAATATTATATTTCGTCATGTTTCAGAGAACACACCATTCGAAATCCCGATTGCCATGTGGTCATTTATTTGATACAGAAGATGAAGAGTTAAAACTACTGGTAATACGACCATCCACCATGTGGTTTACAATGTCAACAGTTCGATCAGAAAAACTTGTGGAAGAACCAATGAAATGGTATCAACCTCACCGTGTGTGCTACTCCTTCCATTCTTCCTTCAGTGAGATAAAAGATTTAGTCAGCTATCTGAATCCAGATGCGGTTTATCCTAATGTTATACCAGCACAAGAACCAGATGAACAAATGGTATGATAGTAAATACAGTTAAAGATACTTTGCCATGAAAGTATTTATCGGGTGGCTATTTCCAAAGCACTGGGCAAAAATGTCAGGGTATCACTAACTGGCAACCAGACGACTTATTGTATGCTAGCTTGACTGAGGGAGCGGTTGTTATTTCTTGATCGAATGGTTAGGCGGTTTTGGGAATATTGAGGGGTGTAAGTAAACATACAACCGACTCTACAATTAAATGATGGAAAAAGAAGTTGACAGAAAATAATTCAAGAATTTACTTAGGCCTGGTTTTAATTCCTCGCTTGTACCTGACAAGTAGTAGGGTCGCCTGTCCAACCTTTTGGATTTTCTCTGGGTCCTCCAGTTTCCTCCCACTGCTTAAGACCCCGATGTGCATGAGAGGACAACCACATCTCTCTCTCTCTCTCTCTCTCTCTCTCTCTCTCTCTCCAGTATTGCACACAATTATTTCCTGTGTATAAAAATAAAGGAATAAAGATGTAAGGACACTCAGTTCAACAAATAATTGAGTGGGGGGGAGGCAGGAATTAAAGTTTCATGTTTTCACCCTGATCTACATCTTGTTTAAATCAAGCTTGAAACCGAGAATTGTTTTCTAGTCTTTTCTAAATGGCATAGAATACTATCTAAACATTAATTGAAAAAAGGGACTTTATTTCTTTTTTGCAGGTCCAAGCTAGACTTAATTCTTTCTTGCGAAAGGAAGACAAATTATTACCAGAAGATGATAATGCACGTCCATTGGGTAATTTAAAAAGAAAAAAATCTGTCACCACTAGAATATCTTCCAGTAAGTTTTTGAAAAATAATATTCCATGATTATTTTGAAGTCAAGGTCCCCAACAGATAATTATATTGGATAGGTGACAACATCCGCAGGTTAAAAACATGGGGATAACCATGGATAAAGACAATAGTCATAAAGACATATGTTAAGAATCATTAACCAAGATGTTAGGTTGATGTTTTAGAATTGAAGGATGGTTGCATGTTTTTATTTTGGAGGATATTTTTATAAAGATATTTTGAGGGAGCCACGGTGGTCCGGTGATTAGGACATTGTCTCGCTAACCTGTTTGATGCCTGTGTTGTAGACCAAGAAAGTTCCCCCTTGTCAGTGGTGTAGGACGGAGGGCCTGGCAAGTGACACTGTATAGTTGTTTGGATGGGATAAAAAAACTGAGGTCCCTTGTACACCCCTTGACAGTTGGAGTAGGAGCACTATATGGCAAATGCCTGTCTTCATTAGCTTAGTCGGTGCAGAATAGTAGGGGATTAAACCCCATTTCATTTATAAAGACATTCTGTATGTGTTTTGTTTTTTTTAGGTTTAAGCGACAATGAAGATTTAGTGTTTGACAGTCCAGTAAAATCAAAAAGACTCAAAACTATGTGCAAAGTGGCACAGATGCCAGAAAAGGTGGCTGCACCTAATTTCAGTTCTCTCACAGATTTTCAAGCATCCCAGTTGATCTCACCTGCTAAAAGTGATCAGAGTCATGCTGATAGTTCATATCAAGGCAGTGATGACAGCGGTAGCGAAATGGATCTTTTTTCATCACCTACCAAAGAGCTGATTGATGAAGAGGTAATAAGTTCGTGGCAAGAAGGAGAAGCCTTGAGGTTGTACATCAGCAGTGATGAGGAAAGTGACGAGGAGGAAATCAGCACAGAACCAGACTGTGAATCAAGTAATCAAGTAAAAAATAAATGCAGAGTTCAAAAAGAGAGCATAGATATTGAAAAGCAAGTACAATCGTATAGAATGAATCAAAATTCTCGGAGTAATGATGAAAGAGGCTCTATTGAAAGTGGTGTTGAATATATTCTAGACAAAGTGCTTAGTTCAATTGAAGAAATCTCTAGTCTGAAAGGGAATCTTGCTTCAGATCCTCAAACTTTAGACCCTCAAGTAAAGACTGTGAAACATGAGAAACCTTATGCAGTGGAACAAATGAATGATGAGATGTCTGATACGGAAAATGGCAGTTTTGATCTGTTTGATGACGATGAAGATCTCAAATATAAGGTGAAAGCCTCTACTTCAAAACAGGTCAGTAACATAGAAAATGGAACAGAATTAATAGATAACTCACATCTGCCCCCAAAACAATTAACCAATTTAAAAGTCAACAGTTATGAACCGAAAGTTGATGTTCAACCATCTTCTTCAAATCAAATTGACAATAATGTAGATAAAATCAAATTTTGTGTGAAAACTGAAAATCAAAATGTATTTCAAGGAATTGAAATAATTGAAAAAGAAAAACCACATCTTCAAAATCATTGTTTTGAAAAATCTGAAGACAACAATCATACCTCTTCGTCAAAGGCAGCGGACAAAAGTAAAGAATCTTTCAAAATAAAAGACAGATTAAGCATACATTTACAAAAAGAAAAAATTGAACTAAAAGACATCAAACGAGATACACTTCAAACTAATTCAATTTTTGATACATTCCACGATCATAGGGGTCAAGAAATAAATGTTAAAAGATTTGTAAATACCGAAGACAAATTTGCCACAAATTTTGTCGCTTTACGTCCTATTAAGACAGATTTGCTTTTTGGTAAACAGACTTTACAGAACAATGATGGCAGTGAAATGATCATTATTTCTGATGATGAAAGTATTCAGTCGAGTATTATCGTAGAATCAGATGATGAAAGTGACCACTCAGATATATCCTTTGATTCGTATGATCAAAATAATGCAGAAGCCTATAAAAGTAGTCGATCATGTAGTAGGTCGCCATCCATTTTGAAAAATTCAGAGACCACTTGCGTGGAAGATATTTCCAATGTGGCTGTTGAATCTGATAGTGACGTTACACTCCCTCCTAGTCAGAATAGTTTTAATCCAAGTATATTAAATGGTGCTGATACAGGTAGCATCTCTCAGTCAGACTCTAGCGATAGTGAGGTTGAAATTTTATACGAAGACAAAATAAACAGGAAAGAGAGCAACAAAACAGTTTTAAAATATGCATCTCCTGTTATTAGACATCATAACAAAAACTTATCTGATTGTCAGTTGATTGATAATGATGATGATAATGATGTTATAGATTTGACTGAAGACTCTCAAAGATACTGAATCCATACATGTATCTATAAATATCATCATACATGTATCTTTAAATGGCATCATCATCATACATGTATCTATAAATAGCATCATCATCATACATGTATCTATAAATATCATCATACATGTATCTATAAATAGCATCATCATCATACATGTATCTATAAATATCATCATACATGTATCTATAAATAGCATCATCATCATACATATTGCTATAAATATCATATTTAAATGAAAAGCTCTGTTGTAAAATACAAATACCAAATTATGAGGGAAAAAATTGCAACGAAAATATGATTAAATTCTGCATAATGAATTTTTTTGCTTTTACAAATGAATTAAATTGAACCCATGTAAAATATTTCTTAGGTATAAGGAATATAAAAATCATTTTTAAAAAGGGAAGGTCTAACATTTTATATATTTTTCAAAAAAAGCCATAGAAATATCCTGAGACATGAACTACAGTTCAAGAGTTTCAGTCTAAAGTCTCCATATTCAGAGAAATTTCTTCAAAATGTATTTTCAGAGTTTATTATAACCAGACTTTTTCTGGTTTTTATCATTAACACTCACTAAATTTAAGTACTAACAATAGATACTGAAAAGTTTTAGACCATTCTACTAAAGGCGTAAAATTTCCATTATTGTTATGACACAAATATCAACTAACTTCAATTTTCCATCAAGGAGAGGATGTGGTGAATTCATATTTAATTTGAACCTAATAGGTCAATTTTTTTTATCCAATATGATATTAAAGAATGGTGCCATAATTCTATTTACATGTATATATTGTTAATTTCATATTTCTGATTCTTGATTTTATATTTCTGATTTTTGATTTTATATTTCTGGTCCTTGATTTTGAGTAATAGTAATAGTAATTAATGAAGTAGTGTTTAAATTATAATAGTAATAGTAATGAATTGTTGATTAATTGAATTTTGATTCAAGTATGTATATATATATATTTACAATATATCATAATTTTATAGTCTTGTTCAATTTTATTAGGGTAATAAGATTTTTATTTTAAAATTAAAATTTTAATTACAAATAAATATTCATATAATTGAAGTGTTAACTTTAATTAATTGTTATTTGTTATTATTAATGTAATATTTATGTATATAATTAATTTATGTATATGAATCAATAGCACACATGTATATGTATCAGTAATTAGATGTTAGTTTCCCTCTGTTTATTCAGTGGGGACTCCCTTTAAGATTTCAAAAGACATGTTTAAGAAACACGTGTTTGAGGCCTGTACCTTTGGCCTTGGTTAGACTACAAACCAAATATCTGTATAACTAAAGCCTTTCAATGGAATTTTCTGTATCATGGGTTTTATTGGTACGTTGCATGCACCCGTGTTGACCAGTCACAACTTCCAGTAGATATTAAAAGAGCCTTTTAAAGAAATGTCATTAGACCAAGATGAAGTGGTCAAGCTTGTTTTTAACCATCCAAAATACAAAACATAATGTTGATATAGTTTTTACATATCGTGATAAATATTGCACTTCTTCACAAACTACAGATGTTTTTGGGAAATTACACACTAAAGCACTATTTAAGCCATTGTATTGGCTAACAAGTGAATATGTTTTTTGGAGCTCTTAAGGGGGGTTGGATGGCTGAATGGTTAGCGTGCGCACGCTGTATCATAAAGTCTGTCATTGAGTCGACTGGCGTGGTTTCGAATCCCCGGTTGTACGTGACAAGGAATAGGGTCGCCTGTCCAACCTGTCCAACCCCTACGCGCAAGCGAATTATGGAAATAAAATTGAACCATATGTTAGTCCCGAAATGACCTAGTTTGTGTCGAGTGGACGTTAAACCCCATTTCTCTCTCTCTCTCTCTGGAGCTCTTAAAATATGTAGTCCGAACTGAAAACTATAAACAAAATTTAACTTTACAGAGTAATTGGACCAATTTGCCTTATTTGGGATTTTGAAATGCACTAATGGAATTCTTTTATGAATAAATTTAGGCATCTAATGCATGATAGTATATTGTTATATGTGTATTTCTTGTTAGTATATCTTTATTTTATTATTTTATTTTTATTAAAAATATTACATACTATTCCACGTCTTGTTTCTCACTGACTTACATTTTATTTACCCAGCCCATGTCTCAGGAGACGCTGGGGGAGGGGTTGGATGGCCAAATGTTTAGTGCTTGCACGTTTTATTATAAGGTCTGTCATTGAGTCAACTGGCATGGTTGCAATTCCCAGGTTGTATGTGACAAGGAGTAGGGTTGCCTGTCCAACCTTGTGGGTTTTCTCCAGGTCCGGTTTCCTCCCAAGCAAATTATTGAAATAAGATTGAACCATATATTAGTCTCTCTCTCTCTCTCTCTCTCTCAGGAGACTTTTATAAAGTAAACTCTAGCTCTTTCGAATTTAAAAATAGGAAAAATGTTTCCTTATTCTTAGGGGATACAAACATATTCTCTGTGACCCTTTTTATTTTGGACACATGGCTATGTTATTCACTTATCTTCCTTTTGTAACCAGTTCACTGAACATTCATATTTCAGTGGGTTGCTTGGTGAGTAAGACATGGCTGGCTACCCTGGAGTTCCAGTGTTGGATCCCGGTATTAGCCAAGAAAGTTCATCATGATTTGCCCTTGTCAATGGTGCAAGACAGAGGGCCTGGCAAGGACCAACGCTCAGTTGTTTAAATGGGATGAAAAACCAAGATCCTGTGTACATATTGACGTGCATGTAGAAGAACCCTTGACAATTGGAATTCGATGTAAGTGTAGGGTGTAGTGCCGCTGTCCAGGCAAAATTTCCCTCATAGCGCAGTCCCATCCTGTAGGATGTTAAACCCCATTTCATTGCATTTACATTCTTATTTTTGTTACTGATTTTCTTTTCTATGTCAGTTTTATTTGTCACCAAGATAGCTGATTAAATATAAATGAAATGAAATGAAATGAAATGGGATTTAACCTCCTACTGTTCTGCTCCTATACTGGGCTAATAAAGACTGGCATATGCCATACAGTGTGCTATGAGGGAAATTTGCCTGGGCAGCAGTACTATGGGCTCTTATATCGATCGAATTCCAACTGCCAGGGGATCTTTTACGTGCATGCCAATGTATACACAGGACCTCAGTTTTTCGTACCATCCGAACGACTAGACAGTTGTCCTTGTCACGCTCTCAATCCTGCGCCACTTTCTCAGCCAACGTAGGGATCGAACACGCGACGTCCAGACTAGCGAGCCAGCGCCTTATCCACTTAGCCACCATGGTTTTCTGATTGAATATACAACCATGTTTATCTCATATTTATTTCCATAGTATCTAAAAGAGATGTTTGTAACCGAATATATTGCTATTAAATTATAACAATCAACCACCTACAACTGTATCACAGAGTTAAAACATGGTATATCATGGTCATCTGCAAACTTGTTGAATCTTACAATCCTCCACATTTCTCAAATACAAAGTTTGAAAACTTGGATTCTTAAATGGGTAGGCTACCAAAATAAGGCTTGTTTACTGAGGTACGATGGAAGCCTGTTGTGTCCATTTCATAATGAGAAGTCGATAAAGCAAGGATTTTCAAATGCTAGAAAGCAAGAAGTCCAGGATGTAGGGGCGAGAAGTTAAGATTTGAAAAATGACGCAACAGATTTCCATAGTTTACAGTAAGCAACATTATAGAGAAATAATTCAAGTACCAGAGAGCTTAAACTGTTATTGAGTCCTTTGGAGTTATCTCCCATCAGTAAAAAAACATGGTAGATCTCACATGTGGTTTTACATTAATTTATTCTAATCCATACCATCAATGAATAACCAGACAAATTATCCCCACAGAGCAATTAATAGTTGATTTATGACCACAAATTATTCTAGCTTGCTTAGACTTATTATCGCTTTTAAGTTAATAATTGCAAACATTATGCATTTGATAATTGGATACTCCAAATTTATTTCCATCCTCATAGTCTTGATACTGGCACATTTATAATAGTCTTGTCCTAACATGTGTGCGCTTTGATCCCAGGTTTGTAAGAGTAGGCCAAAAATGCCTAATTCAAACACTTGGTCTACATATCCACTTTTCACAGCAGTGTACTAAAATATCAAATATATCTCAAAGTGCCATTACAAAAAACTTTCAGAAAGCAAAGGTGACAGACAGATGGAGGGGACTAATACAAATGTGTCATATGTTAGTTCTGAAAAGTTTTAATTTGTGTTGAGTGGACATTAAACCCTTTTTTTCTCTCTCTTTCCCAACATTTAAAAGTGGCACAAACATTTTCACTGCACAAGTGAAACTGAGGAAAGTAATCCAGGCACCTAACTATTGACTTTTAGAGAACATCTCAGAGTAGTGATGGGTTTTATGGTGAGGTAGGATATGCTTTCCATTTCTGGAACACATAGTATCACTTTCCATAGTAGTGGTTTGCTTGGCTCATTGTCAGTTTTGGACTTTGGCCCTTCTTTAGGATTGGTTGTGCTTCAATTTTATTCTATGCCATATTGTATTTCAACCATGTGCAATAAACAACAATAAATTGTCATTATATTATAGGTAATCATTTATTCAGATCATTTATTGAATATTCACTGGGTATTTTGTATAAAATATATTTACTTAAATATAAAATTATCACTGACATCTAAAATACTAATTATAAATATACTAACTACCTTCTATAATAGTGGTTCACAGATTTGAAAGTGGTTCAACCACTTAAAAACAATATGGTCTAGAACACCAGTGGGTCCAAATTAAAAAGAGGTCCTTCAACCAATTTCTTATTTGGAAAGATTTCAACTTGTATAAGTCCTTGTTGCACCAATGGTTTTGATTCAGATGTACATTTATATTAATTGAAAAACTTAATCAACTAATAGTATATATAAGACATAAATTATTTATAAAAACACATTAATTCAGGTTTGAAATCAACAAATGTAATAATAACTATTTGAAATTAAAAATTGCATTTCTATTAAATACTGCCCTGTGTAGTAACATAAACAAAGCTAAAAGCAGTCTATTTTTTCTACAATAGTTAAAAGGTATAAATATTGTGCTATTAATTACAGACCTGCTGAGGTATAATCAACTTATAATTTTTGATTGCCTGTCTCTTTCTTGCAATTAATTATCAAGAGTCCAAAGAACAGAAAATCAAATTGACGTATCCATAATGATATATCAAAATCTAAACAATGGTATGAAAAGTCTATATACCTTAATCTCAAATTTTTAAGAGAGAGTACAGCGCTGATTACAGATACCTGAAAATGGCTGCCATATGTCAATCATCCCTGATGGAAACTATAAATTAAAATGTATTCATTAGCAATAATGAATTAACAATGGTTGGCATGCTAAAATCAAGCTATTTAATGCTTATACAGAAATGGCCAATTTGGAATTTACATTAAATATTTTACAGCAAGGAATTCTAACAAGTGGATATAAGCACTAAAACAAAATCCTGATAACAAAATATCCTTTTACAAACTATTTTTACACCTTATCATAACTTTTACTTCCTTTATAAAATTAATTTCATTATTGCTATCAGATAAAAATATATGTAAATAAAGAATATTCCTTGTCTTGTTTTAGGACAGTGGTTTAAAAATAAAAAATACACAACCAGGTAGCAAGGCAAGATGAACACTGACCATGTAAAATATATATATACATGTAACAATACAAATAAAATCTGTATCATTCTTCATTTAAAATTAAATAATTTAATCAGTATAATTATCATTCTACTTAATTAAATATGTCTTTAATTGTTGAACTAGAGAAGTAGAAGCCAATAATACGGTAAGCTTAAGATTTAAAATCAAAATAAAATGTTTTATTCGGTTGTGCTGCAGTGATTATTCTTAATTTCCACTGGGCAAAATCCACACCATTCATTATTAATTTGACAGGGTAAACTAAAGTCTGTCTATCACTTTTAGTTTTGACTAAAACATTTGATTGTTTAGTAAAAATGAGTTAGATCTTAATAGAGCTAAGTCTCTAACTCAATATTTTCGATAATATTCGAAATTAACAACACAAATTATAATTCAATATTGGTCCATTTTAATCCATATTGATGTTGTTATGTTGCCGAGAAAATGTGGGATCCTAATATCCAATATTTAAGACAGAATGAACGTCATAAAATATGGTACACGTGTTGTGTACCATATTATTGTTTCAGGTGAAAAATCAATTAGCAAAGAAAAGCATATCCTAAATTACAATGCGGCAGTAAATAGTAATGGCTGATTCACAAATGATCAAATAATAATAATAAAAAAACCTGAAGAATGGGCTAATTAGGCGTAAACGATTGTCGTTCAATTCAGACTGTTAGCGTATTTCACCGAACGTAATTGATTAGAAATAACATTTCTTTTTTAAAAATAGAATATAAATCACTTAATATACACTCATATTACATTAATATGTGATTTTAGACCCATTTATGATTCAAAAATATAGAGTCAAACACCCTTTAATCTGATGACATAAACTTTTTACAGTACAAACATATCAACAGATCAAATTTAATTACATCAATATTTTCCATTTTGTTTTTGCCCAATTCAAAATAAAATAAAATTGCCGATATTTGACTGAATTTTAATTAATTGGCATTGTGATAAAACCATTTGACATTGTTCAAAATTTTATGCCCTTACATAAAGCCAAGTTTAAAATATAATCAATTTTGTGGTCCAACAGTGTCAAAAACAAAAATTTAAATTGTAAAGAGACTGACTTCGCTTAACTCATAACATATAATGGTAGAATGCTTGCCTCATTACTAATATAAATAAAATATTGGATTAAAACAATTTAACACTTTATTTTACTTTAATTTTCTTAAAAATAAAGCACACAACATATTAACTATTCACTAACAAATTTAAACATAAAAATAGCACTGAACACAACAATATCTCTTTCTTATAAAGCAACAAGCTTTGAGATGTTTGGGATTATATTTCTGGAAATGAAAAACAACTGAGACAAAAAAAAGTTTGAAAATGGAAAAAACTGCAGCAATTTCTTGCATCTCACACAGAAAATCGTAGACATGGATGAACAAAACTGCATTAACTTCCATGTTAAAATGATAGTTTCTATTTCTAGCATTGAAGCCATTGTTGCTGTTGCCACTGTCTCTTCTAACAATACAGTCCTTACAGAACCATGGAACACAACAAATTAAAGGAAAAAATTAACATTTAAAAATCAGTATAAAAATAACATAGGAATATAAAGATATAATATAGTAAAAAGCTATTTTTGGTATAAGATCAAATATGTTATACACTAAATTTTATGCACAAGTCAGCAGCTATAACAGTCAAAAGTAACTTAAGAATAACATGATTTTCAAGCATATACATTGTATGCATTTACAAAATACCTTATAACTTATTGCTAAATTTTAAAAAACCATTACAAAATATAAAGATAACTGAAAATTTTAATATCATTATAATAAAGAAGATATACATCATCAAATAATAGAATTGGTGTAAGTTACAAGTCATGATGTTTGCTACAGTGTGACAGTCAAGTATGAGGATCTGTTAGTACTGACTAGATATGTACTCTCTGATAAGGCTCTTCTAAACCCCTCCCTCTTCCAACCATATATAATACAATTAAAGAAACCTTGTAACGGTCCAAGTAAAGCCTAGAAAAACAAAAACATGAAGTAAATGGCAACATGCATTGATAAAAATGGATAAAATATAATGCTTTACACATCAAGATTATAGACATTAACGATTTGGATTGTTTGCTTCATCAAGATTAAAAATATCTCAACCTATGTTAAGCGGCCCATACATGTTCAATTTTTCCGTCAATTACTTGATGGCAATTAATTGATATCAATTAATTGGATAAATTGACCTTGCCCACACACGATCAATGTTTTAGCGTCAATTTTCATTCAGATCGAAAACTTCAATCTGGCACTAGTACACACGGTCTATTTAATTGACGAGCCATCAATCAATATCAAAGGATCTTTGATCCGTCAATTAATTGATTCAATTAAATATTTCAATTAATTCGCCGTCAATGTTCTCGATACAAGTTCTTCGTCAATTTATGCTATATTCAAAGTATACTGACTTTTGAAACTGTTAAGCAGGGACACGTATCCCAGATAAAGTTTCCAAACATACTGTGGCATTTTTTCTTTGGCCAAAGACTTTGGGAGCCTAACTTTAACTGTGGTGAAAACAGTTATATATAAACATTTTAGTTTGTTACTACATTGTATTCACTTATGTTTTCAAATGATAAATTGTAAATACTAATCTACTCTTGAATAAAATACTGGTTAAACCAAATGAGATGCTGATTTATATAATTAAGTCATTGGCTAATTTTGGTATTGTTTAAATCAAATACCAAGGCAATCCACTTACCTGTAGAACATACAACCAGAAATATTGACTCATTTCAAATGAACTTGATAAGGATAGAAAACCTAACAACAGAGCTGAAAATAGAGAAATAAAGATGAAAATTAACAAACTGTCATAACACAATGGGAGAGAGAGAGAAACAGGGTTTAACAACCACACAGAATAAGCTGGTCATTTTCCGACTGATGGTATATTATTATTGAATTCTAAGACATTTTGTCATTTGGAAAAAGAGGGGAGTAAATCTATAAGTGTTATATCAAATTAATGTGCTTATTGTAGGATTAATATATTAATTACGGTACTTTTTTATAATAATTTAATTTGTAGGATTACTATCATTATTACTGTACTTTTTTTTTTTTATCAAAAATCAGGTTTGATTACCACAAATCCTAACTTTTTTTCTTTCCAGATTCAGGGTTCATTCTTTTTATTTTCTAAACATTTCAAATCTGGACCCAAGATACATGAATCCATCTCATGGTGTGGATTCTTTCGATCTAAAACTGCAGTAATTAACAAGTCAAAAATAGTGCACTTTGGTCTTCAGTGAAATGAAATCCAAAACGATAAAACTGTGTGTTTGACTCAAATCAAGAAAGGTTATCTCTATTAGGATTCTTGCCCATTAAATAAACCCTTAAATCTTACTTACAAGGCATCCAGCAAAAGATAAAACCTGTTTGATACAAGATGGCTTTCTTTCTAACTGTAGATTCTTCTTGTCTTTGATGAAAACCTAACAAACCTGAATGAACAAAATAATAATGATGTTTGATGCATTTTTTAAGTCAAAACTATCATATAGGGCATACATTAATTAATGATATGGAATTACATTCTCTCAATGTAGCAACTGACTATAATAATATCTCCACGAATTCGTTCAATTTTGAAATGTTTTAAATCCAAAAAAAAACCCAAAAAAACCATGATGTATTCTGACCTTCACCTTGATTCTGATGGCCTTGTATTCTTTTTAAAACAAAACAAAATGATGAAAGCTAGTTGTTTGATGACTTACCTCTTCGTCTAGCTAATTGTTTTAGTTTTTTACCAATACATATATATAGTATCTGTAATTTACATAAAGATAATCAATTATAAAATGATAGCATCATATCTTATCAAATTTTCAAAATATGTTCTGATAATAGATCACAAGTGTGGGTAACAAGAAATTTCATTGGTGATTAACAAGCCTTTCGATTCAGTCACCATATTAATATACAATTAGATTAAAAATGTTTTATGGTTTAATTTAAAGTTTTCATCACTAATCCAAGAAATCAGATGAACTCTTAAATTACTAGCAGGATACCCAGCTTTGCACGAACCCAATTTGCTTGTGTCCCAAATTTGCCCAGGGCCCAAATTAGATGGCCTAAAAAATTCACGGGGTCATCCTGATTAATTTGATACCCAATATAGTGGGGGTGGAGAGCGATGACGAAGCGTTATTCAGGCGGGGAACAAGCCCAATTCACCCATTCAGAGAACAAATCTAAAAGCATGGAGTCTGATAATAAGACTTACATTGTATGACTTCTTTCCACAATCTATCAATTATTATAATACCAATAGTTCAAATGTTAAAAATCATATTGCATAAACCAAAATAAAGACAGATATATTGTTTCATCTTGTGTTCTCCCATAAAACAGCACAATAAAAGCTTTGTTGAGGAAACTGATCATGTTGCATTATTTTGTGAAGAAATGATTCAGAACTTATTCCAGACATACATATGTCTTTCCGATGTTTGTTTGTCTCATAGTTTTTATTAAGAATATGAAAATATTCACTAACCATATTAACTATAAAGACAATTAGTAGAATAATGAGAAATACCAATTTATACGTTAAATGCCACATGCTACCATCTTCAATATTATCCTGTCAAAAAACAATCAAATTTAGCGTTATAATCAAGTATGATATTTAGTGCAGAGCATAAATCTATTAAAATACAATTCCACTGTATTGCATTGCATCTTAAACAGAAGATTTGTCATTTTGACATGATTTCATGTTTTTCAGTAAATTTAATGTAGGAATCTGTATCACATATTTCAGAACCACCAAGTACACCTTGAAATGTGCATCATACAATCGAACACATATTTTGAAAAGAATAGCAAACGTGCATTAAAACTGCAGGCAGATAGAAAGGGTTAACCCAGAAAGTCGGGTCCATTAATATTTAGATAATTGTCGAGTGATGAGACAAATCCTAAAAACTTTATTACTGAGGACTACTTTGATGAAATGTTATTTACATTCTTTCATACTTTAGACTTTGCTTGAAATAAGTTTGATATCAACCATCTATTGATATGAAGGAATACAAAATCTATACATATTTAATGATAAAAAAATTATCTATAAACCAATTCATTTTTATACGCCCACGTATATTGTCGTCGCCCCTGACCGTCTGGATGTCTGTTCAAAATTGTTTGTGGACACTCTACAGGTCACAATTTTTATCTGATTTCAATGAAACTTGAAATATAGGTTTATCTCCCCAAGATCTCGGGTTCCTTTCGATATTGGCATGTATCGGACTGTAACTTCATGGATTATGGCCCCTGATTGTACGAAAAATAACGTTTTTAGCTTTTGGACCCTATAACAGGTCACAATTTTTATCTGATTTTGTTGAAATTTGAAATATAAGTTTATAACCCAAAGATCTTGGTTCCTTTCGATATTTGCGCATATTGGACCGTAACTTTCTGAATTATGGCCCCTGATTGTACAAAAAATCTGTGTTTTAGCTTGTGGACCCTATGGAGGTCACAATTTTATTCCGATTTAAAAAAATGTTTGAATATATCCCGTTACACCTTAATGACGGTTGAGTTCGAATTTTGTGAAAATCGGACCAAAAGTAACAGACAAAATGGTCGCCCTTCGAACTTAAACAGTGTAAAAATAAGGTATATCTAGGTTGTGGACGCTCTAGAGGTCACAATGTTCACCCGATTTTGATGAAACTTGAAATGCATGTTTATAACCCAAAGATCTTGGTTCCTTTCGATATTTGCACATATAGGATCGTAACTTCCTGAATTATGGCCCCTGATTGTACAAAAAATCACTATTTGTTTAGCTTGTTCTCTATCCATCTCTTGCAAAATGTGGGCGTATCCTGCCTGGCAGCCGCTGGTTATAGTAAGTTAATCATTTATACATGCATATAAGAGCTGGGAGGTCCATTGTTCGATACCGGTGTGGTTCTCCTTGTCAGTGGTCCCGTGTACACATTGGTGGGCTTTTAAAAGAATCCTTGGAAGTTGGAATTCAATATAGGCCACAGTACTGCTGTCCAGCCAAAATTTCTCTCATAGCACACTGTATGGTGTATGCCCGTCTTCATTAGCCCAGTCAGAGAAGTTAAACCCCATTTCATTTCAAAATGCATATTGAGATATAAGGTATATATGGTTATCTGAACATTGTATAGAGAAGGCTATTGTAACCAAGACATTATATAAAACTAAGGAAAGCTTACCCAGCATTTCTTTTCATCAAAATGAAAAACAGGAAGGCATCTGAAACACAATTTTTTTTTAAAATTATAGCCTTTTGTCTGTATGATTTTGTATTGTGTAATGTTTATGACTGAAAGATTCGAAAATAAAATATGGTGTCTTCAACCCCTGTTGTCGCATTCTCACTACAATTAGCATTTTCCGGGATTCTATCCGCATTATCGCCCTTATTGTTAACTATATGAATGATGTTACTCACGACTTCAACTGGCAGACTCATGCCATTTAACAGACGATCACTGTCAAAATTGGTCACATTATTTCTGTCTTTCTTGTAAATCAATTTTTTTTTTTATTTTGAGTCACGCCTGTATCATTACAGGCTCAGGACTGTACAGTGCAGTGGACGTTTTAGGCTGGCCCCCAGATCCATTCACTTGATTTGATATTTGATTTGATATTTTTTGCAACGTCTCTGTAGTTTGTCTTGTCGGTTTTGGTTTGTGTGTAGTGTGGTACTTCTGCACTTAGTATCAAGTATCCAGTTAGTTGTAACAATAGTAACATCAAGAATAATACTTACAGTGAACACTGTGCTGGTATAATAGTGTATTGAGTTTTTAATGAAGAATCAATGATATGTATGACTTCTATTTGAACAATTGCTATAACAATTGGAATCAGCCTGAATAATCAGAAATAAAATGTTTCAAATTTATAATAAAGAACTACTACTAATCAGAGGATACTATAAGATAATATTAACCCAACAGAGAACACACAACATGTCAGTATATTCTGGTCAAAACCTTTTTATTTTTCGGGGATCACGTAGCTAAGTGGGTAAGACGCTGGTTCGCTAACCTGGAGGTCGGGTGTTCGATCCCTGCATTGGCCAAGAAAGTTCATCCCAATTTTCCAGCGTGGTTTCCCCTTGGCAGTGATGTAGAACGAAAGGCCTGACAAGGACAGCTGTCTAGTCCTTCGGATGAGACGAAAAAACGAGGTCCCATGTATACATTGGAATGTACGTAAAAGATCCCTTGGCAGTTGGAATTTGATATAAGAGTAGGCGATAGTGCCGCTGCCCGGGCAAAATTTCCCTCATAGCACACTGTATGGCGTATGCCCGTATGGCTTCATTAGCCCAGTATAGGAGCAGAACAGTAGGACGTTAAACCCCATTTCATTTCGTTTCACTTTTTATTTTTGAGGACACATTGGTGTAAGTGAGAAATAGATATTTTGATAGCATTCTTTCAATGTCGGGAATAGCAAAGTGTAAAATATGGGATCTAAAACAAAAATAAATCGATTCTAAATTGCATGTACATCAGATTTAAATAGGACTGGTTATTATTATAGGTGAAATGTTTGTTAAATATAATCAGAAAAAAAAGACATACCATGCTGAACCATAGGCTAAATGCATTAAAGGATGACTGACAGCCTTTCCCTGAAAAAGAAAAAAATTCCTTATTATTGAGCCCTTTTATAGCAGATAAGGTACCTCATCTTTCAAACCTTCATGTCTCGAGATAATGGTATTACATAATCCAATCTGGAGTAGCAATCGGGATTCACATGAGCATAAAATGAGCAAGAGAGAGAGAAATGGGGTTTAATGTCCACTTGACACAAACTAGCTCATTTTGAGACTAATATATGGTTAAATTTTTGTTTCAATAATTTGCTTGCGCGTAGGGGTCTTTAGCAGTGGGGGGAAACCGGAGGACCCAGAGAAAACCCACGAGGTTGGACAGGCGATCCTACTCCTTGTCACATACAACTGAGGAATCGAAACCATGCCAGTTGACTCAATGACAGACCTTATGATACAACACACACGCGCTAACAATTCGACCATCCACCCCCGCCCGCTTTAGCTAGTAACCACACTGCAACTGAAAATGCAATATATGCCCACCTCTCTTTCATTACTACTGGTTGATCCAGGCTGCAATCTTCTCTGCATACGCATAAATGCTTCAAGAGCATAACACAAAGTTAAAATAAATGTACTGGTATAAAAACTCTGAAAAACAAACCAGAGAGAAACAAATGAGTTCTTTATTATCAAATTCTAAGGTAAAGACTATTAACAGAATATGGGAAAATAATTCACAAACTCTCTACCATGTAAAAAATAGCCATGCAAAGTGTTGAATAGCCCACACAGCAGCTTTGTCTCAAATATAGCTTATCTCAAAGAAAAACTTGGACATTGAGAAAGTTTGATGACTCTGGCACAGAAAGCTGTAGAACGCTTATAATTGCGATTGGGTTCATCTCAGTACAGCAATACCTCCCACCAAATTTGAAAGATCTCTGTTTAAAACTGTAGCTTAAATCATGTTCACAAGGTTTTTTAAAAGTTACAGAACGCTGATTGATTTTCCTATATGAACAGAAGCTTAAAGCTGAATGAAAATACTGTACCATCATAAAGGCTGTCAAGACATCACAGGGTCCGGAACTGCCAGGAAAATTTGGAACCGATTTAAGATAACATATCACATTAGACAGGAGAAAAATGGACGCTAATATATCTGCTATTGATAACTGGAATATTGGATAAACCTAGAAATACATAAAAATTTAAGAATATAATAATTGTGAAGCTAAGTCATAAACTATAATGAAATTTGAATAACTTTTTTTTATAAACATTTTCTGGTTACAAGGTCAAAAAATAGACATTTATACATCAATTCCTATCAATCTTTTAGCAGCAGGTCCCAACTGACAAATATGACGATATCTGATATGTTATTGCTGTCATACATTATTTTTCCTGCAGCCGTTTTAGGAATATTGAACAAACTGCAATTACCTTTATAAATAAAATCAAAGTTTGTATATATCAATGTGTGTTTGTATGTGTGTATAGGTACATGTACATGTATGTCTGCCCATCAAGCTTCATCGCCACACTCCACCCCCACATATGTGGTATCAAATTAACCATCATGACCCTGTGAACGTTTTAGGCCATCGGGTATCCTGCTAGTATTTTTATATCTCTTAAAAGACAGGAGCCACATTGAGTAAGGCATTGGCCAAAAAAGTACCGGATTTTCCCTGTGTCAGTGGTGTAGACAGAGAACCTGGCAAAAACCAGTATCTAACTGTTCATATGATATATATATATCAAAAATTGAGTTGGAATTCGAAATTAGCACAAGTCTTAGCACAAGGACAATTTATCTCAAAGCACAATGTCAGTTGCTGCATATATTTAATTTCATTTCTCTTATCATAGCCTGTCTTCTAAACATTCAACACTGGGTACTTTACTGTTGATTGCATTCAAACATATGTCTAACTCTATTCACCCATACCAACTACATGTACATCTAGTGCAGCGAAATAAGCTTACTAGTTCAAAAACGATGGTGCTATTGGTGCTATTTTATTGGTTTTTCGGAACGTACATGTTAACTTGGTACATATATTTAAGTATGAATAATTATACCTCTGGAAAACAAACTCTGTTGTGACAAACTGATGTTAATACAATCGAAAAAGAACCAATAAAACTGAAATAAATAACAATTCAAATATTTTAACATTGAAAATGAGATCAAGCAGATCATTGAGCAATTATAAAGAAGAGCTAGGTCGTTAAATACCATTAATAATAACACTAAATTGAAGCAACGTAATGAAATACAACCAGTATATTTAATTATAATTATCAGGGAACAATTTTTAAAGTTATCATCAGAAACCATCTGATCTCACTACTGTTTCATGAACTTTGGTTCATTACAAAATAAATTATTACAATATAAGAAAGTTACCTTAGAGATGCAGTTACTAGAGAAATTATGCTTATTGTCTGCATCTAAAATACAATAAAAATTTCAAAATATTCATTTCATATTAGAAAAAAATGTATACAAAGCAATTTAGAAATATTTTGTCAAAATGATTGTAGAAGTCATTATTAAAGATGTATGATGTAAGAGCTAAATCTGATGTCTGAATGCAGAGCAGATCTTTCATGTGGCCTCAAAAATTATATTAATTATACATGTATACATATCTATTCACATGCCAAGCCCATAATCAATGTTCTAGACCATCGGATGGTTTTGATTTACAAAAGATTGCCAGTTAATAATTTTTAATTTTAAAATTGATATTCAAGACTTTGTTTATTATCATAACAACGGTAGCAATGACAAAGAAAATTACGCTGTTCTTCAAATGACTCCGCACAGAATGAAGTGATTTGACTGAAATATTCAACATATTCCCTTCTCATTCTCTATTTTGTAACTATTATATCACAATTATCATAAACCACTGTATATAGCATTTACAACCCATGATCTAAAACAGCTACAGCTAGATAGTGTTGGTGGGTGAATCTCTGTATAAAAATTACATGCTTTTGATGTCCAACGAAGAACATTCAAAGCCATAGTCAATGCTACAAACAAAAACAAAAGCAGTCAATGATATTTAGATGCTTTAAGTGATGATGTAACCATATTAAACCATGTACATATTTAAAAGGTCATGGGATACTTGATACCTTAAACACATGGGTAATTATAATTATTTTGCTAATGTTGTGGTAAAATATTGAGAAGCTGCATCACTTTAGATAATTAAATGTTCATTTACAAGATTACAATCCCATGTCATAATTTTGTAGCTTCCATTTATTTATCATTTATTTATATCAACTAAGTTACTGAAAGACACGGGTCTCGGATTAGTAGAGTCCACTGAGTAGATTCAGAATAATGATTCAAGTTGTAGGCTGTTTTACAAAATGTCTAGCGCTATTGAAGTCGTACATGTGCCTGACATTTTTAACTTTGTGTCATAATCTGTTCAATAAAGAAACCACAGGCACAAGAGGAATAATGTCTGAATTGTTCTGTGACAGTGTGACAGGTGGTTTATTTACCAGGATGGCTGAGAATACTTTGCTTAAGAAATTTGAAGTCTTCCTTAGAGAATGTTGGCATACATGTATGTAGATATTTGAATAGTAATTTGCAAGTGCTCACTGTCTGATCATGTGATATTTCATTGTTTGTAAATTATAGCTAATTAAGAAAGAGATACCTCAATCTCAACAACTAATAAATTCAAATCTTAGATTTTCATACATTATTTGGAATGGATCTAGGGTTGAACTGAACAAAACTGACTGTTGACAAATAGAAATAATCTCCTGCTATCAGATCTCTTTTTATTGTAATCAATCTGTCTGATCATTTCCATGGTAGATGATATTAATTCAGTAGCAGCTAGTGGACCCCTACGGGCCTACCCTTCAATCAAATCATTATTGATACATGAATGTATCTACAATCAATATAGACCCATTACTTTCATTAAGCTTCATACATGCAGTAGGCATACATATGTGTTTAATCATCTATGAAATGATATATTAATTCATACTGAATTTACAATCTGTGGAACAATTACTAATTGAATTAGTCGACAATGTCATGAAATACAATCAACATGACAATAAAACTAGATGTTCTGGGTCTGTATCAAGAGTATATTAGTACCTTTCAATGGATAAATCTGTCCAGGATATAAGCTTAATTATGATTATTTTAAACATTTTCTACAACGTATTTAAGACGTTAGAAATTTATGATTTCCTTGTTTCGGTTTACTAATAAATAGACTAGGTTACTATAGCGAAACGAAATCATATTCGTAATGTTTCTACTCTCAGTGGCACGATTTACCCAAAAGCCACCCAAAACTACCCAAATTCAGGCAATTCCACCGTTAATTCAAATCGGGGGGGGGGGGATTTTTGGTGTGATAATGTGATATTGAAGCAAATCAACTATCTAGTTACTGAACTCATCTTTCAATTCATAAAATATAAGGACAATGTGAGTTGCTAATTTTTTGCTATAGGGCTTGGGTGATGACCCATATTACCCCACTTGAATGACACTGCTTCCAGAACAAAATGAAAAATTTGGAGTGCAGTTTCAATTGAAAGATATAGGTTTAGTTTATCGAATCATTATACCTAAAAAATATTCCACAGCAAAAAATTATGTCCCCTATTATTAGTTAAAATAATGGTGGATTTGGTTACAACTTCCAAATTAATTGCTTGGAAATGGCATTTGAGGGGAATTTTGACACAAAAAACATTCATTATAACGATGTAAATTATAAATGACAATTAGTCATAAAGAACGATATATTATCAAATATTGATAGATATAAATTACTGTCTTATATTATTTGAAATAATGGTGGAATTGGGTAGATTTGAGTGGAATTAGATAAATTACTGCCCTTACAGTCTACTCTATCAATATCAATTTTAACTTCTTCTTGTAGGCCTATAGCTTACCTACCCGGCTACTGCTGAATTTGCCCCATGTTGCGTTTCTGAATAGTATCTTGATTTTCATTTATTTAATTTCCTTTTCTCACTTTATTTAAAACTACTGTAATTATTATGTAACCACCCGGTGACTGTTGGCAGTGATGGGCCTACTAATTACTACTGGTCTACCGGCTACTGATTGGGAGTGATTCAGTGAATGATAATGTATGTATGCCTACCTCACTAAGACTCAGTGTCGTCATTGTTATATTAGAGCTGTTTGACTGTAAGTCGATGTTGAAATCCATATTAATGACACTTCTTTCAATACTTTTAATCAACAATATAATTTACGGTACTTCTAATTTATCTAGAGTCTTATCCTAATCTTCCAAATCCAAAACATTTTTAGATGTCCATTTTATTTTCTCATGTGACCCTTTGTTTTGATCTCGCAAATTCCCGTTACATCTTGGGGCATCGGACCGGAAGCGGAAGTTTAGTGGTTACCTTGGACATCGCCATGACAACGTAAATAGACCATTTTCTTTGTTTATGTTGGATCTCAGAACTTTAAAAAGAGCAAAATCAAATTATTTACACCAGAGCTACATTTCAAACTCAAAGATTAAACATGTCCGACACAGCAGTACAACAGGTAATTATAATCTAATCATCTAGATCTACTGACTGTCTGCTAGTAAGGCTAGTGTTTATTTAAAACACTTTTTCTTTTCTTTTTTTTTTTGCCATAGGCATATGGCATGGGATAAAAATTGTAACCCCTAGAGTGTCCACAAGCTAAAAACCTGATGTTTCATACAATCAGGGACCATAATCCATGAAGTTACGATACAATACATGCCAATATCAAAACGAACCGAGATCTTTGAGAGATAAACCTATTCTATATTTTAAGTTTTCGTTAAAATCAGATAAAAATTGTTACCTGTAGCAGTAGTAGAGTGTCCACAAACAATTTGTGGACGGGCAATGACAACAGACATCCACATAAAAATGTGGGCGTGTAAAAATGGAAGCTAATTACCAGTACATGACTTATCAGGATAGATCATTTCGTACAAGGGGATGACAGCAAGGCTTGTCTATCGTAACGATGTCAAGAATATCATATTCTAACCTATCCGCAGTTTGCCATGTCTACTAGTATTAGTCCATTTTCAAATTAAGGTAACTATATTACACAGTAAGTTGATTGTAAAAGAAAATTGTTCAATGTCATTTAGTTCTCTTGTTTTCACATATAATTTATTGAATGAACAGGTAAGCTTCCGTGGACTACCCTATAATTGGAATTTAGAACTACCAATTTTTGCTTGGTAGTTTTGTCATTTCTTTTGATAATAATAGGAGCATCAGTTACAGACAGCTTTGTTCATGTTCATTGTGATACCTAGTCAAGAAGCTTGCCTCCACTCCCATTACACTGGACATTGGTATTTCTTATTTTAAAATGTATCACAGAGCTTCAGATAGTTTCCATTACCAGTATGGGTAACCAGTTTTATTCAATGAAATATATCTGGTATTTATCCTTTAAGGCCCTGTCAGGAAAAGCATACAGTGAATTTCAAGGAAAGAAAACAGATTCACAAGTTAAGCATCAAACTGAAAATTTGCATTTTTTTTTAAAAAAGGTCACGTGCCTTGTATTTTGGTTTGTACCCTCTTTCACGCAAGATTAATTGCTTTTTTTTATTCACTTAAAAATATTTGAAATTGCTTCTTTATAACTCATTTATAAAAATATTTATTTTATTCTCTATTAGCAACAGAATGGTGAATTTGGTCCTGGTGGGGTACCTAAAGGTGCTCAAACACATGAATTTTATAGAATAAAAGAAGTACCTTCAAGATTTGACAACCCAGGTTAGTTAAAAAAAATAGTTTTTGTTGACAAAGCATGGTTCTAATATTTTCCATGTTGTTTTTAAGTGATTCTAAAGAGATAGGTTGTCAGGCATTGAAACATATGCCTGCAGCAGCCAAATAGAGGGTTGTCGCATATTTATTCTTTTGTAGGTAATGGATGGCATTTTGAAGGCAATTTCATAGAGATCAAGGGCCATGGTAAAAGTAAAACAAGGGCCATATCTCTAGAATCAATTGACGGAAATTGCTGAAATTCAATAGGGTTCTTCGTTACACTAATTTAAATGATGCACATAAATTTCATTCCGATCGAATGATAACTTTTGTCGTTAGTGCGTTCACAATTTTAAACAAATTGAAACAAGAACCATAACTCGAGGCATAATTAACAAAAATTGCTGAAATTCAATAGGCATCTTCGTTGCACTATTTTAAATGAAGCACGTAAATTTCATATAGATTGGATGATAACTTTAGTTGTAAGAGCGTTCACAGGGTTCAACAAAGTGAAACAAGAGCCATAACTCTAGACATGATTAATGGAAATTGCTGAAATTCATTGCGCTTCTTCATTTCACTAATTTAAATAATGCATATAAATTTCATACAGATTGGATGGTAATTTTTGTCGTTAGTGCATTCACATGGTATATAACTGAAATTGATGAAATTCAATAGACATCTTTGTTTCACTAATTTGAATGATGCATACAGATCGGATGATAACTTTTGTCGTTAGAAAGTTCACAAGGTGCAACAAAGTGAAACAGGCGCAATAACTCCAGAACAAATTAACTGAAATTATTGAAATTAAATAGGATTCTTCATCCTCCATCTTATTTTATAATGAATATTTGTACCCCTCCCTGATGATGCAAGTAAAATTGTTTTGTAATTAAGGAGGAGCCTACGGAAGATTAGTTTATTGCAAACTAAGTTACCTCATTAAAGTTTTCATTATTGTAATTTGTATTATTGTAATTAAGAAATCAAAATATTAAGAGTAGATAATAGACACTCTCGCAACTGGGATTCAGTTAGATTAAAAAGATGCCCATCATACAATTTTTGCAAAGTTTATAGGTGACACTGACTTTTTTATATATCATTAACAGAGGATACTGATAGTTGAGAAATTTTCAGTTCATCGTATCTTTGGAGATACTGATCAGAATTGAACCATTTTTAGACTAATATTCTTTTTATAGATTAAACTTTCACTCTATTAATAGTATTATAATAATTAATATTAATACTATTAATTCAATTTTTGAATTATAATTTTGTTTATAGAATGGTTTCAAGGTTATGGGGGAAAGAAACAACATCCTATGTATAGAACAACATCAGCTACATATGGTTCAAGAGCTCCATCAGTCCATACCATGCCAACAACATTTCATGCCAAATCACAACAATTCTCAGAAGTAAGTAGCTAAAACTATTCATTTAGTATAGTAAATTCTTAATTTTCTTGAATCAAGGAACCTCCATGCCAGTATGGTCTTCCACCCTTTTCTATTGCTGTTATCAAATAAAATTTGTCATTTATTTTTATAATGATTTATTGTAATCCATAACTTGTATTAATTATTTAGTAGGCGTATTCTATTCTAAAAGGTACCAGTCAACTCCCATCATCATAAACTGCCCAAAACGGGATATGAGATATTTAAATAAGCCTATTTGATAGTGGATGGGATCAGGATCCTTCAGCTATTATTATAATTTCAGTACCCCCTGCAGAATTGTTTTTATTTGCATTTTAGATGTTGTGAATTTCGACCGTGTTTCTACCGTCATTCTGACGGACATAATCTGACGGACACGACTCCCTTTTTTATGTTTTATGGGTATCACTATGATTTCAAAGGATTGAAATATCACATGTGGCCTAATGGACAGTTATAGAGATGAGATTGTGATATTCTTGGACTAAAACGACATTGCATTGATAGTCAGTGTTATGTTTCTACTGTCATTTCTGACGGACATTAAAAATGACAATAGAAACAAGCGGTTTCTATCATCATTTCTGACAGACACTGAAAAAGTTGCACTGCACAACTTACAAAAGTGTAGAAAAATACTAAATGCATTACATATAAACAATCTAGGTGATTTGAACACCCCTCCCCCCATCATGTCCACATAAAATCCATACTCCCTTGACCCCCCCCCCCCCCTCCCCCCCCCCCCCTGTCCGACGGACAACTGAACCTGGTAAAAGTTGTGTGCAGATCACGTGTTTTTTTTTCATGTGTTTACAAAGCCTTTTTAAGTTGTCAACTTCAAGAAAAAAATGTCTGCAGGTGGTATAGAGTTAAGAGACAAGGCATATTCATCATTAAAGTCATCATTTAAGTGCATAAAAATGCTGTTTACATTTATATAATGAACTATTTTAACAGCTTTTTAAAAGTTCTTCAAAAAGCAACACAACTTGTCTGCCACTAAACACTGTTTCTGGCGCATGAAGTTTTTTAATAATGTTTTTATGGTCCACTAAAGCTCGTTCAGGTATCTGCTTCCTTTTTTTCAAGACAGGATCTTTTGTGTTCTCCAGAAATTCTACACATGGAAGGGATTCTTCAGAAATAGCTGTGACCTAAAAAAAAACAATTTAAAACTAGAAGTGATGTAACTCTATTATTTAAAAATAAATAAAACCAAGTACGAACGTTCCAAACCGTTAGACAAAATTCGAAATCCTAAAAAACGTTATCGGCAAAATCGTGACAGCAAATGGACTGTCCATCAAATACATGATAAACAGTGGTAACAGGTGTCCAGATGCATGCGAAACAAGTTTATCAGACAGACAGATGCACAGCTAGACAACAGACCAAATCAATATGTCACCCATTAAAATTTGGGAGTCAAAGTGAACTTAAAACTTCCTGAACTGAGAATTATAATAATTGAATCAATCAGTTTTTGAAAGAGCTATAGATACAGCTTAAGAAATTGCAACAAATATTCTACCTCTCCAACATACTGCAAAGTGTTTTTCTTCATCTGGTATTGGCATAGCAGGTACTCTCCCATGGTGAACGACATTTCCTGCATTACTGACCCAACCACGTCTTTGTCATTCGTGTTGTTTGTTTCCAACTGCAAAAAAGTGAACAAATCTGAAGAAGATCCCTTGGAAGCACAGAATGCACCCAACAAAATGACAATAGCAGGCCCAGTTTGATCAGTCTGCTCATAAAGCTTTTTAACAATCTTTACTCATTACCCCGTAACGCAACATTTTTGCGTCTTGCAGCAGACAACTTTAAAAAAAACATTGTGGCAAAAGGAGAAATTGCTTGACAAAAGCAATTTTTATCATTTGCCACAATGCTTTTCTAATTATCAATTTACATGTATATTATTATTAAAAGCAGAACTGAAAGTTTTTTCACTTTTTTTTAAAAGCCTTTTTTAAAATTGTCTGACTGCAAGATTGAACATTTCTGAAAATTCTAATAGTGCACTCACTATAGATTATAACTTTTCACCTTTGTGAAAGTAACAAACTTATTTAAGAGCATTTCCAATTATGATCAAGTATTTAGATAAATTTAACAATAGCATGAGTAGTACTAACTTAAAGAAGAAGTATTTGCAACATGGTTTGAAATAGGAACAGATGAAGTATTATATAACATTTTCAAAATGAATGGAACAAAGGTAAAACTATACAGCTGAACAACGCTATTTCGAAGCCACTGGGAATGCGATTTTATGAATAAAACTTTAATTCTGGACTGGAACACCCCCTCCCCACCCCCCAAAAATAAAAACTTTGAAATATATATATGAAATAGGTATCAACAATCTGAATTTTAGTTAAAACATGAAGTCTTTAATTTGGGACCAAATATTTAACTCTAATAGCTTCAAATTCAATTAACATTCGAAATGGCAGAGTTCAGCTGTATTTAATAACTGAATAAATAACAGTAAACATAAATTTCAACAGCAACTTTTGTAAAAGTATCAATACATTTAATAACTGAATAAATAACAGTAAACATAAATTTCAACAGCAACTTGCTTACCGCTGGTAATGTTTTTTCTGATGTTCTGTTTTCAAAAAAATTATTCAGCAATGAAATAACATGGTCACAATTTCATTTATTTAGAAAATGTAATGCACACTTTTGAGACTGTTGTGGTATTTGCATGAACACAATGAGCTTCGTTGTACAATTCTCCCTTTAACATGTATATTTTTTCTATTAAAAAATATTTACTAGATGACTTTTTGTGTTTTTGTTTAGAAAAATATTGCACATTAATTTTACGTTTTTCCAGGACAGAAAGTTCACATTGTTAATTTGTTACAGCATATTGTTGATGATAATAATAATTATTCTTAAGTCACAAAAAACGTCCGAAAAAATGTAGGTTTTTTTTTTTGTTTTATTTAATTTTATCTTCTTTGATTAAACATGCCTACCCGAAATTGTTTATTCTATCTGTTACATGTTCTCTTTAACTGGCAAAACTTGTTTTCTTATTCTAGCCCACTTATTACTGATACAGTGTAAAAAATAAAATTTTCCTATAGGTGGTGCAGTTTAGCTCAGAAGGACCCGTATATTATCTTAGTAAGACCTTAAGTTAGGCAAGTTACATACAACACCATCGTATACATCAAAGAGGGGATTAAAGATCATAAAGTGACAGTGATAAACCATTTCATTGTATGTGAGGTGCATGACAATTTCAATCAGGTATACCTGATTGAAATTGTCATGCACCTCACATACTAGGAGTCCCAAGTGGGGACATAAGGTTCAACAAGAAAACCAAGCCAAGAAGATCCACTTACACAGTTTTTTGATTGATCAGGACAGGTGCTTCCTTCCCAATTGGAAGGCATGCCACGAAATGGTTTGGATGCCACAAGCTCTTGTTCGCATCACCATGAACATTGGTGAACATGATGTAGGCACAGTTTTGAACATCAGTTGGATCATTTCTTGGATAAACGCTTCTGCTTAGCAGTGCAACCATCTTGGGGCCTCCTAAAGTCGGATAGACAGAGACAATCCTTGTCTTCATGACAGAGGCTAGGGCATGCATATTCCATGGACCCATATATTTGCCATTGGCGATACAGTCCTTGGCCTCTTTTCGAAAGAGTTGCAGTGGAACATTGGTCTCCTTTACGAATGGTGACAGAACTGAGTACCACTTTAGGATGTCGATGCTAGTGTCAGTAAGCCCATGGCGTAGGAATTCGTTATCCAAGTAGACGCTTTCAAATGACACCATTTCCAGAGCTATCCTGATACGTATCTCAACATGTCTCAGTTGATTACCAAAGATCAACATGCTGGCACTCCGTGGCAAACAGTTGCCATCCCCATATATCTCGACAGGCACATGGGTGCTCGGCCCATTGTAGAGGGAGATCGAAGGCTTGTCAATGGAACAGCTGTCGCAGTTGGGTAGAAGGGGACGAAGTGGATACTTTGCTTCAATCATGTCGACCAGTTGGGGAGCAAGGTCCTGAAGGTTTTCATAGTCCAGTGTTCCTAGATGTTGCTGCAGGTTGGAGAAAAATGTTCTTCTATCCACCATCTGTATTTGGTCGGCGAAATAGTCTGCTATTGGTGTAGGCGTAATCAGGGCTACATCTATGGCAGATACTGAAAGAAAGAAAGAATAGTGTTTTATGGCACGTCGGCACACAGTAAACTAGGCCATTTTGCGCCAAGAGCATCTTTATAAAAAACTATGAGGAAATATAAAAAGGTATAACTAAAAAACAACGATCCGCAAACGGTAAGTAAAAACAATGGTAAGTATACAAAATAATCAGCAGATGGTAAGTAAAATCAATGATCTATAAATGGTAAGTAAAATCAATGGTAAGTAAAATCAATGATCAGACGATGGTAAGTAAAATCAATGATTATAGAAAAGAACATAAAGAATGTAGGAACAAGAGCTGTATAATTGGCTGTTGGGAGAAGAAACAATGTAAAAAGACACAAGATCAATTACAAAGTGAACTAGACAACTTTACTTGTAAATTTATGGCTGTGTGTTGAAGTGATAACATTTCAACACTCAATGAAGGTCATGATGGTGCAAATTGGCCAACTTGCCTGAGTCAGAAATTTCAATTTCATTGACCTCACTGTGAGAGTCGGACTCATCTTTGAACTGCCCATCATCCTCAACCTCGGACTCTGCGGTCTCTCTATTCTCCACCACCTCTGACTCATTGGAATACTCTCCATTCCCCTCGCCCTCGGACTCCTCATCGTACTTTCCATCATCATTCAGCAACTCACCATTCAGCAAACTGAAAGATTTAGGGTAATAATAAACAACAATATGACTGTGAATGTGTACATGTTTAGAATAAATAAAACCAAGTACGAACGTTCCAAACCGTTAGACAAAATTCGAAATCCTAAAAAAACGTTATCGGCAAAATCGTGACAGCAAATGGACTGTCCATCAAATACATGATAAACAGTGGTAACAGGTGTCCAGGAAGAGTAAGCTTACCCTGCTGACGCGCCACACCCGCCATAGCGCATCCAACCAATTAAACGAAAACCGAAATTATTAAAAAAAAACAGTCTCAATAAAATAGAGTACTATAGAATTTCATTTTAAATGAAAGTGTATTGTGACACTACTTACCCATCAATAATATCTTGAAGTTCCTCTTCATCTTCTTCTTCATCCACCAGAGCTGTAGGCTTCTTCAACTGCAACTTCTTCTCCTGGTAACAGCCAACTACAGTCTTGTTTGTACATTTTGCTGTCTTGGCAGAGGACCCAAGCTCAACACTTGTATTGCAATTACAGCAGAAACAGGACAGCTCCCTTGTGTGAAGTATGAATGGCCGGCCAACATTGTTCCTTACTTGGTGGATCTTTCTGGTTTGTGGAATGGTCTTGACGTCAGTGACACTTCTCGAGCGTGGTATGACCCCTTTTGGAACGTAGATGAAACTCCGTTTCGACAATGTGTTGTTGAGCTGGAAATGTTCAGTGCACCACCTGTATGCATCATATGCGCTGCTAATCACCGTCCCCACACCACATATAGCCCGATCAAGTGCCCTGTTTACCAGCCCTATTTCGCCGTCGCCGTCAGCTTTACCATGTTCTGATCCGAAGTAGTTTCGTACAATCTTGTGACCTTTGAGAGAGACATCACAGAGTGGTCCAGAGCTCTTGTATTGTGCAGCGCAGCCATCACTAAAGATTGACTTGACAACAACTGACTGGAATTCCATGTGTTCCCTGAGCAACTGGTCAACTTCCTTTGTGAAATGGTCCACAGCATGATAGTCATGCTGATTATCGTCTGAGAAAACGATAACTGAATGTCGCACAGTACCTGCAGCACTGTTGTAGAAGGTTACCACTGGATGCATAGTAATCTGTGATGGGGAATAGAATGCTCCTTTTATTTCGTTTTCATAGAATGTTGATCGGTTCTTGGCAAAATCCATGACTTGCAAGATCCAGCCCTTTGGCAGGCTGTCTCTAAGGCAGGCAAACTGGAAATATTGCCAATGCGCAGTGAACAAGTGCTGAATAAAGGTATTGTTCTTGATGGGTGAAAGGACGTCCTCTACAAGTTCCTTCATCAGATCACCCAGGGTGGCTGTTTTGCTAATCAGCATGCGTTTCGTTTTCCCATTGCATTCAGTTTTCCTCCAGGAACTCCAGACTACAGGGTTGCTCAATTCAGCTTGAGAAAAGTTGAAATAAGAAAACAGGGTTTTCTTGAAATTGCAGCATTTCTTACAAGCACCTTTCACGCATTCTATGCCGTGGAATCTGGCAGTATCAGGCTTAGGACACAGCAGGATGTTGAGCAGGTCAGTCTCATTGGCATGCTTCTTTCCTGGTTCTTTGACTTGTCTCGACAATGTTAACAGCTTGAAACGCACATTGATGCAATATATGCAAACGCAATACTCTCTGTATTTCGTTGTGAGAAGCTTCACATTTTTGGGGCGTAGTCTAGCGAACTTGGCATAACTACATTTGGCATGAAATTCCTCTTGATATTTGGAATGAGCAGCTTTCAATGACATCTGTAGCAAATAGGCTGGTCCTGCTTTAGTAGCATAGCGTTTCATCGGTAAGACTCTGCTGATATCTTCTCTTTTGTAGAACTTCTGGATACTAGCAACATCAGTGGCAAGTTTCCTCGGCTTCTTCTTTTTGATGTACCTCCTATCAATGTTGAATTCACGACCAATAGCACGTTTACTTGCGATCCCTATCAGTTTTCTCGCAAGGATCTTGACAGCTCCCTTTACTTCCGGAGTGACCTTTTCAGTGGCTAGCGGCGAAAACAATCTAACATTCAGTTTTCGGTATTTTCTTGGAATTGGCGGTGTCGTACATCCAATCGCATTCAATGCTGTCCTTTTACGGGGAGAGCACTTACTTGCAAGGCTGGACACAACAGTAGCATACCGAAGGGGGTCATTTGGAAGAGAAGCCCTAGCTTTTGCTGTCACATTCCACTGTGTTTTTTTCGTCTTGTACCCTGAACTGGTGGTTATATTTCTAGGTGCAGATTGCTGAGAATTGGCACGTCTAGCTCGGGCTTGTTCACGTTTATCTCGTTTTCTTTCACGGTCTTTCTTTTTCATCCACACTTGTTTTTGGACGGACCAATTTTTCCTTTCTTTTTGTTTGTAATGTTTGTTTCGCTCCTTCACTGACTGTTGTTGTTGTCGAGTTAGAGCTTTCGCACATCGGCCATTCGAACCCTTCGAAGAAGACTTGTTATCTGAGTATTCTGTGTGATTCAAACTGCAATACTTTTTCTGTCGAGCCCGTCCCAGTTCCTTTTGATGTTCTTTTTTTTCTAGAAGTTTTTTGGCTGGTCTCTTCTTTTTAAGTTCTTCCTTCAGTTTATCACGTGCGTTTTTGTTGCGGACTTTTTGTTGTTCCAGATATCTCTTGTACTCTTCAGGATCTGTCTGTTTCAGCTTTCTCCGCCACTCTGTGCTGCGCGATGGCATGATTCTGAAAACATAAGACAAATTCATTTAATACTGATTTGTGTTGTGTCCAGCCTTGCAAGAACTTAAAAAGAAGAGACCAGCCAAAAAACTTCTAGAAAAAAAACCATCAAAAGGAACTGGGACGGGCTCGACAGAAAAAGTATTGCAGTTTGAATCACTCAGAATACTCAGATAACAAGTCTTCTTCGAAGGGTTCGAATGGCCGATGTGCGAAAGCTCTAACTCGACAACAACAACAGTCAGTGAAGGAGCGAAACAAACATTACAAACAATAAGAAAGGAAAAATTGGTCCGTCTAAAAACAAGTGTGGATGAAAAAGAAAGACCGTGAAAGAAAACGAGATAAACGTGAACAAGCCCGAGCTAGACGTGCCAATATCCCTGAGAAAAAAATGAAGTTAGATATCAAAAATTATCATTGGTTTTCAATCAGAAACTGCAGTGACATGCACCTTAATGCGGTGGAAGTAAGACATCGTTGGTGTCCAATCAAAAACTGCAGTGACACGCACCTCAATGCTGTAGAAGTAAGACATCAATCATCATTGGTTTGTGATGCAAGGATCCCACTACTAGTACAGCACTACCTTCATATGCATAGCCCTGAAAAAAGGGGGCAAGACAAATCTACCTGAGTAGGCTCAACAATGAGTTCAATGACAGTTTTGGGTCCGTCAGAATTAACGGTAGAAATTTAGAATCGGTCAGGGAAGTGACGATAGCACCAAAACATTTGTCAGATAATGACGATAGCAACCAGAAGTCTGTCATATAATGACGAGAGACACAAGAGTGTCCGTCAGGCAGCTGACGATAGAAACCTTTCTGCATTCACCAAGCAGACGACGCAGTGCATTCGAGCAAGCATTTCTATTTGTTGACAAGGTCGACACATTTCACGTTACTTTCGGCAGTTTCAACTCTAGAACATTCCTACAAACCATCTAATTAGATTCCATAGTATGCTATCGTCATGTGTTTCTACCGTTATAAACTCTGACAGAGATACTTACCTTGCATTTGAGTGAAAACTATCCAAAATAATCACGATCTCCCGACCGGAAATTGACCTTCAGCGGCCCAGATCTCGCATGCGCAGTATAGTCTCGCTTGACCAGTCTCTGATAAATTGTGGCAGGTGACCTGATTGTTGCTACCGTTAGTGTTGGCGATCTGACAGAATAACGATAGAACTAGGTCATGTCAAGTTAATTTCTGATTTACGACAGGAATCGACACAGAACACATTACTTTCCAACAGTAATCTATATTTTATTACAATAACTGTTTACAAGTGAAATATGAAGTGAATTACGATGCCTAGTCAAGATGTTTCTATCGTCATTGAAGCTGACGGAAACGAAGTGACGATAGCAACTGCACTTTACCATGGAGGCATAAAAACGGGAGTTGCGTCCGTCAGATTCTCCAATGCTATGAATTTTATTTCATTTTTTTCATTAACAAATTATGGTCTCACATACTTTCAATTGATTTTGTCAGTTTCGAGGGGTTCCTTTTTTGGTTTTTTTAAGACTAAAAAGTGTGAATCACATTTGCAAGGTTATGAATCTGATAAATCTCTCGTCAAATATCATTTTTGGTACCAGTTACAATAGAATCTGCCAGTATAAGCTTGTGTGATAACACAGTGGCTAGTGCAAATCTCCATTAGCCTGGTTAACTTCATTTATCATTGGTGTTCTTCTTTGGTTTTTGTTTTACTTACAACATAAAGATATCACGGTTCAATGAACAGTTATTTAATTTATATTAATTGATGATTTTTAAATATTTTACAGACATTAGGAAAATGTGGAATGTACAGAAATCACTCACTTAATACTGGAATGGATCAAAGCAATGTGTGATGGCATTTTAAAGACAATTAATCTTGAACAATAATATCCAGTCATTACACCCTCTGTCTTTATTAACAAAAGTTCTGTGAAATTTGCAGTTCGAAATAATCTTCTTGTAACAAAATAATATTTAAAATAATTTAAAAAACAAAACCTTTGCTACAGCTTTGGTTCTTTTTATTTTGACTATTTTAAGTAATTGTAATTATATCTAGTTTATGTTTTCATCACCATTTTACATATACATAGAAAAAACTGGCACCAACTTAAGTTATCATTATCACTTTTATGTAAATAATATTGAAATGAATAAATTATTAAAAGTTGACGTCTATTTCTATTATTTGCTTAGTTCATTTTCCTAACCACAGTAATTAAAATACAGACATTATCCTGCACATGTATCCATCTAGTATAAATAATTAATGTACAATTGGAAAGTTGCCCATACATTATTTGAAATAATGGTATTCCAACATCAAAGGAAGATGTCAGGTCTGTATTTTAATAACAAGAGCATCGCTAACGCAGCAATATACGTCCACATTCCTGTTTTGTTTGATATGGTCCAGTTTGCATTGAGGGTCTGTGAAATAAAACTGGGTTGTAGGACTGCTATCAGTATAACATTTCGTTCACATTAACAGAACACAATTTTTATTTTAAAACAATCGATGTCTTTATTCTAAAAGCATGACGTTTTTTTTTTGTTTTTTTTTGCTTGATTGATAACGATAAGAGAATACTTGTGGAAACGTCGTGCTTTTAGAATAAACTAGTGATTGTATCCCATAAAAACTGTGTTCTGTTAATTTGTTCCCTGATCGCTAAATGCCACTTAAAGAATAACTAGAAATGGGCGTGGCTCTGCCCCTGGGGGTCGGGCATGCACCAAAAACAATAGGGATCTTCCTTGGGGTATAAGGAATAAGTATACCAAGTTTGAAGAAAATCCAGTAAGAATTGCGCCCTGTAGGCGACACAAAGACACACGAAAAGAAAATGGGCGTGGCTCTGCCCCTGGGGGTTGGGCATGCACCCCAAACGATAGGGATGTTCCTTAGGGTACAAAGAATGTGTATGCAAAGTTTCAAGATTATTAGTTAAGAAATGTGGCCTGTAGACGACAAACAAACAAATACTAGAAATGGGCGTGGCTCTGCCCCGGGGGGTCGGGCATGCACCAAAAACAATAGGGATCTTCCTTGGGGTATAAGGAATAAGTATACCAAGTTTGAAGAAAATCCATGAAGAATTGCGCCCTGTAGGCGAACCACAGACACACACACACACACACACACACACACACACATACATACACACACACACACACACAGACAGGGGCGACGGCATAATACGTTCACATTATGAATGTGGACGTATAAAAAGGGAAATGTAGAATGCATTAGTTTCTTCCCATAACCTTAATGTTTAATGACACATTGTGGCAATAAATATATTGTATCTAAAATTGTACAAGAAAGCTTTGCATGGCCCTAAAGGACTAGGATTCATTTAATAATTTATGTCTGCAGTAGTCTGCATGTTGAATAATGGTTTAATATCGTTTATTTTATAATAAACAGTTCATTTAAACATGTACTGGTACATAATTACAATACTGTCTTTTAATATGTCTAACAGAACAAGCAAACCATAACATAAAATCAAAAAATGGACATTTTATAGATAGAATATATGAGCATATATTAAAGAAATCCTCAGGTCCTGGTTGAAATAAACATTGAAGTGCAAGTAACAAATGGAGATCATATTACCTTGTGCTTGATAACACCAAGAGCAAACTGGGACATAAGGCACCTGTCACAGATATTGTCAAGCACAAATCATATAAACATGCCATACTTGTTGAAACACTGCTCTATTGAAGTTGCTTGTGATTGTTATCCATTAAGTCATGTTTGTATTATTTCAAGGTGGAGATCAAGCTCCACTATGTGGCAGATAATGCATATATTTGGGTCATTTCTTTACTTTTTGACATTTAATTTGCGCACTTAAGACTATTTCCAATTTTTATACCTCACTGTAACTGTTTTCAACATCAATAGGGAATAAATATTAAGCAACATATTGGTCACCTTTTAACAACTGAAAACATAATATTGCCAGACATCTTAATAACTGTGAGGCAATATTATACATTCAAGTTCAGGGGCATGGACAATAACACCACATATAAAATATTGCAACACTAATGAAGAAACACAGGTTATGAAATTGTACAACATTTTCAAGACTAGGGCAATAAATTTATATCACAGATATTGTTAATACAATTAGAATTAAATTATGCATGTTCAGAACAAAATTGACAAGGCAAGGCTATACAAATATTCTTACAGTATGACTAAGCTATGCCAGTTTTTAAAAAAGAATCCTTGATCTAGTGTTTTGCCTTGACAACCCAGTAATAAAGCATAAATAACTCCATCCTAACCAAAGATAGTGAACACACTAGTGGTGGAAAGAGAGCAAATATACCCCAAGTCATGAATGATATAACTATTTATAGACAATTTCCTTTAATTGTTATAGACAATTCCCTGTAAAACTCTGACTGAATTACTGAAGATACACCTCTTTCAAATTGGAAAAGGATATAGTTTAACCATACATGATTAGAACCGTGGTCACAAGAATTTTAATGTGGAGGAGCAAGACAAATTTTAATCACCAATCACCACATTTAAGGTTCAACATAAGAAGTAATGTAGGTGATAAAAAATACTGTTCAACTATGCCAAAAATAGGGTTTCCAACTCTGCTCCACATAGTCAGAGATGGGCATCTGGGATCGGATCAGGGGCTCTGCGGCAAAAATGTTGACCATGCTAACTTGAATTAAACACAGATATTTATACGGTTGCGTGGGAACCGGCAAAAATGTTGACCATGCCAACTTGAAATAAACACTGATAGATATTTATAGGGTTGCGTGGGAACCGGAGCGATGTACCGGCCACACCCTCTTCTACTTGGGCCAGGTAAGGCTACACTTTGGTACGTAAAGACACTGATAGCTTGTTTGTCCTATGCTATAAATTATCTATTCTGTCTATGTAATGTGACGGTATTCCTAATTCCAAAAGATGATGTTTAGTCCACACTGTCCAGTCTTTCACTTCATCACATAAAATGTTCCAACACAACTCTGCTAATGGAGGTAACTTTAACCAGATTCTGTAGATTTTATTTGATCTTTTGTCTTCAATATGTACTACGCCCCCAAATACATACATACAACCATTCTGAAAATTATAAAATCAAAACAATTTACGGAGAAAACAATCTGTGCAATTCAAATTAAAATGGCCAAAGCTGTTTGCACAATAAAACATACAATCATTTTGTTATTACCTACCTAACAGGGAGCTGGACAAACAAAGCAAAACCAGTCTGATTTAAAGAGAAAATTTTTAACAGGTAGTCACTAAATAGTTGAAACTTTGCTTCATTATCCACAATAAATAGGGTCTTTAACACATATATTTATCAAGAGTTTTTGAAATCAGACAATGCTGATCAGCATCTACATTAAAGACATTTGTTTCTAGCAGGTAGAGAGAGAGAGAGAGAAATGGGGTTTAATGTCAACTCGACACAAACTAGGTCATTTCGGGACTAACACATGGTTTAATTTTATTTCAATAATTCGCTTGGTCAGAGGGGTCTTTAGCAGTGGGAGGAAACCGGAGAAAACCCACAAGGTTGGACAGGCGACCCTACTCCTTGTCACGTACAACCGGGGATTCGAAACCACACCAGTTGACTCAATGACAGTCCGTATGATACAGCATGCAAGTGCTAACCATTCGGCCATCCAACCCCCCAGCTCATATGTTGTTAACAGATAGTGAAAATATAATTATCAACAAGACAAAAAGAATATTAAGCCTAAAAAAAATAATTTGTTTCAGATGGTCATCAATAAAGTTTTCTGCAATTGGTATTTGGTCAAGTCATCGGTGGATGCATCCTAGCGTTCAATCATTGACAGGTTTGATAATCCCAATGATGGTAACATTTCTATTATCTATAATAATGTACTCATCTCATAAGATGTATTGTATTTGATAGAAAACATATATTTTCCAATTGAACATTCCTTAACTATTGAGCTACAGACTAATTAAATCAAATCTACTAAAATCTTAGTGCTCACGCAAATATTCTTCAAATAGTTTTTCAAAGCTATTTATTATTCAAATAAAGCTAAGGGATTTTGATGTGTTTTTGTCTCCTATGAAATATTTACTAATATTAATTCAGTGAAATCAAATGTTTAAAAACTAACAACTTAAAGAAAATATATTCATTTCAAAGATTTACAGTACTGGGTATCTACATATACAAATCTGAAAATGAACCAAAAATGATCCAAAACTTTATCATTTCAATTGAATAAAATTGTTAAAAAGCATTTGTATAATGACTTACAATATTCAAATAGTAAAATCATCTATAGATGAAACCAATGTTATTTAAATTCTCATTCCTGTATAGTTTATACATGTATGTACCAACAACTGACCTGAGTAACATCAGCTGAATGAAAATATACAGGGCTAGGCAGAAGACATGGTAGTTTTTTCCACTGCAATGTTGTTAGATTTAATTTCCAAATATCGTCAGCTATCCTTCGTTGTCCTAATCCTCCACATATATAGATTTCTAAATTAGAATAAAACAAAACTTATAGATGTTTACTGCAGGTCTTTATTTTTGCTTTAAATGATATATAAATTTAAACATATATTAACATGAGGGCAACGGTGATATATTTAAACGTTTTTTTAAACCAGATAAAAATTGTGATTTTTACGCACAATAAAGGGTCATAATCCAGGAAGTTGCAGTCCAATATGTGTGAATATCGAAAGGAACTGCGATCTTTGGGTTATAAACATACATTTCAAATTTCATCTAAATCGGATAAAAATTGTGACCTCTAGAGTGTCCACAAGCTAAAAATTTGATTTTTTCGTACAATCAGGAGCCATAATCCATGAAGTTTTGATCCGATACATGCCAATATCGCAAGCAACCGAGATCTTTTGAAGATAAACCTATAATTCAAATTTCGTCAAAATCGGATAAGAATTGTGACCTGTAGCGTGTCCACAAGCAAATTGTGAACGGACGGACGAGCAGAGGCGACAACAAGATACCTCCACATGAAAATGTGGGCATATAAAAAGTGATTTTTCGTACAATTAGGGGCCATAATCCATGAAGTTACGGTTCAATACATGTCTATATCAAAAGGAATTGAGATCTTTTGGAAATAAACCCATATTTCAAGTGTCGTCAAAATTGGATAAAATTTTGGACGAACGGACGGACAGGGGCGAAGACAATATATACGTCCACATGAAAATGTGGGCGTATAAAAATTGTTTGACAGGAACACTCACCATTATCAAAATATACGCAACTGTGACATCTTCTGGCAGATGGGTAACCATTTATTGAATCTGGTTTTCCTTTGAATTCTTTCCATTTTAAAGTTTGAATATTAAAAACAGGTATCTGTCTCAAAATGAATATAACCATAAGAAAATTGAATACAGTACTATGTAAAATCTGACCTCTCCATGGACTTTTAAGAAAATGATCAACTCCTTATTATCTACATTTTAAATTTTTGTATTGTTCGTCATTGATAAAATATGCTATCAAGTCTGACCGTCTTCTTTTGAATGTCCATTGAAGTTTTGTGTAATCATATGCTAATTTTAAATGTCATTAAAGATATATTTCTTCCTATGCCTAGGGACTCAGGGAGCCCAGCTGGCTGAGTGAGTAAGGCTTTGGCTCGCTAACCTGGAGGTCTAGCCTGCGATTTCTGTATTGGTCAGGAAAGTTCATAAGTATTTTTCAGTATGGTTCCCCCTTGTCAGTGGTGAACGACAGAGGTCCTGGAATGAAAAATCGAGGTCCTGTGTACACATTGGCGTGTACATACAAGAACCCTTGACAGTAGGAATTCGAAATTAGTAGGTCGTAGCGCCACTTTTCGGGCAAAATTTCCCTTGTAGCACATTGTATGGTGCATGCACGTCTTTATTAGCTCAGTCGATGCAGAAAAGTAGGAAGTTAAGCCTCATCTCGATCTCGGTGTTGGCCGAAAAAGTTCCTTTGCATTTTCCAGCTTGGTTTCCTTTCATCAGTGCTGCAAGACAGGGCCTGGCAAGGAAAAGGTATCTGTTCATGTTGTGCACTTGTTGAAGAGTATCCTGAAATACCACTGGTTGGCATACCATAATAGAACGATTCAACTGTCCTACCGTCTGCCTTAAAAGGGGTGATCAATAGCACCCGCTCTGGTAGATTGACCCTTTTATTTAAGAAGCTAATTAAATAATTGAAAGAATTAGGATTACCTCTTTGAAACCAAAGACTTCAAGAGCTGTTCCACCTCCAATTAGATACAAATCATTACCTTTACTAATAACTTCATGTCGATATCTATTTCAAAATAAAAATTTATCTATTATGCCTTTTACTTTAAATAATGTACACAAGGACATGCAAGCTTTATATTTTCCTGGTTAAAAATTGACAAAATTGCATAATGTCATAAGTGCAAATGCTTTTTCCTAAATGTTCTTTCAGAAAGTCTCCTGGAAGTCTACAGGAACATAATACTGTGGACATAATACAAGATAAATATTAGGTAATATGACATGAGTGCTGCAAAGGGGTAGAATGTGCTTTTGCGATATAAAATTCTATATTACACACAGTAACAAATTTAGCAAACAATCAACAAACGATACACAATTAATACAAAGGGTCAAATTTGGCTATGAGTGTCATCATAAATTACCAACTTATGAACTTTTCACTTTAAAACTCTTATCAAAAATAAGACAAAAACGAACTGAACAAAAAACACCCAAAACCTTTTATATAGTTACAATCTCCAATGTAAGTGTTTTCTTCGTTTAAACCTACCTTGAGTCTGGCTGCCATTTAGTATTATCTTGACCTGAAAGTTGTTCCCATCTTAAATCATTAAGATTTAACTGATGTACATCCATGTTATATATTAAACCTGTTGTACCACCAATAACATAAACATAATCTCCAACCAACGTCATTGTCTGAGAAATATATAATATATCTTAATATTGTGAACTATACTTGAGATTACATAGCACACCGGCCAGCAGTTAACATATTCAAATTTCACAAAGATTACATAATAATTGAGAATTTTAAAAGTTTAACAATGTTTAACGCGATCATGATCATTAAGGGGCTTAACTCTGTAGATTCATCTCGAAAATATGTGAAAGTTGCCCAACTAACAAAGATTCTCTTCTCGTATACATTGCTGTATGTACCATATCCAAGCTTTATGAGCTTTTAAGTATTTGATAGTTACATGGTGGAGGTCGATCGCAGCCATGTTTGAAAATGGTTTATGAAAAATATGCTAGTTTATAGCGTGTAAATAGAACGATGAGCCTGAGATATTTCCTGTCAATTTTTACACAAGTTCTCATGATAGGCATATATATATATATATATGGCCGAGCTGGGACCCAAAATTTGAACACTACAGATCAGTGGGTAAACTTTAAATCTATTACCTAGCCTTGCTTGCTAATAAAAGGTAGATTAAAAAGAGTTACAATTAAGCCATATACAAAATATATTCTGGTTCAAAAGGGCAGCATGACCTGTTTTTATTTGAAAAAAAAAACCCAAGAATTAAAAACAGGCTCATTAATTACTGCACAAAATATTTTATCCTGGTTACTGGGAATAAATCTAGGAAAAGATTTGAATGAATCCATAGCCTCATTTATCAAGTACACAACACTGATAAATGTTAATGACAATCATAAATGATACTGGATAATCATAATTTCCTATAAACAACAATTTGATTTGTATAGACGTCATATAGCCAAGTAGCGTTCCTTTGATAAAATAAAAACACAAAGATAAAACCTCTCTCCCACATCTGATTTTTTAAAAGGATGGTCTGGAAACCATAATTTTTTTTTTTGTATGGCCTGGCGCACTCGGTGGGTGTAATACTTACATGACCATATTTTGCTTCTGGTAATTCTCCGGTACATGGGTAATATTTCCATTTTAAAGTTTTTAAATCACAGACATTGAGTTCATTACTACTGGCATCACCAAACGGAATCCCTGTACCACCAAATAATAATATATTGCTTCTGTCTTTTACAACTGCAGAAAGAATGATAAAATATTATACGTTTATATAAATTAATCATTTTTTTTTTACAAAAATAGGCTCTCACACTCTTGCCAGAATAAAAACCATATATAATAAGTAATTTTATCAAAAACAATTTTGGTGCAAACGCCAGCCCTAAGTCCAGCAGATCTTTTTATCTTCACTAACAAAGAGATCTCGGGTTTGCACCTGGTGTTGGACGAGAAACGACTTTTAGCTGTGGTTCCCGCTTGTCAGTGTTCAGATGGGATGCACATAAAAGAACCCTTGAGGGTTGGAATTCGGTATAAAAGTATGCGGTAGTGTCGCTCTCTGGGCAAAATTTCTCTCATAACACACTATATAGTTTACGCCGCCTGCAATGGCCCAGTCAGAGCAGAAAAGTATTACGTTACACCCCATTTCATTTATACTCAGGTATGTTTAATTATATAATAACAGTCTACTGTCTATAAATTGTAGTGTTTTCAACTTTTGAAATATATATATATATATATCCCTAGCCAACATTTATTTACAAAAGACAATTTCCATGCCACACCACATATTCCTGAAGCAATGGCCCGAGAAATCCCTCTCTTGCCATTACTGGATTGGCTTCTGAGTGTGTCTATTCTTCCCGTTCAATCCAATCTATCCCAAGGACAGCAACATGACAGCCCTTCGTTTAATCTGGGTCGTCCCTAAAGCTTTGGACAGTGATTTAAGGTATTAAAAACAAACAGTATTGTTTACAGTGTATTCGTTTTGATAGTCTCGTTCGTCACGCAATTAGTTTTTCTGCAATATTCTGCTATGCACTGGTTAATTAGGCATAATAAAATCGTGAGTCATGACGTAATGTTATGTAAACAGATTTGGTCCAATTTTGAGCTCTGTTTAAAGCAAAATGATATCGTTACGCAGTAAGCTATCGGTTGTTAATCAGACTATTGACCCGTCATAATTTGGAACAGAAATTTGCTTCCTTTACCGCAGTGTTAAGCGGGGATTATGTATAATCAAATGAAACTCTTCGAGGAGTATGTGCCACACATGGCCCTTTCAACTTCAATTGTCAAGAGGTTCTTTTATGTGCCTTCTATTCTGTGCGCACAAACCAATAGTATTATTTGTTTTTTTCTCCTATGGGAATGGCTCATCACACCCTTATCAGCCCTTGGGTGTTACCCCTGATAAAATAAAATTTTAAACTCGCTTACCGGTTCTAACTTTTAAATGTGTAATTGGCACCGCTCCTAAATATCTTTGTAAACTTGTTCAATCTTAGTACATTTCATCGAAAAATCTACGATTGAAATCTTTCAATCAACTGACCATACCAAGTTACAGGATGACAACTTTTGGTCATTGTTTGAAGTAGCTACTGCTAGAAGGTGCAGAGAGAGAAATGGGATTTAACAACCACTTGACACGAACTAGGTCATTTTGGGACTAACATATGGTTTAATTTTATTTCAATAATTCGCTTGCGCGTAGGGTTCTAGTGGGAGGAAACAGGAGGACCTGGAGAAAACCCACGAGGTTGGACAGGCGACCCTAAACCTTGTCACGTACAACCCCCCAGTTGACTCAATGACAGGCTTTATGATACAGCGTGCACATGCTATGCATTCGGCCATCCAACCCCCCCGCTAGAAGGTGCAACTCATTACCTATTAATCCGCGCCAATGCATTATTGTCATTTAAGAAACTTTTAAAAAACTCATCTGTTTCAAACAAGTTATAACTGAGAGCTAAAGACTTTAAGTAGGTATGTTTGGTCAAGCGCTACAAGCACAATATTTGTGGAGTTTTGGTGCTATAGAAATGGACATTTATTATTATGAAAAATAGGAACAGGGCTAGAAAAATCATGAATCTTCTGGTCAACAGTCCAGCATATTAGCAAGCTCAACTATGTAATCTATTTCAAATTGTGGTGGAGCCAGTGAGTATGATGTTTCAGGTCCGATCTTAGTATTGGCCAAGAAAGTGAGTGGTGCAGCAGAGATGACGTGACAAAGAACACCTAGTTGTTTGGATCAGATGGCAAAATTACTGGTATACACTACAGTACAACTCTACTTACTAGTGTGAGAAGCCAATTCAAAAGGCATGCGTCCCTGAGTTTTCAGTCTTTTCCATTTTCTTGTTGCAAAATTAAATTTCCAGAGCTAAAAAATAACAAGAAATTACGATCTGGGAAACACTCAAATTAGACAGAACTTTTCTTGAAATTGAAAAAAAAAAAGGTTACCAGGCTATGATACAATCACAGCTACTGAGAGCATCGAGAGTCCAAAAAGTTTTTTTTAAAGTAATGAAGGTGAATAACTCTGAAAGTAATTGAAGAGCCCCGGGGAAGGACGATCTAAGTCACTTTTTCAACGAAAAGACAAAAATGTCACTTAAATCGTTCTTCCCCTGGACTCTTCAATTAATAGATATATTCAACAGATGTCATGGTCTCACAAATATAAACAATGACTACAAATTTAAACAAGATACAGAAAATAATAACTTTGGCATCCACTTGTAACTACATGCATGGACATGAATGGGATGATGATACACCACATTTCATTGTGGGTGTACAAAAATTAACCATAAAAATTAACAGGTATCCTATAGGTTCATATCTTCTACACACACATAATATATATATATAGTTACTCTCTCTCTCTCTCGGTCATTTTGACACTAACATGATCCCATGGTTTATTTCAATAATTCGCTTGCATGTAGGGATCTTTAGGTGTGGGAGAAATGAAATGGGATTTAAAGTTCTACTGTTCTGCAGCGACTGGGCTAATGAAGACGGGCATATGCCATACCATGTGCTATGGTTGAAATTTTGCGCAGAGAGCGGTGCTACAGCATACTCTTATATCGAATTCCAACTGCCAGGAGATCTTTTATGTACAAGGGACCTCGTTTTTTTCCTAGCCGAATGACTATGACCTATTCTTATATCGAATTTCACCTGCCAAGGGATCTTTTACGTGCATGCCAATGTATACACGGGACCTCGGTTTTCCGTCCCATCCAAATGACTAGACAGCTGTCCTTGTCAGGCCCTCCATCCTGCACCACTGACAAGGGAAAACCACGCCTGAACATACTGATGAACTTTCTCAGCCATGACCCGGATTGAACCCGCGACCTCCGGGCTAGCGAGCTAGCGTCTTATTCATTTAGCCATTGTGGCTCCCTAGGTGTGGGAGCAAATCGAAAGATCCAGAGAATAGTGCTGGGTATTGCTACTGCAATCCCGATATGATACATATTGTAATTCAGGTGCTATGATACAATTTGTACCACGATTCATAACCAGGTCAATATTTACCAAGAAAACAACAGGATAAATATGAATAATTGATATTTCTAGTCCTGCCGATGTTGAAGAAATAAGGATCAAATGAGTAACGTGGATAATTAAGAGTGACAGTTTACTTACTGAAGAGACAATAAAAGAATCATGATACATCGATTTATCTCATGATTCAATACGTGAATCGGTAGAAGGTGAATCGTGATATATCGTACCAGCACTACTGGAGAAAACCCACAAGGCTTGACATGCAGCCCTACTCCTTGACTTAATGACAGACTTTATGATCCAAACCATTCGACTACCCAACCACCTCAAAACAACATGGATACCATATTCTTAAACAAACACCCTGTATTATATAATCTCCATTACCTCATGAAATAAAGGATAATTGGAATCTTCATCATTTTGTATTTCCCAGAATTCAGGATTATAACCGCCTAATGCATATAGATTAGCCTCATCTACAACCAAACGATGTCCACTACGTTCCTCAGGTATTTCATGGGTTTTAATATCTATAATAAATAATATCAAATATTTGGTAACTTACTATACTGAATCACATGAGTTGATAATGCAACTAATTGAGTTAAATTTGCAATTCAGGATGTGTGGATCTTTGAACAGTTTACTTAAAATATACAAAAATATGATCTTTATTTATCAATGTGTTTATATAGCATAATATAATTTTATCATTGTATTTATTTCAATATATCTAAACCTAGCTACGAGAACGTAACTAAAAACGCTGAGATATACTGATGTGCTTGTTTTTAGCTATGATTGGATGCCTTTAGTTCCAAGTGGAAAACTCAATTTCTTTATTAATGTATGTACCATCGTAAAAATAAGTTAATTTTATACTATTAGTACTTATTACACATACGCAGTCCAATCTACTGAAACAACATTCATTTATCAGCAAATATTGACAATAAAGTAAATCAAGCGTTGTTTTTATCAAAATTGATGCGGACGTTCATAATTACGCTGTATTACTACTGCACAACTCTGATCGATGGGTACTTTGATTGGCTATTGCACACGAGGCCCCGCCTTTATGTGTTAAAGACGTAAATTTAAAATGTCGGAAAAAGCAATCTACTGTCACTTTGATTTAAAAAGAGGGGATTTGTACCCATTTCAGGTATGCTTAATTGTAGTTGGGTGTGGCAGAAATATTATAAATAACAATAACCAATCGTTGTTTTGATTAAAAATATTGTCAATTTTGTTTACAAATGCCGGGTGCGAATCGCTCCCGCATGTGCTACATTGAAGGTAATAGCATCATCTCTTATCTCGAAACACGGAGGGTTGAGAGTAAGGTTTGTTATCTAATCTAAACCATACATGTGCTAATTGGTGCAATTGCACTCCTGATCCTTTCCAACTTCATTTTGTAGAGACTTGACATTTGTGGGGGATGATGTCAGGGGTACACAACAAATTTTAACTGATTCGGTCAATAAATTTTTATTTTACAGACATTTTACTCTTGATATATCATAACGATTTGCTTATTTACTATTTTGATTTGAATATCAAGATACTAAGATGGCTTCCTAGAAGTTCCTACACGCTGAAATGCCTCACTGATACTCCAGTTAATAATAATGTATTGTCAGTGCTCTGTCTAGCTGCAATATTTGTAGCTGGGATAATTGTTTTATTCATTGCTGAAATTGATAACACCACAAGCTTTTGTGCAAGTTAAAATAGCTTAAAGTAGCTAAGTCTCTAACTCAATATCATCCAAAATCTTCGACATTGAAAACACGATTTATTTGTCGGTTTAAATCAACATTGATGTTCTGATCTTACCGGGAAAAGATGGCCTTTTCATATCCAATATTTAAGACAGAAAAAACATTTTACAATTGGTACACAAATCGTGTACCATAATGCGTTTCAGCGCTATTTGTAATAATGGACTCGAAAAACGAGGCTAGGCAAATTCCACAAGTCATGTCAAATAATATCGGCGTAGACTGGAATAACCAGATGCTATTCGATTGAGAATACTAGCGTATTTCGCCGAACCTAACTGATTAAAAATTACAGTAAAAACAGAAACGGTTGAATGTAAATCAATTTATATACATTCATATTACATTATTGTATGCGTTGCGACCCATTTGTGTCAATTTCTAGATCCAAAATATTAGCGACTTAGCTCCTTTAAATTGCAAAATTTTCAACACATATCACAGTTTGCATAATCTGGTTAAAACACAGATCCTATTTCGTTTCGTTTTTATAGTTCTTTTGACCCCTGACGTGACCTATCGCTATAACTTGTCAGATCTTCATGTAGTGTAGGCCATCGAAAGTATAAAAAACCAAAATGAAATATAGATCTGTATTTTAATCAGATTGAAGTTTGTATGGAAATAAGTAATCATGTTATAACTAGTGAAGAGTGGAACACTGAAATCTTTATCTTATCTTACCGAACAGTTTTTGTAATTTAATTCTGCTTCCGCTGCCATTTTAAATTGGACAAATGAAAAGAAATGAAATGGGGTTTAACATCCTACTGTTCTGCTCCGACTAGGCTAATAAAGACCAGCATACGCCACACAGTGTGCTATGAGGGAAATTTTGCCTGGGCAGCGGCACTATGACCTACTTTTATATCGACTTCCACCTGCCAAGGGATCTTTACATGCACACCAATGTATAGACAGGACCTTGGTTTTTAGCTCCATCCAAATGACTAGACAGCTGTCCTTGTCCTGCACCACCAACAAAGGGAAACCACACCGGAAAATCCCAATGAACTTTCTTGGCCAGTGCAGGGATCAAACACGCGTCCTCCAGGCTAGCGAGTCAGTGTCTTTCCCACTTAATCACCGTGGCTCCCTTTAAATGGGACAGAAATAGCCGCTGAATTTGATTGAATTTATAGGTTTATGGGGTAAGTTTCACATTGAATTCAGTGGGAATTGGTTGTTAAGATATGTGCAGTACAGTTTGGGAACAGTTTAATTCGAAATTAAGGAAGTTATAGGCCAGTAACTTTTTGGTCATCAAATGATGACAAAACATGCTCAAAGGAAGTCCTTAGATTGATCCACTATTGTGGTTGGAGCAAGACGGAAGACATCTGTAATGGAATCAATTCTAAACATTCATGGCCAGATAGTGCTATAATTCAATGGTCCTTGGGTTAGACATAATGGGTGTCCAACAGTCAGAGAAGAATGATCAACCATGGCTCACACAAGCTTTCAATTTTTTCGGCCAAAATGGATAATTTAAAAAATATTTTCTGCCAACTGGAATATTTTATCTGCCAAAAATTGGTGATAAAAAAGACAACATGTAACAATTTTATTTCTGAGGTAGAACTGTTAAAAACAATAACCGGCATATACAATGTCCAACAACTACAAAATCTGTCTTTACATTATACATGAGCCCAGTTTTGAGATGATTAACTAAGATCAGATTTTATTTTTGGTGACTTTAGTCTTTAAGCACACCGTATTGCACAATATATTTTCAATATTTACACGTAAAATCTCATCCAAGGATTGCCAACTGCCACTAGGCCTATTGTTATTTTCAGGTATCGGAATCCTTGATCCTTACCATCAGACTCATTGTTCACTTTAGAGCATTTTGGTAGTCGTAATGAAACAAATAGCACAGCGTTTTCTCACTCAAGAATCATCATTATTCGACTCCTTCTTACATTTCTGACCAATGGTGATAATATAATTTTAAAACAAATAATACAAAGCATGCTCGTATATTTGTCATGTCGTATGAGACCACAGTAAACGGAATTCAACCATTAAAATATTTAATTCTTTTCGAAAAGAATTGTCAGCCATTTTGAAACATCAAGTTATTAATTATTAGGAGCAAATAATGACATGAGATAGGCTTTAAATATATATATATATATATATATATCATTGGCAATTATCAATCGACTAATCATTAATCCGAGACAATTGGGTAGTATTTAACATTGACACAATCCGAATTATCAGCGAGTTGATTAATTTATAGTATACAGCCACCTGATTGGGATTGACACTCAATGTTATGGTCAATCTACGATATATATATAGATTAGACTTTTAAGATTTTTTGCCGCCAGTTCTCAAAACGAATTGCTAGTACTCCAAAACGTTATTGCCAAAATTATCGCCAAAATCTAACTTTAAACACCACTTTCATATTTTTATCGCAAATTGCCACTGACAGCGTTAGGCCTGCAGCCGACACTCATAAAATCAAAGCCATATTCTTATGTAAAGGCCTATCCAATACTAAAAGATCTAGATAGGAATGTTTGGCGTCAAAATAATGGAATGACTAAATTCCTGACCACTAATTAAAGTGTCTAGCATACACAAGGATTAGGGAACGAACGTCTACTGGACTGTCGAAAATTAAATTAATGACTGTCATATTTTCTGTCCGCCACACCATAGTAGGTAGTTCCGTTAGGAACTGTTTCTGAGTGGACGATTGCCACTGACAGTTCCTATCCGTCGCTATACAGCTACAATATGAAAATACTGCTCTTCCAAACCTGTTCTAAGGCTATTTTGGAATCCTCACCAACCATTTTTCACCAGGATTCTTCTTTATTCACTAGAGGAATCATTTCTTGCCATAGCTAACACACATTTATAATAATTCAACACTATTTTCAAGTAGAATTCTGCAATTAAAAACATACACCAAATACGTTTGAATTGATCACTCATTACGAGACCGCATGTTTATTTAATCACTAAATTCTACTTGAAATGGTGTTGAATTATTATAATTTGTGTCAAATATAGTGAGAAATGATTCCTTTTGGCAGAAAATAAAGAATCAAGGTGAAAAATAGAAGGTACCCCTACGGGTTCCAAAACAGCCTGAGAACAGAAGTGGGGAAGAGCGGTACCGGTACTGTTGTTTTACCGTATTTTCATATTGTAGCTATATAGGGGCGGATAGGAACTGTCAGTGCACATTGTCCGCTCAGTCACAGTTCCTAAAGGAACTACGGTAGGTAGACCTACATTATTAGTACATATCGTACATGCCTACATAATACATGACATTGACATGTAGGCTATTACTATTACTAATACTAGTAACTAGAAGACCACCGAACGAACGGACTATCTCTCTGGTGAGTCATTTCCAACAGCACCATGCAGTCCTTTTTACTTATAATGCAAATTAAATGCCAATGTCTAGCATACGACCAATGAAAATGACATACTTTTTGGAAGGACCTCTCCAAATTTGCAAATGTTTTTCATGGAGGCCGCCATCTTTATTTTTCTCATAATTTTTCTCTAGAACGCTTTCATTGGCTGTTTAATTATAGGGATCCAATCCAAAACCAATTTACTTCAAGTCATTATTTCCGGTAAATAGTGTCATGGCGTCTAACACAATAACTCCAGATAAAGTAAAGACGTTTTTGTCAACTTTTCTGAGTTCAAATACCAAAGAAAGCAAAACAGAAAAGTTAGACATTTTCTCAAATGATTCACATTGATTGTTTAATTATTTTGATTTTCCGCGTGCAGCCCGAGCCCATATACCTGATTATTGATTATTGCCATTCATTAGTGAGAATATATGACATATTGAAATGATGATATTGATAGTGATAAAGTTGTAATCAGTAAATTGCACAGCCTTTGACTTAACTTTTTGTTTTTCTTTAATAGAATATCGATATGTAATGTATTTCAGGCAAATCCTAAGTAATATTACATCCAATTATTCCAACCTCATTTTTTTTGCCCATCCGAATGACTAGACGCTGTTCCTTGATGAGGGACAACCAGGCCCAAAAGTCCCAAGTAACCTTTTCGAACGATCCCAGCATTGAACCAAGGGTCTCCTGGTTAAGAGAGACAGCACCCTACCCACTGAGCCACCATGGCTCACTAAGGCCCATATAAGTAGGATGGTTGTTATATTGGGATGTGGAAGTGCATAGAAGAAATACAGATTTGATTCATCTAATTAATGATTGTATCTGATATAATTTGTGTATTTTTAATATCTTAGGAATGTTGAAGTGAAATCTGATGATGAAAAGAAGGAAGCAGTTTTATCTCCAATTGAATCTGCTGCAAAGTTTGACTATTTCAAACGAGTGGAAACATATTCAGTATCCTTATCAAAAACAAAAAATAAATGATCTAAATTGTAATTATTCAGTTCTGATATTATAAGTATAGAACTTCCTAAACCTATTTCAGTTTCTTGCATGAAGCCTTGCGAAATATCAAAGAGGAATTATAAGAATTTTTTTTTATATTTAAATTAAATTTTAACTTGTGACGCAAAGAAATAGTAAAAGTGCCGAAATATCAATTTTGAGAACGGATGTATAATTATATTATCTTAACTTGATCTCACAGCCTATGACATGGTTTGGTAAGCCAAAGGAATTATCTCCACTGATCTGTGCACGTTATGGCTGGGAGAACTCAGTGAATGATATGTTACAATGTGTTAGTTGTAGAGCGGTATTAAGTGGTCAACTACCATCAACAACTGAGTTTGATTTATGTATGTTCATTCTTTATTTTAAAACCGTATTTATTTTTTTAAAATCTACCAAGTCTAATAATTTGTGGTCTAATTTACCAGAGCTACAATAACATAGTTTTAGTTAAATTTCTTTCAAATTAGGTTTGTAGTTTTAAAGAAAGCTTAAAGGCACAATGCATCGTTTAGCGCTATAGGAATCCCATGCAACCTAGGAATATCAGTTCTATGCTGCTCAAGCGTAACAAGACCCTGCCTTCTTTTATTGTTGGGGGGTTGGGTTTGTAGTAATCGAGCTAAGTACATATTTAGAGTGTATTAAACCCGTGAGAAATTTGATATTTTAACAAAATGCAAATGAGCACCCAGCCTTTAAATGAAAACATGCTACTGATGATAAAGAAGGCCATGGTAATTTGTATTTTATTTTGTATGTTGGAAATTTCTAGATAAAGAAAGCTGTGATAAACTATTAGAAAAGCTGATATCAGGTCATGAAAAGTTATGTTGGGTGGCTGCTAATCCAACTTCAGGTACAGTATATATGATAATGTTTACAATGAGAAAATTCCATGGCTCAGCATTTTGAGCTGATCCTTCAGAAAAGCTATTTTGAGTTGGTATTTAATTTGCATGCTTTAACTCACCTTTATAAAATACATAACTACTGTACTTATTTAAGGGAGTTTGATCGCTTATAAATTGAACATGTCAATGCTGAATTTAATACGTAAATCCTCTGCATTTTTAAAACTAATAAGCTGTGTACTTTTCATAGTTTCTGTTTTATTTTGTTGGGTATTTTTCAGAGCGATTTATGATTTTACCTCTATATGATGTAGTTCAGTTGAAAAATGAATTCCATGAAAGATTATGTCAACTGGCCAAGATTAAAACTACTCTACCAAAGCTAAACTTTGAAAATCTAGAAAAATGGGTGAGTTGTTATTATTATTAAAGGATTTTGTACCCTTTTCTAGAAAGAGATCATTTTCTTAGTTTTCAATACACATATATTTTTAACATCTCACTGAACTTTCTTTTAAATTGTACATTCAATTCTAATTGATTTCTTTACAGGGATTTGATGAAGAGAAATGTACACAGTTAGCAACATCGCAACATATACGAGAAGATGCTGCTATATCAGCTACCCTAGCAATAACAGGATGGACACTTGGGTAAGTATATTGAGATACTAGTAATCATACAATGGATATTGTAAATTAGGCTATTAGCTATGCTGTATATAACAGAATGGGCATTTGGGTTAGTCGCATTAGCAATAATGGATTGGATACTTTGAAAAGTATATCAGCAATGATCAGGAATATCAGCTATACATATAGTCTCCACCAGTAGTTTTAACACATACATTTTAAATCCATCATAATAAAAACTGCATCGAAAGAAAAGAGGATCTGTTAGGAAAATGTAAAAATAAATTGTGAAATAGACATTAGAGTAGCAAGGGATAAATTTTTCAATGGATACTGGATTACAATTCTGTATGTTAAAGACTTGATGTGTTACTTAGCACAATTAGAATCCCTTGTAAACTACATTATTGTGAAAGTTTAATCTCTAATAGAAATATCAGTCCTAAAATGGTTCTATTCCATTCAATATTTACAAAGTTTTGACAAGTTGAATTTTCATCCATCTATGCTGCTTGAGCATAACAAGACACTGCCATCTTTTATTGGTAGGGGTTAAACCGAAGAGAGAGAAAGAGAGAGAGACAGACAGAGACAGGCAGACAGTCAGGCAGACTCAACACAAACTAGGTCATTTCGGGACTAACAATGGTTCAATTTTATTTTAATAATTTGCTTGCGCGTAGAGGTCTATAGCAGTGGGAGGCTATGAGGTTGGACAGGCGACCCTATTTGTTGTGACGTACAACAGGGGGAATCGAAGCCACGCCAGTTGACTCAATGACAGACTTCATGATACAGCGTGCACATGCTAACCATTCGACCATCCAACCCCACTGAATCGGAAAATTATCTAGCTTTTTTATTTTGACTTTTTTCTTAATTAAATGTTAAATAATCAATTGGAGTACATATTTAGCTTGTATTAAGCTATGAGAAATTTGATATTTTAGCGAAAAATGCAAATGATGCCTCCAATTTTTAAAGAATGTTTGTATATTTATATATGTTAGTTTTATTATTGTATTTAAGTGATAATATAGATATTGTTACTGTAAAACTTTGTTTATTTATATATGTTTTAGTTTAATATGGTATATCAGTGATAGTATAGATATCATTCTATGTAATTCCTGTAAAAGTTTGTATATTTATATGTTAGTTTTATGATGTTGTTACTGTAAAACTTGGTATATTTATATGTATGTGTTAATTGTATTATGGTATTTCAGTGACAGTATAGATATTATTCGATGTAATTACTGTAAAAGAAGAATAGGTTTGTGGAATTATGAAACCAAGGATACAGTATGTGAAAGTACAACAGATGATGAACCTTCTTCTAAAAGAATAAAACTGGTGTGTAAAACTTTTCCTGATTATATAATCAATTACAGTAAGATCTGAATAATGAATATCATATAAAAATCTGGGGAATTTGAAAGGCAATTCAAACTGCAGATTAAATCTTTCAAAATTCCCTGCATAATTATTTTGATTTTAAATATTAACTTTTTGAACCTGACTGGCCAGTTTTCCGGCCAAGATAATAACCGTCTTTTTCCGTGTATTAGGAATACCACTCTGAACATGTGTTGTGTGTGACAAGGGCTTTCCCCGCTTGCCTTGAGGATACACTGGTATGACTCATTTGGAATTCCATTACGTCTAGTCCAATCAGAACATTTTACAATGTGTTGCCTGCAGTGAGGGCTTCAAGTTCAAGGCAAAACACAAATCAAATTAGATGATTTTTGGTGATTTTAAACGATTTTTACGAATTTTTAAACAAAGATCTGATATTAAACAAACGTGAAAGAAATTAATGCTAGATACACAAGATTAAATGATACCTGGGTTACAGTGAATATTCTTAGAAATATTGTTTTACGGTCACGAATGGCAAACAGACGTTTAACAGTAGACCAGGCAGTGGCTAGAATACTTGAGGGTGATGACGAGGATGTGAATAATGTTGATTACAACAACAATAGTGACTTTCTTAGTGAAAGTATCAAAGATAATGAAAATAATTTTGAATTTGGGACTTTTTCTGGGTTTTTTTGTGAACTATGGAACTATGATGACAAATGTTGCCTTGAAAAATCATATTATATGTATATTTAAGAACGTTTTTGCCAGGTAGCACTTGATCCATACTGGCAGAATATCCCCTCTGTTGGCACTTTGGGCGATTTACAATTTTTTAATTTTGCCGTCAAATTTTGCCCCATGGGCCAGAGGGAGGGTCATTTAAGGTGTATATGCCGGGGTTCAAAGGATTAAAGAAAGATTTATATATGAATTGAATGTTTCCAAAAGTTTACTATTTAAAGTAAAAAAAGGTGCATAAATATATCCAGAATTCTAGATTGTTCACATATATTTTAAAAATCGAAATTGTTCTATTTTAATATTAAGACTAAGAATAAAAAAAAACCATCATGAAGAATGATTTGAAATCAATGTAAACTTAGGAAGAATAATTTCTAACAGTGTAAGTTGCATTACAAACAAGCTGAAAAAACCCTCTTGAATATCATCTCTCAATAACTATAATAAAATGCTGTTTGTTTACCAACCTGTATGAGAAATTGTGTTTTCAAATGCTGTGATTGAGAAGTGTGGCAGTTTGTAGGATACATTAAGCTGAAGATGTCTTTACTATATGTTTTTACACCAAGCAAAGATGGACATAATATGTTTTATGAATTAATAACCTTAGTGACTCAGGTGCTGGCACACTAATCTATTGGTCTGGGGTTCAATCCCTTCGTTGCCCAAGAAAGTTCCCTCGGATTTTCCATCATGGGTTAGCCTTGTCAGTAGTGCAGAACAGAGGGCTTGGCAAGGAACAGTGTCTAGTTGTTTGGATGAGACAGAAAACCGAGTTCCCATGTACACATTGGCATGCATTTAAAAGAACCGTTGACAGTTGGAATTCAATAAAAAGTAAGTGGAAATGCAGCTGTACTGGCATAATGCCCTTGATGACACATTATATGGCATATGCCAATCTTCATTGAAGTATTGAAGGCAGAAAGGTAGGGTGCTAAACCCTATTTCATTTCATTATCAACAAGAGACAACTAATATGTTCTTTGATGTTTTCTTTAGGAGAGAAAAACAACCTTAGATCCAATCATGGAACACAGATATTGGTGTCCCTGGGTTACCATGGAAACAACACCTAGCAAAGATTCTCTGGGACATGATTGTCAATCATTTGATGATTCCATCAATTCCACTGAAAATGAGGATGTGTCCTTTACCTTTAAAAGAAATGAGAAATGTCCAGGTTGGGTTAATACATTGAAGATATTAGTACCTGTTATAGCTGAGACAGTCGGATCAACTGGATTATCAGATGTAAGTTATAAATAATATTAATATTCTAAATAATCGTAAGTATTCTACACTGGGAACTTGCTTTACGGCAGTTTTACTAAATAGCCCATATTATTCAAGCATTGAAAGCAGTGAATTAGATTGTTTAAGGTTTGATTGAATCTCTTCCAATGCCTGGTTCTCATTCGTCAGGGGTGGCATCTATGATCACACTGTTGGATGTTCAATCCTTACAGTCATGTTGGTCGCATTCAAATCTAGGATCCGGTAGGTAACATTAATGCAGACTATAGACATAGGCGTACGGGGAAATTTTTTACTGTGGGGGCGGTGGTGGTTGGTGCCTCAAAAATGTAGTTAGGTTCTTAGTATGTTACATAAAAATCATAATATCTCTTTTGCGATGAATAAGTTCTAAATTTCTAAATCATCAATAAAAGAGAACTAAATTTAATTTACTTGTAATATACACAACTAAAAACAGTTGTTTATGTAACTGTAATTTGTGGCTTACTGTATTCCAAACAATAGAGGGTTCGAGTCTTAAGATTTATATTTAATTGCCTAACTATAGACACTCTGAATTTAAATTCGCTGTTAAATTGGACGCATTCAAGAACACAATATTTTTTTATACAACTTTTACAAAGTACAATTGTGTGCCCAAATTTTCCCAGCATTTGGTGCCCAAAATGGCGCCCCCCCCCCCCCAGCATCCCCAGCTCGTACGCCAATGACTGTAGATCATGTTGCAGAAATATGATATTGCAAAGAAAAATTAAGTTAATGAAATCCAATTAGCCACCAGTCAAAAAATGTTAAAAATAATTCACTGGATTGCATTTATTTTTACAGAGTCCAATGATAGACGGAATACGTTCAGTGAGAAAAATATTACGTGTATGGTCGTCACCTGAGAAACCAGCTGATCCTGATTCATCCACAGAATCTGATAAAAAGTAATCTTAGACCTCGGAAATATGCATCCATCTAAAAGTGAAAAACAGATTTCCTGTATTTTGTATTATCATCCTTCACCGAACAAAGTTATTCAAATGGGCTACATGTACGTCCTTCCTTCCTGGTTTTGTTTGCGAGCATAAACTCATAAACTGTTCAAGATATAGGAATATGATAAGTTTGATTCTAATTGCGTATAGTTTTATTACATCAATACCATGACTAAGTTCGATAGTTAGCATTTTCTGTCCAGTTTAAACAGTATGATGAGCAATTTGAATGTTTGATGTTTTATGAAAAGATGAATCTTTCCATTTTAACCAGGTAGCACAATTGGGATGTCTGATATTGTTTCCTATACATCTTTCAATATGTACAGTAATAGTATTTGCTTGTTGATTAACAATAACAAAGACATTGACTATCTATGTACCCGTGTCTTTTTTGTTTGTGTTTTAACCATGAAAAAAATATGTTTAAAATATTGATGAACTTAATTGTTTGTTCTTTTTTAAATTCTCTCTTGTTGTCACATCTTTCGTAATAAATCAAAGGGCTGCACATGGTTAGGCACATTTTGTTACGACATATCAGTAGCTAAATTTACCACAATGTCACAGACCCAAGTCTTATTTACATTTAGAAGGGAGCAGTTTCTTCATTTACACAAAAATACTATGTGTACATAAGGGTAAAACCAATATCAAAAATCAGGAGATATCTTACCAAAAATTCATGTGCTAAAGGTGTATTAGCATTGGTCATATCTCAGTTGGACTATGAAAATGGACTCCTGGCTGGCATTCCAGATTTCTCCCTCAACCATCTTCAAGTTGTACAAAATAACTGTGCTTGACTAGTTGCCATGTAACAGAAACTCTTAAAAGTCTTCATTTTTTATACGCCCACATTGAAATGTGGACGTATATTGCCGTCGCCCCCGTCTGTCTGTCCGGCCGTCCATCGTCCACAATTTTCTGTGAACACTCTAATGCCAAAAGTTATCATCCAATTGTTTTAAAATTGATATATGTTGTTTACATTAGTGAGATGAAGAAGCCTATTTAATTTCAATAATTTCCGTTTAATACGTCTAGAGTTATGGCCCTTGTTTCACTTTGTTGAACCTTGTGAACGCTCTAATGCCAAAAGTTAACTTACGATCTTTGTGAAATTTATATGCAATATTTAAGTTAGTGAAACGAAGAAGTCTATTGAATTTCAACAATTTCTGTTTATTACGTCTAGAGTTATGGCCCTTGTTTCACTTTGTTTAACCTTGTGAACGCTCTAACCCCAAAAGTTATCATCCAATCTTTCTGAAATTTACCTGTATTGTTTACATTAGTGAGATGAAGAAGCCTATTTAATTTCAATAATTTCCGTTTATTACGTCTAGAGTTATGGCCCTTGTTTCACTTTGTTGAACCTTGTGAACGCTCTAATGCCAAAAGTTAACATACGATCTTTGTGAAATTTATATGCAATATTTAAGTTAGTGAAACGAAAAAGCCTTTTGAATTTCAGCAATTTCCGTTTATTATGCCTAGAGTTATGGCCCTTGTTTCACTTTATTGAACCTTGTGAACACTCCAACGCCAAAAGTTATCATTCGATCTTTGTGAAATGTATATGCATTATTTAGATTAGTGAAACGGAGAAGCCTATTGAATTTCAGCAATTTCCGTTTATTACGTCTAGAGTTATGGCCCTTGTTTCACTTTATTGATCCTTGTGAACGCTCTAACGCAAAAAGTTATCACCCGATCTTTGTGAAATTTATATGCATGATTTAAATTAGTGCAACGAAAAAGCCTATTGAATTTCAGCAATTTACAATAATTACTTCTAGAGTTATTGCCCTTGTTTCACTTTGTTAAACCTTGTTAATGCTTGATTGATGATAGTTATCATCCGATATGTATGAAATTTATATGCATCATTTAAATTTGTGAAACGGGTCTATTGAATTTCAGCAATTTCCGTCAATAATTTCTAGAGTTATGGCGATTGTGAACGTTTGAATAACAAAAGTGATGATGTGATCTGTATGAAATTTATATGCATTATTCAAATTGGTAAAACGAAAAAGCCTGTCAAATTTCAACAATTTCTGTAGATTACTTCCAGAGTTGAGACCCTTGTTTCAGTTTGTAGAACCTTGTAAACCCTCAAACGCAAAAATTTATAATCTGATCTGTATGGAACTGTCTTGTAAAGGACCCCAATTACCTACAAAAGAATAAATATGCGACAACCTTGACGACCGCTCAGATGGTTTAGCTGCTGTGGGCGTATGTTTTGTTGCCTGGCAACCTATCTTTTTTTTTTGTAAACAATATTTTATTTCAAATTTATGAAAAGGGATCAGGGAACAGGCATAGCCTATATCACCCCTCTCCTCGTACAAAGTATATAAAACATATAATAAACAGATCTGTTATGTACATACTATTAAATAATGGTGAAAAACATATAAATTAGATAAGTTATATACACACTATTTATATATAACAAGTGAAAAAAAGAGAAAGTGCTATTTTAAAACTTGAATTAAAATTGTTCTGAGTAAATCAGATATTGAATCGTCTAGTGACATCGAAGTATTCATGAACTAATTTAAAGATGTTATTTGATGTAGCCTGATTTTCTATGCCAAAAAGAAGTGGTTTAATGGTTTGCTGTTGAGATGGTAAAAGATTTATAGTGTTTTTCCGTGCATCTGAATACAGTGGGCACCAGCAGAGAAAATGTTCAGAATCTTCAAAGCGATGACCGCAGCTGCATGATGGATCCTCGGAGATATGTCGTAAAAATCTATGCCCATTTAGGTCGCTACAAGAAAGCCGCAATCTACTATGTATAATCTGGTTCTTTCTTTTGCCCTGTAGAAATGAAGTCTTCATTGGCTGCCTGTGAAAGCTTGTATTGACTTTAAAGTGCTATCAAATGTGTATAAAGCTTTGTTCCCTCCTACATGAAACAGTTATTCACATTCTACAAACAGGAAAGACCAAATCTTCGTTCTTCTACATATACTACTTTTTTTTAATCTGTGCCTGCTTATTAGAGACTCTGAGGAAAACTATCTTTCCCTGTTAATGGTGCCCACATGTGGAATAAGCTACCAAGAACAATCTGAGAAAGTTCAACTCTTGTTACATTTAACCTTTCAGATCTAGATTACTAGAATGACCAACACAATATCATCAGTAAGAAAGATTCCAAAGCTAGCGCTGTACACAGAACTTGTAACCAGCAAAATGTTGAAAGGAAAGGGGGGGGGGGGCACAAGACCCCTTGTGTCCAATAATGTAATACTTGTAGTTTCTTGTCAAATGATGAATGTTACCACTGTCTTACTTCCATTCTATTTGCAGCATTATACTTGACATTAAGTAGCTGACAATGTATAAAGTTCTCGCTCGACAATTATGAACCAGTTCCTTACAAACTTTAAAGGGATATGGTCGTGGGGTCCCGAAATACCCCTTGTATACGCACTAGGGTAAATAAATAGATCCATGGAGGCCAACCACATCTAGGTTGGCAAAATGTTTTGCACCATGCACAGTTTTGACTCGAAACTTGGACTAAATTCCCACCCCCCAAAAAATAAATAAAAACACTTACAAAAACAATATAACTCTTGTTATATTCACTGAAGTATTTTCCACATAAAAATAATCCTTTCTTTTACTTTCTTTAGTAATCAAATAATTTAAGCAGTACTGAAATGAAATGAAATGAAATGGGGTTTAATGTCCTACAGTTCTGCTCCTAACCTGGGCTAATGAAGATGGGCATACGCCATACAATGTGCTATGAGGGAAATTTTGCCCGGGCAGCGGCGCTATGGCCTACTCGTATGTCGAATTCCAACTGCCAAGGGATCATTTACATGCACACCAATGTGTACACGGGACCTTGGTTTTCCGTCCCATCCAAACAACTAGACAGCTGTCCTTGTCATACCCTCTATCCTGCATCACTGACAAGGGGGAAACCACGCCGGAAAATCTGAATGAACTTTCTCGGCCAATGCAGGGATCGAACACCCGACCTCCAGGCTAGTGAGCCAGCGTCTTACCCACGTGATTCCCCTTAAGCAGTACTACCAAAAGCAATGAAGTGAATATTCAAGAATAGTGAAGTAGCCAGACAATGAATCAGACCCACATCATATTGAAAGGTGCTTTTCAGAGGCAATAACTTTGCATAAAAGCAATTTATGTGCGACTGGTTTTCTGCTAAGATCTAGCTGAACAACTCTGTATTGAAAAATCCTAAAGTTTCTTCTTGCCCAACACATTTGTATTTCTTAACTGTTTGACTACCACTGCTCTTAATTCCCAATACAGTATAAGTAAAACACAGCTATGTCTTTAAAATCATTGTTTATATCTGTTTATAATCAAAAACAAATTTAATATAATAATAATCACATTCCAATTAAAATATTTAATTTTGTGATATATGTTAATCCATAATTAGATAAATCAGATTAATAAATATTCATTTCACAATATATGTACTTCATTTTATCCTCAAATAAAGACTAATATTTTTACTTTAATAACTATCAAGGAACATAGAATAAACTGAGATCGATGTTTTAAAAGATTTGTACGATATATGCTAAGTATTAGAATTTTCTAATACAAATTTATGAAAAAATTCTAAACCCCTTGTACATTTAGTATTGTGACAAGGGGTGACTGTCATAATATTAAGTCAGTGATTGTTAAAAGTAAAAATATTTGTCTTATTTAAGACAAATGTATAGTGAATACCATATATAACTATTATTAAGTGAGTTTTACGTTATTTTTTTTTTAAAAGTTCAATAAGAGAATAACAAAAGTCTATACTAAGCTAAGTCTATCCACATATCAACTCTCTATAAATATATGTACTATATAAGGGACATTTTCTCTAATAAATAGTTTCATCATCTGGGCTTTTTTAATTTATGCAACTTAAGAATAAAATTAGTAACTACCCATCTTAAATATCTTGGAAAGGAAATTGGGTTTGTCTTAAAATAAAACTGTTGTGGAACTGGGTTGCCATGAAAATAAAATATCAGTAATATTTCTATTACATACTTACCATGGGCCCAGATTTAATGTAGTCTACATCACTTCATGTACTTGAGATGAATAAATGTACAGCTATTTGGTTTCAAATTAGAGAGAGTAATACTTATTTAACAAGCATATTTTTGTATCACAATGGAATTGGTAATTCCCCCAATATTAGTGTTATCCCCAAATTACAACTTTATTAAGATTGATCAAAACATGTACTTAATGGATTTAAATAGTATGATACTAACACTTAGCACATATGTGTACTTAAGAAACAAAATTACATATAACTTAAAGTTTTTATCTTTCACAGTAATAGTAGCCAATGGTACTAAAAATAGCACATGATAAAATGAACATCTGCATGCTCAAAAAACAAAATTACATATCATTTAACGTTTTCTGTCACATAAATATTTTTTATTTAAAATTAAGTACAGTTCTAATTTTATCAATCCATCTTTTTTTTTCACCAAAACCAATTTTTAACAATTTAACTGCTCAAATTTAAGAAAAAATTCAAAGAAATATTCCCGTTTACAGAACAAATATTTATCTATATATAGTGCACCCGTAAAGATCAAAAAGAAAGATAAGTTGCCAGGAAATAAAAACACATGCCCACCACAGCTAAGTCATCAGAACAGTCCACAAAGGTAGTCAAATAATTATTCTTATATAGGTAATGGGAGCATTTACAAGACACTAAAATTGATCAAATTTAACAACCCATGAAATAAATAATCTGAAATCAACAGGCTTCTTTGAAACTGTTTAAATTTAAAGTCAATTGAACAATAAGCATCCAATTGATCACGGGTAATAACTCTGACCATAATTATTTGAAAATGTTGAAAATCGATAGGACTCTTCATCTCATGAACTAAAATTTTATTTGTAGACTCTAGAGCATACGCAATAATTAGTGGATTACAGATAGATTGGGATGACAACAACATACAACCATATTTCAATGTGGACATAATAAACAGAATGACCCAAAGTAATCATTGAGAATTTACAGAAATCTAATTTGTGTTGTTAGCATTGTTATAAAATTGTTTAAATTCTTAAAATCTTCAAGATTTTGACTTTAGGCTAATTGTGTTTAATTTACAGAGTGCACCATATGACAATATGTGTATGTAAATAATATACATACATCACAAAAAATATACAAAGTTAAGAAAACCATATGTATGCTCTACAAGTAATAAAAGCAAGAAAAACATCATTAATATTCTTATATACAATAAATGCCTGCGGTATTGTGAACACTATACCTTTTGACAAATCCTTAAAATAATCCTAGCCAAACCAAACTCCTAGTTCGAAGTAATGGTTCGCTGTACTAAATTTATGTAATGATGTACAAATATGAGCGAAAACATGAATTTATTCTCAAATAAATGAAATGTCTACTAGTGCCATATATTTTTTCCCTAATAGTTGTAAATTTCATTAAAACTTGAATATTGATTCTTCTTAATGAGAATAGTCTTTCCGGTTAAAGAGACATGATGATATGGTTCTTGTACGGATATCCAATGCCTATAATTTTAAGAAACAAGTTCATAGTGATCAGGATCAGAATTTAATAATGTGTTATATTAAGGGTTTTACAACCTCAATACAAGCAAAACATTTCTGCATGAATCAATAACTATGCATGTATCTACAATTTCAGATCAGAGAAATCCAAATTGTTTTGAGTCACAATATTTCAAATATTTTTCATAATATTTAGAGTTATTCATACAATCATCAACAAAAACAAAAAATTACAATCCTTAAGTTCAGGTAATATAAAACGCACATCAAAAACAAATTTACGTGAACTTTGGGTCATTCCAAACAATTTCACAAATGAAGAATTCTTAAAATATATAAATATTGGTCTTACTTTTCTTCTTAATGAATCACTAAAATTATGTGTATACTTTTAAATTCATTCCGACGAATTTTATAGCTTAGAAAGTTACATTTTCTTCAATGAATTGAAACATAAACTGCTAATAAACTCAATCAATCCAGACCTGTACCTTTCAAATTGTTTTCATGTCAGATAATTTAACCTCTAACAGAATAAATAAGAAATTAATATATTAGTTGTACTAGAAATAATGAACTTCTCTAAATAATATAACTACTAAATTAATCTAGGAATGTATTTATAGAGGCAATGTCACTTTCAAAATGTGTAATATCCAATTCTATAATACACAGTGTATCTAAACATATATTTCTATTTTTGGTGAAATCAAACTTGTTCAGTAAATAAAAACCTACTACACAGTTGCTTATTCCTTGGATATTCTTCAAGATTTTGTATATCATATTTTTCGATTATATAATATAAATTTTGAATAAATATGTCGGATATCTCACATCAAATCAGAACTGATATTGATATCTACAGGAGATTATAGTTTCAAGTTAGTCTTTAATGCCTCTTTAATTAGGCCATATAAAAAAGAATTTCTGGTTCTTAGATAATCCTGCATCAGTGAAAATGGGCCGCATGACCTGGGGGTTTTTCTTCAAAAAATCAATAAATAAAAACAGTCCGATTATTTTTCTACCCCAGTTACAGGAAGTAACCCTGATAAATGTTACTAACAAACATAAATACTGGTTAATCATACATTCCTATAAACAACATGAGATAAATGTAGTGCCTTGAAATGTGATGTTTATGAGAAGTCATTTAGCCCATTAGTGATCCTTTGACAAAATAAAAACACTAAAATAAAAACCTCCCGTACACATCAGGTTTTTGGTAAGGATTGTCTGAGAACCAGAACTATTTTTTGCACAGCCTTATATAGTTTTAATTTAGTCTTTAATGCCTCTTTAATTATGTCACTGGGTTAGGATCATCAATTTCATGTTTGACGATCAGTCAATATCAATAACACAAAAATGCCTGTTTGTTGTTTACTAGAACTGAATACAATTCATCAAAGTTTTACACATAAATTCCTGTTCATCTCCACATAAAATCCCTAACTGGCCAGATGAATTAGATAAACATTTTGTTTTGTCTTTTTGAAGGTACATGTTTTACAGGTATAAACAGAATTTGTATGTTTTATTATATCATCTGTACACTGTAGACTTCTAGAATAATAAAATAAAAATAAAAAAAATGACTTTCATACATGATACATGACAGGGATTTTCCTAGTAAATTTATGGTATTGAAAAAAAAATGCTGTAACAGATTGAAAATGATATCAAATATTGCAAGTCTCAATGATAATGAAAAGGCAGGACAAACTTATATTTTAATGCAATGACGATTCTGTAAGGAATAGAACAGTTCTCCTCAATTTGTGCCATAACAACTACAACTGCAAATGGAAAGATAGTAAAACCTATCCCCAAGTTGGATGATCAAAAGGAATTGACCTTATTGATTTCGGTTGATTTTATTTAAAATTAATTTGTTTTGTGAGATTAGTAGGCTATTATTGTTCTACTTGACAAATTGAGTATAACTCATGCCTGGTTTATTTCTTTACAGTTTGGCAAAAAAGAAATTAAAATTAATAAACTGGTCAATTTCTTGTTTTTGGTGCGTAAAGATCAATTGTAAAATGAAACTAACATTAATACAATCTACTTTATAAAACTAAATCAAACAGATCATGCTCTTTTATACATGTAGTATACAAAGTAGGTATACAAGGGGGGGAGGGGAGGAGAAAATTTAGACAAAGATTCAGATTTTATCTGAAGAATAGATAAGATCTTAGAGATTCTGTATTTAAAACTTCCTAGGGTTATTAATAATATCCCTGTCTATGAAACTTTTAACCAATAGCTTTTTAAACACTTGGTCTTACAATCAGTAATAGGTTGATTTATACACTTCACATATTGAGGTAAAATTCGGTTTGTATATCTGTTAATTACCAAAATATCTAGGTTCAGGCTGTGAAAATGAAAATGCTCTCATCATGTGCGACTAGGAAAATCCCTGATTTTGATAACTACTGAGACTATTTACAATGATATAATGTACAATAAGATTAAATGAAAACTAAATGTTAAAGCTCCATATCTTGGGCTTCATCTTCTGAGAAATCACTCATAGAACTTTCACTAGATGATTCTTCTTGTTCACGCAAGGCTGCGGACGTTGCATATTTTTGTACATATTCTACAACAAAGAACAGAGACAAGATTATTAATAAATGTGAGGTTAAGCAAGAATGTTACAGGATATTGTTATGGGATATTTAAGTCAAAGGAGCAGAAACTCTATCAATAGGCGGGCAGTAACCCTGTGAAATAATGATGTTAAATTCAAAAGTGTTCTGTCTTATTACCAACTGAACAAGTTATGGTACAATTTTATTTCAGTAATTCGTTTGTATGTAGTGGACCTGGAGAAAAACAATGAGGTTTGGCAGGGAACCACACGCCTCATGTCTCAATGACAGACCTCATGATCGAAAGTCGGGGTTCCCAAATATGGAGTAGCTTAGAAAATGTTTTCTGTCAGCCATTTTGTGAGAATTATACCGCCCCTTTGTGACTTTGATCAAGTTTTTTGATAAAAGTTTTTTGTAACTGACCTCTGACTTTCTTTTTGTATTCTTCTGGTTTATGTAAATAAAGAGCTGCAGCATCACCATTAAGAGGATCAATTGGATTAGGATAAGTCAATAACTGGGGCAGGAACGATTCAAATATGTTCAATAAATCTACAAAATATAACAATACATATATTTATTTAGGTATGAAGAAGAGCTGAGATGGGATGTGGAAGCAACAGAGTTTAAATTACTATAGTCCCCTTGGTGCAATAAACTTAATGCCGGAATAAGAATAGTATCAGCAAAGAGAATGATTGAGTTGACAAGTAAAATTTGGCCTATTTTGGGGGAAATTTGAATTATTACAATACTATTAAATTTTGTCCAGATTGAATTATAGATTAATAAGATTCACTTACCATATAATGCGGTCCATGCTTGATTGATGACATCTAAACAAACAGTTCCTGAACTGTAATATGTAATATTATTATTACATGTAATGTACATAACATTCATTATGACTGATGAGAGACTCAAATCAAGAGTAATGTTCTTTAATCTTCATCCAAAATACACAACTGACAACTGTACAGTATCATCATTCTCTCTTTAATCTAATAATCAGTACTGTGTGATTTTATGAGAGAGAGAGAGAGAAATGGGGTTTAACGTCCACTCGACACAAACTAGGTCATTTCGGAACTAACATATGGTTTAATTTTATTTCAATAATTTGCTTGCGGGTAGGGGTCTTTAGCAGTGGTAGGAAACCTGAGGAACCGGAGTAAACCCACGAGGTTGGACAGGCGTGTGATTTTATGAGAAATTTCCCTAATTGTTAAAATATAGTAATCTTTTAACATTTACTGATCAAAATACTGGTAGATATTTCTGAATGTTACAATATTAACATAATTAACATACACATATTACATCAAATATTAGATATTGCATCAATATATGATGTTACAAATTATAGATTTATAACTTAGAGTAGGTCTACTTACACTTCATCTATATTTGGATGATAAATTCTATTCATGAATCCTAAAATAGAAAAAAAGAAAACTTGTTTGTTTATTTGTTTGTCTGTTGCCAGGAAACGAAACATACGCCCACAGTAGCTAAGTCATCTGGGCAGTCAACAAGTGTTGTCACATATTTTTTCTTTTGTCAGTAATGAGAACATTTACAACACATGAAGAACTGATTACTAGTAATAACCCATGAAGTAATTATCAGGAAACATTATAATTCGTTTTGATTGTTTGTCTAATAACCTTAAACAATTTATATTAACTTTAGCCTCTAGAGTGCATGAATGAAATGCAGTTTTAGCCTCTAGAGCATCCACAAGATTTCTCAAAGTGATCAAGGTCTTTAACTCTGGCAGTAATTATCTAGAATCGTCACAAATGAATAGTTGAAATAGGCTTCTTCGTCTCATGACCTTAAACAGTGCATATAAATTTAAAGTCAATACGATATAAACTCTAGCATGTCCACAAGATATTTCAAAGTGATCAAGGGCCATAACTCTGGCAGTAATTATCAAAATCATTGAAAATCAATAGGCTTCTGTGTCTCATAACCTAAAACACTGTGTATAAATTTAAAGTCAATTGGATATTAACTTTAGCCTCTAGAGCACCAACAAGATATTTCAAACTAATTAATCTATCAAAAGTTTTCTTCAAATCCCTCCCAAAACATTTGTATTCACGAGGAGATACCCCAAGCTATAAAAAATCTATTTTTAGAAGCCATGTTTCTAACCGAATTTGATTGAGGGAGGGCCCATTTTTTAGATGTATTTGTCATTACTTATTGTCCATTTATCCTACATATTGAGGCCTAAATAAATTCTTGAATTATTTTCTGCAAACTTCTTTTTCCGCTGTTAAATTGCAGAATCTGTTATACATTTACACTCCTCAATGTTCGCAAACCACCTAACGATTCAATCAAGAAATAACAACTGCTCCCTAAGTCAAGCTGACCGACAATTAAGCCGTCAGGATGCCAGTTAATGATACCCTGACATTTTTGCCCAATGCTTGCCCCATGGGTGTTTTTAGGGTAATCCAGTATTTTTCTGGTAAGATTGGGTGTCTATACTTTCCATATATACCAAATTGCCATAGGCCTTACTTTTATTGGAAATAACCACTCGATAAATACTTTCACGAGAATGTATCTTTAAATCTGGTGTAGTATTTAATGAAGAAGATTGTTGACCAATTTTGTCAGGTATGATAAGAATTCCAAATGAAAAACTCCATTTTGTGTCACAGGATGTTTGCGCCCTTGAGACGGGAATAAAGCCAGTTTAAAATAACCTCATAATAAATTTAATAGTGCTATTTATTTAATGATTGTTGCGTTATTATGGATATTATCAAAATGGAGATAAACTCTACCCTTTCAATGCTGGGTAACACAGCCAGTAATACATAATACAATAGAACAAGCGCCAAATATCATGATTCAATTCGGTGTATTGTGGAGAAGGAATCACTACAAAGTAGTACAAACCCATTCATTTGTGCTCGAAAACGATAAGAGAACACTTGACGAAACGTTGTGCTATACATGTATGTGTACAATCAGTAATTGTTTTCCATATATTGTCAAAGCAGTAATTTTATACCATAATTATAAAGAATAATTGACAGGTTGATTATACATGAATTTGTGGCCGTGTAAATCTTAGCTGTACATGTTAACGGTACATGTAACTGTTACAGTGGGATCATGGGGTCCCTGAAAAGGGGTCACATTTTGGTCATTGTCAGTTACACATTTGTGCAATTTGTATGTCGTGAACATGAAATGGGATTTAACGTCCTACTGTTCTGTTTCAACTGTGATAATGAAGTATGATAGATTTATTTGGGACAAACATAACATCATAAATAAAATCATAAAATTATATATAAAAGTGCACAGATACATTGTGGTCTATAACTTAAGTATATTACAACCCAAGAACCAATTTCGCCACCCCTGGCTGCAACCCATTCAGCCCCCCGCCCAACTCTGGGAGCAATATGTTTTTTATAACTTGTACAGAATATTTTCAACCTGCCTTTACAGCTGGCTATCGATATCTAAAAACATATTTTGAACTTTGACTATAAAAACTGTAGATAAAACTCACCAATAGACGGAGATTTGAATGGATACTTTTCTGGCAAATCAACTCTTACTTTCCATACACCACCTTCATATGGAGCTTAAAAAAAGGGATACAATTACCTAAATGTTTATATTTGAAAAGCAATATATTACTGTATTATTTATCTAGTCCCAAGACATTAATCTGTCAATATTTAAAACATACAAAGTTAAATATGCATCATGTAAGATAAAGAGCTGACAGTTCTCGCTATAATAGTTTTAAAAAAAAGATGATGAAAAGGGAATAATTATAGTGAAGTCTCGATTTCCATTGCTACCATAATAAACAAGGTCTCAATTATCCATTTATAAATCAAATTATTAAATGGTGATCATGTTTCAATTCGTTTAAAATCACAAACGTCTGATGGTCTAGGGAGTTGATTATGGGCTTACCATGTGAATAAATGTCTAATCACATAATCTTAATAACATTTGAATCCAGAAGAAAGATCTGCAATAGGCAGAGTTAGATCTTACATACAGTGTAATGCATTTTTAAATGTTCAAATTATTTAGACTATGTATCTCATCTGACCATTTACAAAAATCAAACTATATAGTATATGACCAATTCACAAGGATATGTAATTTCTCATCAAATTTGTCTAACATGTATTAACATATAAAATTTCTCAAAAAATTGTCCATTTATCGTGTCTGTTTCGAAAAGAGAGAGAGGGTTTAACATCAACTCAACACAAACTAAATCATTTCAGGATTGTCATGTCTTCTAGTGACCTTGGCGAAAGAGTAAGACTCACTGCAGATCAGTTTGAATTAATTATGAAATTGAAGTGAAATAGGGTTTAATGTCTTATTGTACTGAACTAACTGGGCTAAGGAAGACAGTGATAAATTATGACTCTAATACAACAAGGATATGAAACTTCTCATAAAAATGTCCATTTATCATGTCATTTCAGATACACCGTAACAGATCACAGCGGTTTTGGAACTAATTATGCACATACTTAGCATCAAAACCATTTTAAAGACAGTGGTGCCAGACAGTCTTCATAAAAAGTAAAATTCAAGTTAAGCCAATAATCAATACATCAATATGTACATGTTCCAAACGAATAAATATAAAACTGATCTATTTCAAGCTGAGCATCATTTGAAAATATATTTCCTCAACAGTCCAAATGGCATTTAGTGATTCAGGGATATCAATTCTGTACAAAGTCTGAATTTCTAAAGGGTTCCTACTTCATACTCAGAGTAGCCGAAAAATGCAAGCAAGTTTCAAAACCCTGACCTTCTGCAAAAATTAGCACCTTAAACATACATTATGCAGGTGCTAAATCTGCCTATTGCAGGTCTTTCTTTAGGCCTGAAATGTTATCTAAATTATTAATTAGACATTAATTAACTTATCCAGGCCATAATCAACTCTCGATGCCATTGCTTGCCTGCAATGTTTACTGGATTTGAATACATTTTGTGATTGGATAATCGAGAACTGTCAGCTCTTTATCTAATCTCCCATAATGCCCCTTTAATTTAAGATGCATTATGTAAGATTTAGATAAAAGCTGGCCGTTCTTGCAATAATAGTTCAACAAGAAGTTGCCATGCAAGATACGTCCACATTTTGCAACAGATGGACAGAGAACAAGTTAAAAAAAGAAGTGATTTTTCGTACAATCAGGGGTCATAATCCAGGGAGTTATGTGTGAATATCTACAGGAACCAAGATCTTCGGGATATAAACATATATTTTAAAGTAGCTAAGTCTCTAACTCAATATCATCCAAAGTCTTCAACATTGAAAACACAAATTATTTGTCAATTTAAATCAACATTGATGATGTGATCTTAACGGGAAAAGATAGACTTCTGATATCCAATATTTAAGACAAAATAAACATTTTACCATTGGTACCATAATGCGTTTCAGGGCCATTTGTAACACGGGACTCGAGGAACGAGGCTAGACATATTCCACAAGTCATGTCAAATGGTGAAGTCATATTCTTATCTGGAGATCATGTGCAATAAATACTATCAGTGTAGACTGGAATAACCAGACACTAGAGACTGCCATTCGATTGAGACTTCTGGCGTATTTCGCCGAACATAACTGATTTGAAATTAGGGTAAAAACTGAAACAATTGAATGTAAATCAGTTTATATACATTCATATTACATTATTTATGTGTGTCAATTTCTAGATCCCAAATATTAGCTACTTAGCTCCTTTAAGATTCATCAAAATCAGATAAAAACTGTGACCTCTAGAAGGTCAACAACCTTGGTTTTACATACTTTTACACTATTTGCGTACAAGGAATGGTCATATTGTTGGACAGTTTCGTTCTAATTTTTACAAAATTTGAACTTAACCATCATTATGGAATAACAGTGATATGTTTAAACGGTTTATAAAATCGAATAAAAATTGTGAGCTCTAGAGGGTCTACAAGCCAAAAACGTGATTTTTTTTTTTATATATATACAATCAGAGGCCATAATCCAGTCAGATATATACGACGAGCTTATGGAACCGAGATCTTTGGGACACAAAAATACTTTATATTTCATCAAAATTGTGACTTCTAGAGGGTCTTGCATACTTAGGCACTATTTTCATGAAATTCTAACTCAACCGTCATTAGGGTGTAACAGTGTCATATTTAAAATCGGATAAAAATTGTGAGCTCTAGAGGTCCACAAGCTAAAAACGTGATTTTTCGTACAATCAGGGGCCATAATCCAGAAAGTTATGGTCCGATATGCACAAATATTGAAAGAAACCAGGAACTTTAGATATAAACATATATTTTAAGTTTCATCAAAATCAGATCAAAATTGTGACCTCTAAAGGGTTCACAATCTTGATATTACATACTTTAACACTATTTGCAAACAAGGAGTGGCCATTCTGTCATATATATATTTGAATGTTTTTTTTAAATCGGATAAAAATTGTGACCATAATCCAGAAAGTTGCGATCCAATGTGCGCAAATATCGAAAGGAACCGAGATCTTTGGGTTATAAACATACATTTTAAGTTTCATCTAAATCAGATAAAAATTGTGACCTCTAGAGAGTCCACAAGCTAAAAACGTGATTTTTCGTACATTCAGGGATCAGGGGTCATAATCCATGAAGTTGTGATCCGATATACATGCCAATATCAAGATCTTTTGGAGATAAACCTATATTTCAAGTTTCGTCAAAATTGGATAAGAATTTTGACCTGTAGAGTGTCCACTAACAAATTTGAGGAGGGACGGACAGACAAAGGCGACGACAATATATGTCCACATGAAAATGTGAGCGTATAAAAAAATTGATAATGAATATGTTCAAAATTTCATTCAAATTCCTTGACAACTGAGACTAAGTCTCGATTATCCATTTTATCATCAATTTTTAAATTTCGTGGGTGTTCTAATCCATCTAAATCTCGAATATCTGATGTTCCAGAGGGTTTATTTTAGGCTTGCCATGTGAATAAATATTAGTTTATATAACATTTAAGGACAAAATAAAGACCTGCAAGTTTGACATGGATGACCTAATTATTTCTTTATAGTAATCATAACATAGTAAGTCTGACCAGGATGACCTAATTATACTGAGAATATATCTTCAATATGACCAAACCAATATGACTGTCTTTATAATAATCATAAATTACAAATCTGAAAAGCATTTAGTCCATTAAGGAATGATTCAAAGAGTATAAGCAAATGATACAGATATCTTACTTATAATTTGGGCAAAACAATAGTAATGAATTCAGTAATTATAGATCCATAAAACTGTGTCTTGGTGTTTAATATTAATAAAACTACTGTAGATTTCTTATTTTTCTATTGAAACAAATGCATATCACTAATGGATAAGCTTACATGTTAAATATAGCAACATATGAGAAAAGTAATAGAATATTAGAAATAGTGGTAGTGAAAATGAGCAACCAAAATGATCTATTGATCTAGAAATTACTGACAACATATAAACATATAGTCTACAATCAATAATAATACTGGTATTATTATTCTATATAATATACCAGTGGTTCTTATTCTTAACCTTGTTATGTGCTTGTACCCCTCAAGCTTTCATAATATTTCCCCGAACCCCTGTCTAAAATGACCTACAGAATTAAAAGAAATTATAATAATTGATATGAAATACAATGTAAGTTTATTTATACAATGCATTGAATACATGCATATATACTGAACACATGTCTTTCAAGTACAACCGTACTTACACTGTACACCGGCAATCAAACATTTTACTAATCTATACAGTACTGATTTATCACATCTTGTATCCCCTTGCGTTGATGCTTCGTACCCACAGGGGGTACATATATCCCCGGTTAAGAACCACTGATATAAAAAGTCAGTATATCAAGTTAGCCTAGTCAATAATACACACTCGAACATGTTATATATCCATATAAATATATCTGTTTCAACTTGATAAAGCATTTTAATTTAGATCCGATCTAATCTATATTCCGATTGTCAGAATAAACAAAGTTTATTTTTTATTCTCTTATCAAATACATTCACATCACACAGAAGTGTGTGACAGTGACAACAACTCTGTGTGAAATACATCTAAATACGTGACTCTGATTTTCATATTTGACAAAATAAAAGCCTAAACACTTTAATTTTTTTTTTTCAAATCTACAGAACTCATTACGACAAACTCAGAATGTACAAGTAACTTTAGTCAAAATGTTAAACAGTATTTTTCAGTTTTCTAGAGTGAAGGCACAGTAACATCCTGACAGCTTAAAATCATCATTATTCAATTATCGCAACAGCTGATCAACATGAACTTGATGAATTGTATGTTACATGTATGTCCAGGTATACGTTTTGGCCGTATCAGCAAGGAATATGATATTAAAGGAAAAATGTGTTGATTAGCAATTATTGAATCAGAAAATTGATCAGCATTTCCTCTTGATTGAATAGTAAATAAGTAACTTTTCACTGTGTTGTATTGAATAATCTATAAAGGCCATAACATCAACCAGTATATAACTAAAGAGTTGTTATTTATTTTTATGCTTTGCAAACGTGGTTCTGAAATTTTGTGTTTATGAATATTATTGGACTATAGAGCAGTCTCGGTAATTCTGATACCAAAGGCCCTACTGAAGTGATTTTCAATACAGACTTGGCATTGTATTTTGCTAATGATCACAGGACTATCAAGATCATAATTAAGCCAATGATCATGATCACTGGCATCATATTTACTTTTCCATTCCTTTACCATCAATATCTAACAGACAATGCCATCTTTAATCAACAGCGTAAATCCAGAGTGTTACAATCATCCAGTAAAATAAACAATCCCTACCTAATGTTGTACAAAAAAGTTGACTCAGTCAATCATTATCTGGACTAAGACTAGTAATTATTTCCCCTTATTTCATGATGGACGAATGTAGTGCGAGTTATAAATAGACAATTTTTCCCTTAATTTTTTTCTCCCCTCTTCCTGCATTTTTGGGTTGACTTTTTGGTCTAGAATTGGAGAAAAGGGATCAAATTTGCAATTTCATAGCAGTTTTGGGTAATACTGATGATATTACAGCGGAGGGATAGGGGGTGTAAAGTGTCTTTCTGCAGAGCAGTCATTGTGTCGGAAGTGAGATTTTCACCCCAGTCAACTTCAAATCCGTGTAGCAAAAAATCTAAATGGTCAACCCCCTACAAAATTATGATGAGGAGATTGCCAAATGTTGTCCCCATTGTGCCTATAAAGATTGGAACCAACGGAATGTTGAGAAAAAAGCTACAGCCTGTGATGTTACAGCCATTTAACATTGAAGTCAATGGGCAAATAATTGCTAGTCTGAGTCCTGATGAGGTAAAGAAACATGGCCGACTCAGGATGTTGATATTTTTTCAAGGGCTTATTTCCTGAAATTTTGAATGGAAAGTGTCAGAAATAGTAAGAATACTGCTTTTTTATTGCCCAGCAGTAAGTTTTTTGACTATTTGGTATCAAAATAGCCATGATTGGGGGTATCCGTTGGTTGAGTGTGAATTTTGGGTTGTAAATGTGTAACATTTTCTTCACAATGATATCAAAACATGGTTAGGTCTAAATATTAAGGCCAACTCAACTCCAGATTTGGTCTAAAGTCACGAGATGTAAACAAGGCTGACCCTAACCCTAACCCAAGACCCAGTCCTTACCCTAACCCTAACCCACAATCTTGTCAAGAAGCATGTAGCCTAGGCCTAAGCCAAGACCTAGTTCTGACCCTAGCCCAAACCCACAATTGTGTAAAAAAATCATGTGCCCTAACCCTATTTACATGTTGTGACCTTGAACCAAGTCTGCAGTTGGCCTTAACATTTAGACCTAACATGTTTTTGACATCATACAATGAAATGTTAACATGTACACTCCAAAATTCACACCTGTGTGACTTTTGACCAAACATGCAGTTGGCCTTAATATTTAGACCGAACCTCAAAACATGGCATCTACCTTTGAGATTGGCTTAGACTTATGTGACACTCAAGGTTTACTTTTTTACTGATTGTTAACTGGTTTCTTTTTGGAGGGCCAGTGACGGGCTGTTCGCGAGAAATAAAGAGGTTTATTTCTATTTCCAGTTGAAACCATATTTTTTTCTTATTTTCTCACTGTTTTTTATTGCATATTTATCCCCAGCCTCCTATCATTTCAGGTGCCAGGGCAATGTTTCATAGAGTGGAATGATTGACCTCAACACAAGTATTAAAAAAAAAGAAGCAAAACAGGTGAGATAAATGTGCATTTCATACACTTTAAGAAGTAAATCCAACCTCATCCCCACTTCTGCTCACTAATAGTAATGGGCTGGAAATTTGGTACTGCACAGGCCTGTCTTCTCCCCTTGACATTTAACTGAATGACAGAATTCCACATTTTGACCATTTTCTGGATGTCAATGACCATTTCCCTGGATAGTATTCGCCCCAGAATTCTCATTCTCATCCAAATTTAACATTTCAGGTCTACATCTCAAAACCTGATCTCTTCCTGGACTGGCTTTAGGAGAACGATGATGCATATCAATTTCATCCCTGATCTCTATGACACCTGTGGTGGAAGTGGAGGGCAAATCGTAATCAGTTTGGGACCTCTGTAAACTTTGCTTTTTGGTGATGACTTAATTTCCGAGCTTGAAAAGGACGCTTGTGTGTTTATCATGGCCTCTCATATTGGAAGATAACATTAATGGCTTGTGTGTTGATCGACGGTTGTGCATATCTCTTGGTCAGGAAAGTTGTAGGCACCATCGCCATTGTAAATCATTTGACAGGCTCGAGTGAACGGGGCGACCTATGATTGGTCAGCAATGTATCAGATTCCATACCGGGGGGGTGGGGATGAAAAAACTGTTGTAGTGTTACATAATCAGATTATTTCAACTTACTTATCCTGTGGAAATACAGCTATATAGGAGATATTTTGAAATTCATAGGCACTGCATGTTTCAACATTTTAGATTTGACCACAATTTGGCACTTAAAACTATGTTAACAGAGAAAAACTGTGTGGTTTTCGATGAAAGTGTTAAAAGTCTAATATTGCATCATGATTACTGTTTTAAAGTATTTTCGTGTTTGATTTATATTGAATTCATCTCATCTTTTTGAAGAATGCATTTATGTTCAAAAATAAAAATGTTCTGTGGAATTCAAAATTCATGTGCTTTTAAATTATCAGATTCCAAACTGGGGGGTAGGGATGAAAAAGCTGTTGTAGTGTTACATAATCAGATTATTTCAACTTACTTATCCTATGGAAATACAGCTATATAGGAGATATTTTAAAATTCATAGGCACTGCATGTTTCAACATTTTAGATTTGACCACAATTTGGCACTTGAAACTACGTTAACAGAGAAAAACTGTGTGGTTTTCGATGAAAGTGTTAAAAAGTCTAATATTGCATCATGATTACTGTTTTAAAGTATTTTCGTGTTTGATTTATATTGAATTTATCTCATCTTTTTACAGAATGCATTTATGTTCAAAAATAAAAATGTTCTGTTTAATTCAAAATTCATGTGCTTTTAAATTTCTGTCTGAAATTCCGCAGTTTTCTGATGCATTATAGTGTTTGCAGAATGCCGCACAGCTCATCTGAAAATGCATAGATTTTCATATTCTTTGGTCAGGGAATTGCATATATGTTTGTTTATTAGATAACAACAAATTTGTTTAAACTGCAGAAACATGTGAGGTATATAGGACTAAGACTAGTAATTATTTCCCCTTATTTCATGATGGACGAATGTAGTGCGAGTTATAAATAGACAATTTTTCCCTTAATTTTTTTCTCCCCTCTTCCTGCATTTTTGGGTTGACTTTTTGGTCTAGAATTGGAGAAAAGGGATCAAATTTGCAATTTCATAGCAGTTTTGGGTAATACTGATGATATTACAGCGGAGGGATAGGGGGTGTAAAGTGTCTTTCTGCAGAGCAGTCATTGTGTCGGAAGTGAGATTTTCACCCCAGTCAACTTCAAATCCGTGTAGCAAAAAATCTAAATGGTCAACCCCCTACAAAATTATGATGAGGAGATTGCCAAATGTTGTCCCCATTGTGCCTATAAAGATTGGAACCAACGGAATGTTGAGAAAAAAGCTACAGCCTGTGATGTTACAGCCATTTAACATTGAAGTCAATGGGCAAATAATTGCTAGTCTGAGTCCTGATCTATAACATTAGAAGAGTTGCACCCCTTTCATAAATGTTTAACTAGACGCCGTGGAACCATATATTGCACAGTTCTATGACAACACGGTAAATCACGTTTGTTAAACATTTTTTCACACCCTGTTTTTGAATAAGAAACTTGGTTTATAAATAACATTAAATTTGATAAATTTCTGCTAATCAAATAAATATTTGATTTGCACTTATGTTATTTTTGTTTAGCAAACTGCGATATGATACCGCTTGTCATATTTCCTGCATGACAGACACACCTCCAATTTAATCAATAGGTTAGATACAGGATGGTTTATTCTCTTAAAGATACATAATGGGGGATTCGACAATGGGTTGGAAGTTCTCACTATAATAGTTAAAAACTAAATGATAATGTAAAGGCAATTTACTGAAAATTTCATTCAAATTGATCCACTATGAACCGAGAACTAAGAGATTGAAATTTCCGTCTAGCCTCGATCATCATTACTAAAGTCAGTACGATAAAAAGCATTGTCTCGATTTAGGAGATAAACACCGACTGTTTAGAATTTAGAGGACTGTTATTGTCCATTTGATACCGCTTAAATCATTAGAGGCCGCGATCGCGTAGCCATCGAGCGCCTCTAATGAAAAATTTAAAGCGGAAATTGCAAATTTTCTAAGAAAGTCAAAATGTAATTATTTCTATGTCTTTTGCTCAATAGGTTGTCAACTCACAATTATACAATCATAGGTGTCATTCTCACACTTACAACTCATTTACACAGGAAATAATAACACAATTACCTCCCAATTACCTCCCTTGTTTTCTATTCTCCACCATGGAGTAGCTTTTTTCAACGTTTGAAAATGAAGAGGAAAATGATATTTTTGAGAAATTTCTCAGCTGGCAATAGTGAATTATAGGATTAATAGGATTATTCTTTAACAAGGTAGGACTGTTTATGGATACCATCTATTTTCAGGCTTTATTTTAATAAATTTTAAAAATATAACTTAAAAATTTGCAATTTCCGCTTTAAGCAGTATCAAATGGACAATAACAGTCCGATAAATTCTAAACAGGAGGTGTTTATCGATATTGTAGCCAAAAATAATTAAAATTGGAATTCTTTCTTTCGCGATAGTTGACGGTCATTTTTTGGTTTTAATGACGTAAATACCAAGGAAAACAATTTTGACGTAATGATAATATCTGTGACGTAATAAGGTAAACACTCATTTCCATTCTATTTGGTTCACTAAGTGACTGGTTAATTGTGTCTGTTTGGAAACTGAGGTCACTCTGCGGTAATTTTAAAGATCGAAACAGAAATCATATGTGTATTTAATGTACTTTTTAAATGATTTTGAACTCCAGCATTGACTAGGTCCAAAATAAATTGCATAATGTTTGATAAATGTCCATACACTTGTGTGACCGTGTAGATATATGCTGTGTAGCGTACACATGTGGTTGCTATGCTTGTTTACATTGTCATTTCGACGCTGTGAATGTAATTTTTTTTCTTCGCAAAAAACCCTGGCCTGTGTTTGTATGAAAATTAGTCTCTGTCCTATTCATATGATTATGAGTACCAGCCCGACTTTTATATTTTTTTTAAATATATTACGGTCCATACAGAGTTTAATAGATTGTAGTATTTTTATTCACTTGTTGAAAATCTTTGATTTTGACCAGTCTGATTATGATAGAATGACCATAGCAACCATTATTGTCAGACCAGCCTTGAAATTAAATTTACTTATTATCTTTCAAATACACTCACTAACTTTGTTTTTTTGTGCGTTTCAGTTGTGTGTTTCAATAAGTCAATGATTGAATTTAATTGTTGATGACATACAAGAAAAAATTCATGAAGATTTCCTAGAATAAAGTTTTGAGGTGTAGAATTTTCGGCCACTGCAAACAGAGTCTAGTACCCAGAAAATATTCATTCGCAGTGAAATTTAGAGGACTGTTATACTCATTCGATGCCACTTTTCGACCAATCAGAATCCAAGAAATTTCCATTTTGGGCTACAATATCCATTTAATCGTTAAATCGTGAAGGAAAGTTATGCAGTAAATTGGCTCATAATCCACTAAAGATTGTAGGCTAGCGATGCCATCTAGAGTTGATTATAGTCTGGATAGGTTAATTAATGTCTGATTAATAATTTAGATAACATTTCAGGCCTAAAGAAATACCTACAATAGACAGATTTAGATCTTGCATAATGTATGTTTAAATAAATGAAATGGGGCTTAACATCCTACTATTCTGCTCCGATTGGCCTACTGAAGACGGGCATATGCCATATCAAATTCGAACTGACAAGACTTCATTCATGTACACACCAATTTGTACATGGGACCACAGTTTTCTGTCCCATCCAAATGACTATAAGTTGTCCTTTGCTAGGTCCTCTGTCCTGCTCCACTGACAAGAGAGAACAACGCCGGAAAATCCTAATTACCTAACTTTTTCAGCCAACATAGGGATCAAATACGGGACCTACAGGTTAGCGAGCCAATGTCTTACTCACTGAGCCACTGCGACTCCCCAAATGAAATAACACCACATGTCGGTATATTGTGTACACTGCGATAATTTGTCAGATACATGTACAGTATGATTTCTTTTGTTTTCTCTTATAAAATAAATCAACATTGCATGAAAGTACATATGTGCAGGAAATCAACAATAACTGGTGTCCAGTACCAGTATAAAATAAATATAAACAAATGAAAATGAAAGTAATGATGCCTCATTTGCATTTTTAGCTAAAATATCAAATTTCTCACAGCTTAATTCACTCTAGTATGTATATGATTGATTATTTAACATTTAACCATACATTATGCCAAAGTTAAATCTGCCTATTGCAGGTCTTTCTTTAGGCCTGAAATGCTATCTAAATTATTAATTAGACATTTATTAAAGATGGGTTCCCGCGTACAAACTCGGTGATTTAATGGTATATATGGACCAAAAACATATTCAAACTAATTAATTTGTCATAATTATGCTTCAAATCCTTCTCAAACATTGTAATTGCGAAGGAATGCTCTGCTATTAAAATTCGATCAAACCAGGTCATGTTTACGTCACGTCTTGGGAGTCAGAGGAGAATTCATTGCATACATAAGATGATGTTGTCTTTAATCGCTTACTATTTATTACAATTATTGAATCCTAATTAAATTCTCGAATTATCCACTACCAGCATCTTTTTTCGTCATTTTTATCTCAGAAAGTATTGTACATTTAACTCTTCATAAAGTTTATCTATTGTACATCAAGCGCTCAATGTTCGCTTGTGACCTTTGAAACTTTCAAATTATTCATTTTACATTATCTATTTTCGAACTATTTTAGCAAGAATAGCTAGCTCTTTATCTAAATCTTACATAATGTATTTTTAATAAAGAATTCAAAATGAAAATACCAATGCTAGTTCATTTCCCGGTATGGATTCACTCGGATATAAAAAAAAAACAGGCCTACAAATAAATTTTGTGGACAACAAAATGGCGGAAAGGCTTATTACCTAGCGATCAGCATAGATGATGAAATTTCAATTCCATACATCTCGGTAAATACTGAATGGAATTGGAACTATTTTTGGACTAATATCATATTCCTATTAGAGATTCATCTTTCACAACATTGTAGTTTACAAGTGATGAAATGACGCATAAAGACTTTAAGACATGTATATGGTTCAAAACGAGAAAAATAGGGCCAGGCAATGAAACATACACACACAAAGGCCTACAAATAAATTTTGTGGACAACAAAATGGCGGAAAGGCTTATTACCTAGCGATCAGCATAGATGATGAAATTTCAATTCCATACATCTCGGTAAATACTGAATGGAATTGGAACTATTTTTGGACTAATATCATATTCCTATTAGAGATTCATCTTTCACAACATTGTAGTTTACAAGTGATGAAATGACGCATAAAGACTTTAAGACATGTATATGGTTCCAAACGAGAAAAATAGGGCCAGGCAATGAAACATACACACACAAAGGAGCTAATTTCTATCAATGGGTTCTATAAAGGTATCAAGTTGTGAGGTATCAAAAATAGTTCATAAACTGATGACATTTGCTGTTAGAAGATTCAAAAGGTTCAAAAAGTGGACACTAAGCAACAACTTTTTTTTAATAAATAAATACACGTAAGTAATCATAGTGTTCAGATTCTATATACAAAGTAAGCAAAGGCATTAACTCAAGTAATTAATGGAATTTGTTGAAATTCCATAAGATTCACAAATCTAAACAATGTGTACCATTATCAGACACATTATAAGACGATGACTTTTGTAACAAGATCATTTATAATATTCTACAAAGTAAGCAGGGTTAATAACTCCAGCAGTGATTACTAAATGATTTTGAAATTCGATAGGCTGTCAGCTCACTATTCTAAACATTGCATATATATTTCAGTCAGACTCAGATCAGATGTTCACAATACTCCACATTCCACAAAGCAATTATTTTAAAATATCATTGGCATCTTTTCTTGCTAGAGCATTCACAAAAGGATCAAGTGCAATAACTATGCAAGTTATTAGAAATGGCTGAAATTTTTTTGTCTCACTGATGTAAATAATGACAATAAATATTGAATCAGATCGAATGAAAAATGTATTCTATAGAGTGTTCAGATTTACTGACAAACAGGGGTAATGGCAATATAACCACATTTCAATGCGAACATATAATAAACTTTTTTTTACATACATGTATGTATATGTTTCCAGATTGTTAACAAGTCTGTCTTAACTAGTCAATAAGGAAAATATTCCATTTTGCATGTTAATGTCTGTATATCTATCTAGTCTTACAAAATTCCTGGATATTTTTCCTTATTGATTCATGTCAGTGACATCACAAGTTCATCACAGACAAATCAAGGATGTTGAGAGGATATCCATTTGGTCTGGTGAACAATACATTATCATTGTTAAATGAGTTTTGTAGTCCAAAAGGCTGTAAAAAGAATAAAGATTAATGGTGATATTGATTGATATACTTACTGCCAGCTGGTCCATAAAACTTGACAGAAAATTCATTCAATCCACTGAGTATTGTCACTTCATGACTACTTTCAATACTTATTACAGGTTAAAGAAAATAATTAACATAAATAAAGATAAAATATCAGGCAATGAAACTTATGCTCCAACAGCTATATGTAGTCCTAGCAATCCACAAAGGTTGTTGCATTGTGAATCTTTAGGTACCAAAAACTGCCAGTAAATAAAAAGATAAATCTTTATACAATGTACTGTAAAATATAAATGTTGTGTTGATAAAAAATTCTATGACATAATAAATGGGCAATAACTAAGAAAGAATTGTGCATTTACCTAAGCTGACAAAGTGCTCAAGTGTCATAACTCTAGCAGCTGTAATTGTTGAAATTCAAGTCTTCTTCATTTCACTGATCTGAACAAGATTTTAAAAAGTTTGCCAGATTAATAACTCTAGAAGTAGTTTAAATCGAAATTGTTGAAATTTGATTGAGGGCAATAACTTTGGAAGTTGTAATCATAAATCAATAGGATTCTTTGTTTCACTACTAAAGTGGTAAATGTAGTCTGAATACTATACTCAATAAACTGTAGAGAATGCATGGACAGACATGGGCAACAAAATGTGCAGAACAGGATTCAAGAAGTGTCCGAAGTGTTGCCTTGTTTAAAATAACCAATGTTCTGTGTTCACATGACATTAAACTCCATATCTTTCCTTCCATTCCGTGCCATCAATATAAGTTACCGCTCCATGGATGCTTGGTGGAAACACAAATTCAAACACTTTTAAAGTGGCGGTATATAAACTTACATAACAAAATCTCAAAGATTAATTTGCTTAAATTGTTTAAGGAAGGGGAATTATTTTTGTACTAGTATTAGTACCGGTAATAGATCTTGACCGTCTTTTGTGTTTGAAACCAAATTTCTTGGTTTTTCATCGGATCCTACATGTATTCAGACGACACATTTAATAGGCCATGATTACCATTATCATCCTAGATTGAACTGTATAAATTATATGAACATTATACTAGCTGGTCTACTTTACATTGGTACCGGTGTGAGATAGTTCCTGGTGTGTGATTAAGGTTTAGCGCATGCGCAGTTGTAGGAGTCAGATCACACCGTTATGGACGCGGTGTGCATTGACTCGCCATGATATGATTTCCCCTAAGATTTTCTTACTGTCAAATCGGTTTCTACACTATTATCTACCAATATTTACAGTATTACTGCCTGGAGAGGGCGTCGAGTTTCTATTGTTTGTTTATTTCGATAACTGAAATACAACTTGACGATCTTTAGGCGAATATTTAATATAAAATAATTGTCCCTTGTATAAATGCTGAGTATGCATTGTGCAATTCGCATGCATGTTTGAACCCCAATTTACAAGGAGTATTTATTACCACTTTCTTTACTTTGTATGGAATGGGGTGACAAATATTCATGTTCAAGAAATGGGTGTTGTCAGATTTGTGGCTTTGTGTCGCTAAGTATATCTTTTCACAAAACTGCTGAAGTCGAATCTCTCTTTCACTTGTAATATCTGCCATGATGATCGATCATTTGGTACTACTTGTCTACTACAAATGCGATAGTCAATGGAAAATGAGAGATTAAGCAATTCCATTCATTTATACCTGTGATAAATGAAGCCACGGGAATATCGAAGGCCTTAATCTTTGGAGGTGAATTAATTGACAATTTCAAGCCAATCATCAATTTGTATTGTTTCCACTGATCGTACGTGCAGCCTAACGCCTAATCACTAAAAAAAACAACAGCAACAAATCACGAACGATAAAAGTACCAATTTCAAGTCAATCAACTTAGATCCGTTGATCGTGTAACTACTGATCACTAAATTTAAACAACAGCGAATCACGATAACAAGTATGTTTATTAATGACAAAACTCTAACCAAATACGTAATACTTTTTCCTGAACTGATCAGTGATCAGGAACCATCTCACAATGCCGGAAGTAGGTATAGCTGCGTTGTTAATGCAAACAACAGTTTCGGACATGTGCAAGTGCCCAGGAGCAAACACACACAGGAATCAATTCAAACTTTCACACCGGTATTATGGTAGGCTACATGTATTGGTTTATAATAATGTAAATGCAATCAAAATGAGTAACTGAGCTTTTAAATTTTCTACATATATCTGGTCTTAATGATGTCATTTTCTAAAAAAATTCTGAAAGACCATCTGGTGAAGATTGATAGTGGGGGGTGTGGGGTGCACTAAGTTAAATATAATATAAATACAAACTTCTACTTTTTTTTATCATTGTAACCTTTTTTAGTGGATCCATAAAACAAAATGCTAATACCTTTGTCTGATCTGAAATTGGCCTAAATCCACTTCTACTTTTATACAAAAAAGCCATCATTTTGTCCTTTGCTTTTTAATTTGTTAAAAGTAGGCTATATATCCAATATGAAAGCCTAAATAAAAGCTAGTGCTCTAATGATGGCACTCATGACATAAACAAAAGATTCTTGTTATTATTTCAATGGCTATTTATGTTATTTTTCTGCTAAATATGTTGCCTATTCACATTTCTATAGCCCACATTACTTTAGTTGGGTCAGATCTATTTTTATCTCTTTGGCTGAAAAATAAAATGTCAGTCAGTAGTGATGTTCTTCTCACAAGGAAATGGGTGGACAAGTCAAACACTAACCATTTTAATCAGGTTATGACCCTTAGAGTAAGAATTTGGGGATACTAAATCAATAAAATTTAATCTTAATAAGTTTGTGGATAAAAAAAAAAACGACCTTCCAAAATATCTTCAATTGACCCCTTTACCTAATTATTCTGACAGCTAAGCAATAGAGAATACCAATGAATCCATCTGGCACTAGATACACGCCAAAATCCTATTGCAGAAATGTCACACCTATTCGCGAATGAAGTTCTAAGATTCCATATGCATTGAATAATCATGCAAACCACGTACAACTAATCGAATATGCATGTTTATAACGATGACGAAACCCAATTGTTAACAGGTTATTGCAATCAATTTATGACCAAATATGTCAAAATTTGGTTGTCTACATGGAATAAATTAACTCGTCTATCACATTCATACCTAGCAAGGATACAGTTTCAGTATATCAGTGTCTGTTCGTCTCTTTCCAGGGCTGGGAGACGACATTATGGCTATAATCTAAGATGATACCTCACAGATACTTCGCTTCCAAAACAACAACAGCTATGGCGGAGTGAATATCTGCGATAGCCATATATGACGTAAAGTCACGTGACACCCTTTGACCACGCCTTCCTACGGATAATAAACAGAAATCTTTCAACAAAATTATTTTTTCTTACGTAATCCGTTATCATAATCGTAAAATAAGCTGTAACTACTCAATGATAATGTAATCAAGTGTTATAAAGGTTTAGCTTTTCAAGCTAAACTAAGATTGAGGTCAAAGGTCAAATACTGATTGACAACTTGGAAACACATCGACAACACTGGTCAGCTGTTTGATGTAAACAAACCCACATGATCAGTAACCATACTTACCATAATGTTGTCATGAGAACAAATTTATTTCACGGCGACTTTCCCTAACTCGGATCAATATTCCGTTACTTCTACCTGGAAGTCTTCGATATTTCCTTTGTTACTTTGGTATTAAAATCAACCGTTAAATGCGACGCAGGATAGCAAAATAATAGCCACACCCACTTGTAATAAGTTGTAATGAATTACCCTGGTGACCGAATTCTTACTTGGACCTAATTCTTACTCCGAATTTCGTGTCGTTTGTTATTTGAAGATGTGCGATGAATTATTTATGTAAAAATTGCACACGTTTTAAAACCAAAAATCGTGTGATTTTTTTTAATTATATAAAAATTACGTCAAATTATCACAGAATGAATCATCATACCATTTTTCATTGTCATATTTTTAGTATAACGGTATTAGCCGAGATTAGTTTCCCTGTGTCATTGGTGCAGATCTAGACGGAGCTAGCCGGGCAAGGAACAGCGTCTAGTTGTCCGGATGGGACAAAAACCATACCCCCACCCTGCACGTAAAAGAACCCTCACCAGTTGGTATTTGAAATAATAGAAGGCCGTAGCGCCTTGCTCGTCGTCATTACCCCGAATGGAAAATGAAATGGGGTTTAACGTTCTACCTTTCTACACCGCCCAGGCAGCGGCGCTACGACCTTCTCTTAAAACGAATTCCAAATATTAGAGTTTCTTTTACGTGCACACCAGTGTGTACACGGGACCTCGTTTTTTTGTCCCAACCGAATGACTAGACAGCTGTCCCTGCATGACGTATGTTCCTCATCATTAGCCCGGATAGAACAGAAAAGTAGGACGTTATTTAGCCCAGTTCATTTCATTTATTTGTATAACCATTTTTCAATTCTTGTGTTTGTTTTACTTTTTCGTATGTTTGGTGTCTTGTTTTTCTCTACCCAAAGCCTTCCCTATGTACGCGGCTGGCCTGACAAAATTCGTTCAGAAAATGGAATGAATTTCCAATGTAAATAAATATCTTAAAGTGCCTGGAGTCATTTATTATAATTATAGGTTAATTTTAAAAGTAAAAAAAAATTCTTGCGGGGAATAATGGAGTTTAAAAAACAAAATGTACTGGGGGCTGTTTCACGAAATTTTAACTAAAATAAAATCCAAATTTTAGTAATTTGATTGGATAATATAAGATTGATTTTAGTGCTTAGCCAATCAAAAATGAAGTATCCACTAAAATTTGGATTTTATCTTTAGTTAAGATTTCGAGAAACAGGGCCCTGTTCTATAACGCAGCTGTGTTGGTTTGTTGAAGTGGCAAATATATATATTTTTTTTCATTTCAGAGAAAAGTTTTTCATGAGATGTAATATCGATTCCATGAAATGGACCATATAATCAACATTTGGTTCAGTTCTCCTGTTATTGTCCAGATGCTATAAACAATATCAACCAGATGCTGCCGTACATATATAGCTAGCAAATTAATGAAATGCACGTTTAAGCCTACTCCAAAAATATCATTTGCGTTGACATATGCCCGATTTAACGTCAAAATTTAAAGTTCATAGGGTCAAAAATAAAAATGTTAATTGAATTTCTTCATATGTGGGACAAAACCCACGAGGTTGGACAAGCGCCCCTAATCCTTGTCACGAACAACTGGAGAATCGAAACCGCGCCAGTTTCCTCAATGACTAGTTCAGCTCTGAAATGTAATGAGACCTACGTTCAGAGCTGAACTACTCAATGACAGACTTTATGATACAGCGCGGACGCGCTAGCCATTCGATCATCCAAGAGTTTTTCGCCCACCCTTCTTAGAAAAACAACTGCTAAGAATTTTTTTTATTTTCATGTGGACGTATATTGTCGTCGCCTTGTCCTATTTTGACGAAACTTGAAATATAGGTTTATCTCCAAACGATCTCGGTTTCTTTCGATATTGGCATGTATCTGATCGAAACATCATGGATTATGAATCACGTTTTTAACTTGTGGACACTCTAGAGGTCACAATTTGCATCTGATTTTTATTTCAACGGTTATATGAAATGCGAGAGCAGAACCGGATTGGGGGAGGGGGATTGCTGCCCGGGCTTCAGTTTTAATATATCTTTTGTACCATAAATATGTGTCATAATATGTTCCAGTGGAGTTTAACCCATACTTAGGGACCACAGTGTAAATCGGACCGTTTACAGAGAGAGAGAGAGAGAGAGAGAGAGAGAGAGTGAGTGTTAACGTACACTCGACACAAACTAGGTCATTCGATCATCCAAGAGTTTTTCGCCCACCCTTCTTAGAAAAACAACTGCTATGGATTTTTTTTATTTTCATGTGGACGTATATTGTCGTCGCCTTGTCCGATTTTGACGAAACTTGAAATATAGGTTTATCTCCAAACGATCTCGGTTTCTTTCGATATTGGCATGTATCTGATCGAAACATCATGGATTATGAATCACGTTTTTAACTTGTGGACACTCTAGAGGTCACAATTTGCATCTGATTTGCATCTGATGAAACTTGAAATGCATAACCTCAAGATCTTGGCCCCTTTTGATTTTCGCATATCGGATCGTAACATCCTGAAATATGGCCCCTGATTGAACGAAAAATCGCGTTTTTATCCGATTAAAAAAAACCGGTTGAATATATGACCGTACACCCCAGTGATTGTGGAGTTCGAATTTCGTGAAAATCGGACCAAAACTGCAGGACAAAATGGCCACCCCTCGTACACAAATAGTGTAAATGTATATCAAGGTTGTGGGCCCCCTAAACTTAAAATACATGTTTATAACCCAAAGGTTGTGGAGCCCCTAGAGATCACAATTTTTATCCGATTTTAAAAAGCGTTTAAATGTATCACCGTAATTACATCCTAATGACGATTGAGCTCGAAAATCGGACCGAAACTGCCTGAAAAAATGGCCGCTCCTTGTACGCAAATAAAAGTATGTATTATCAAGGTTTTTGACTCCCTAGCAAAGAAGTCACAATTTTTATCCGATTTTGGTGAAACTTAAAATATATCTTTTTATCCCAAATATCTCAGTCCATTTCGATATTCGCGCATTTCAGACCATAACTTCCTGGATTATGGCCACTGATTGTGCGAAAAATTGCGTTTTTTTAAAGCTTGTTCTGTATCCATCTCTTGCAAAATGTAGGCGTATCTTGCCTGGAAACCGCTGGTTTTATTTACACGAACAACTTTGTAGAACCTTCTTTGTCGGTCCTGTTGTATATTGGGTACCGGTTCGGAGCGATTCTTGAATTATTTTTTTTGGAGGGGGGGGGGGGCGCCCCCATCGTAGGGGTGGATAGGTCTCGGAAGCTACTGGCGGTATAGTTTGTCGGTGGCGCGTTCTGGCCGATTTCTGGCTAATAATAATATTGAAGTTTTAGTTCTTCTCTAAATCCCTTACAATGAAAACACAGTCGATGGTGGTTTTCTGTGATGCTGAACTGGCAATATGAAAACGTGCGGATTTAGTACATTAGCAGCAGACACAGATTTACAGAATAATGTTTCCATGAGCGTATCAATTTTTTTTAACTGGCCATAACTGATAGCAGTGAAATAAAACGGAAGTCGGATGGACATGCAATAACCTGGAGAAGGGTGTACTTGCAGTCCAATTATTGGGTTTGGTTCGGTTCCTTTCTATATGACTCGAGTTAATACGGTGGTTGATTTATAACACAGAGAAAAAAAAAACCCTCTGGATCCGCTCCTGTGTCTTCCGTCTTGCTCCAGCCACGGTGGTGGATCGTTCTAAGGACTTCCTTTGAGAATGTAGTCATAAAAAGTTACTGGCCTATACTGGCTGAGATTTAAATTGGATACAATTCCAAATTGAACAATATTAGCCGAATTTTTAGACGCATCAGAGAAACTAACGCTGTTTACACGAGATTAAAGGGACTATCCCGATTTGAACAGCGTCTCGAAAATAAAAGTTTGAGTACGTATGAAATTTAAACGCCAAAATATATAGAGGAATGGTGTATTTACCTTGCCTCAAACTTTCAACTCAAAATATTGAGTCGTTTGGACGTGAATGTCAAAACTGCTTATCCGGACATGTAACCCTTTTAAGATTTCGGGTCAAATTTTTCGTTGAGTGACCTGATTATCGACTCCCGTTCCTTTAGAGATCTATACAATGAATGACCCATGTGCTGTACTTGATAACGAAAGGTAAATTTCCCCTACACTTTATTTTTATAAAATAAAAGTCTGGTTTTATCCAGACACCGCATTATACAGGGTGGGACACCGGTTACCATTTCCAGATGAAGACTGATGGGTTTAAATTGTTCGAAAACGCATCACATAACTTGAGTTAGTTGCTCGGCCCTAAGGTAGAGGATTTTAAGGGATTTTAACACAAAATTAAACAGTTTTATTCTCCAAAATATTATCGGGATTGGCCCTTTAAAGGATACCCTGAGTACGGTGATAATTTCCTTAATTTCCAATTAAACTGGCCCCAAACTGTACTGCACATATCTCAACATATAATAAACCAATTCCCATTGAAGTAAAGGTGAAACCACATAAATTAATAAATGTAATAAAATCCAATGGTTATGCGATATTTCTGTCTTTTTTAAAATGTCCACCGAACCAGATTTAGAACATGCACAGGATTTCATGTCACCTCAAAAATATACAAAAACTGTTACACTCATCACCTTTCGTAACAGAAGTACTTATTTCCATGCAAAATGTGATTATATGTGTGGAAAAT